CTATGTTGCTCTACTGTAGGTAGATGGTGGATAGGGGCTCACTTCACCATTGATCGATTGGGTTATATGTTGCTTTACTGTAGGTAGATTGTGGATAGGGGCTCACTTCACCATTGATCGATTGGGTTCTATGTTGCTCTACTGTAGGTAGATTGTGGATAGGGGCTGACTTCACCATTGATCGATTGGGTTCTATGTTGCTCTACTGTAGGTAGATGGTGGATAGGGGCTGACTTCACCATTGATCGATTGGGTTCTATGTTGCTCTACTGTAGGTAGATGGTGGATAGGGGCTCACTTCACCATTGATCGATTGGGTTCTATGTTGCTCTACTGTAGGTAGATGGTGGATAGGGGCTGACTTCACCATTGATCGATTGGGTTCTATGTTGCTCTACTGTAGGTAGATGGTGGATAGGGGCTGACTTCACCATTGATCGATTGGGTTCTATGTTGCTCTACTGTAGGTAGATGGTGGATAGGGCTGACTTCACCATTGATCGATTGGGTTCTATGTTGCTCTACTGTAGGTAGATGGTGGATAGGGGCTGACTTCACCATTGATCGATTGGGTTCTATGTTGCTCTACTGTAGGTAGATGGTGGATAGGGGCTCACTTCACCATTGATCGATTGGGTTCTATGTTGCTCTACTGTAGGTAGATGGTGGATAGGGGCCCACTTCACCATCAGTCTACTTGGTTCTTAGGAGAAGGTCTACTGCAGGGAGATGCAAGATAGGGGCCCACTTCACCATTGGTCGATTGGATTCTAAGGAGAAGGTCTACTTTAGGTAGATGCTAGACAGAAGTCCACTTCACCATTGGTCTACTGGGTTCTAAGGACATGGTCTGCTGCAGGTAGATGCTGGATAGGGGCTCAATTCACCATTGGTGGACAGGGTTCTATGTTGCTCTACTGTAGGTAGATGGTGGATAGGGCTCACTTCACCATTGATCGATTGGGTTCTATGTTGCTCTACTGTAGGTAGATGGTGGATAGGGAGCTCACTTCACCATTGATCGATTGGGTTATATGTTGCTCTACTGTAGGTAGATTGTGGATAGGGGCTGACTTCACCATTGATCGATTGGGTTCTATGTTGCTCTACTGTAGGTAGATGGTGGATAGGGGCTCACTTCACCATTGATCGATTGGGTTATATGTTGCTTTACTGTAGGTAGATTGTGGATAGGGGCTCACTTCACCATTGATCGATTGGGTTCTATGTTGCTCTACTGTAGGTAGATTGTGGATAGGGGGCTGACTTCACCATTGATCGATTGGGTTCTATGTTGCTCTACTGTAGGTAGATGGTGGATAGGGGCTGACTTCACCATTGATCGATTGGGTTCTATGTTGCTCTACTGTAGGTAGATGGTGGATAGGGCTGACTTCACCATTGATCGATTGGGTTCTATGTTGCTCTACTGTAGGTAGATGGTGGATAGGGGCTGACTTCACAATTGATCGATTGGGTTCTATGTTGCTCTACTGTAGGTAGATGGTGGATAGGGCTGACTTCACCATTGATCGATTGGGTTCTATGTTGCTCTACTGTAGGTAGATGGTGGATAGGGCTGACTTCACCATTGATCGATTGGGTTCTATGTTGCTCTACTGTAGGTAGATGGTGGATAGGGCTGACTTCACCATTGATCGATTGGGTTCTATGTTGCTCTACTGTAGGTAGATGGTGGATAGGGAGCTCACTTCACCATTGATCGATTGGGTTCTATGTTGCTCTACTGTAGGTAGATGGTGGATAGGGGCCCACTTCACCATCAGTCTACTTGGTTCTTAGGAGAAGGTCTACTGCAGGGAGATGCAAGATAGGGGCCCACTTCACCATTGGTCGATTGGATTCTAAGGAGAAGGTCTACTTTAGGTAGATGCTAGACAGAAGTCCACTTCACCATTGGTCTACTGGGTTCTAAGGACATGGTCTGCTGCAGGTAGATGCTGGATAGGGGCTCAATTCACCATTGGTGGACAGGGTTCTATGTTGCTCTACTGTAGGTAGATGGTGGATAGGGGCTCACTTCACCATTGATCGATTGGGTTCTATGTTGCTCTACTGTAGGTAGATGGTGGATAGGGGCTCACTTCACCATTGATCGATTGGGTTATATGTTGCTCTACTGTAGGTAGATTGTGGATAGGGGCTGACTTCACCATTGATCGATTGGGTTCTATGTTGCTCTACTGTAGGTAGATGGTGGATAGGGGCTCACTTCACCATTGATCGATTGGGTTATATGTTGCTTTACTGTAGGTAGATTGTGGATAGGGGCTCACTTCACCATTGATCGATTGGGTTCTATGTTGCTCTACTGTAGGTAGATTGGTGGATAGGGGCTGACTTCACCATTGATCGATTGGGTTCTATGTTGCTCTACTGTAGGTAGATGGTGGATAGGGGGCTGACTTCACCATTGATCGATTGGGTTCTATGTTGCTCTACTGTAGGTAGATGGTGGATAGGGCTGACTTCACCATTGATCGATTGGGTTCTATGTTGCTCTACTGTAGGTAGATGGTGGATAGGGGCTGACTTCACAATTGATCGATTGGGTTCTATGTTGCTCTACTGTAGGTAGATGGTGGATAGGGCTGACTTCACCATTGATCGATTGGGTTCTATGTTGCTCTACTGTAGGTAGATGGTGGATAGGGGCTCACTTCACCATTGATCGATTGGGTTCTATGTTGCTCTACTGTAGGTAGATGGTGGATAGGGGCTGACTTCACCATTGATCGATTGGGTTCTATGTTGCTTTACTGTAGGTAGATGGTGGATAGGGGCTCACTTCACCATTGATCGATTGGGTTCTATGTTGCTCTACTGTAGGTAGATGGTGGATAGGGGCCCACTTCACCATCAGTCTACTTGGTTCTTAGGAGAAGGTCTACTGCAGGGAGATGCAAGATAGGGGCCCACTTCACCATTGGTCGATTGGATTCTAAGGAGAAGGTCTACTTTAGGTAGATGCTAGACAGAAGTCCACTTCACCATTGGTCTACTGGGTTCTAAGGACATGGTCTGCTGCAGGTAGATGCTGGATAGGGGCTCAATTCACCATTGGTGGACAGGGCTCTAGGTAGGTCTACTGTAGGTAGATGCTAGATACGTCCCACTTCTCCACTGGTCGATTGGGTTGAAAGGAGAAGGTCTACTGTAGGTAGACGCTAGAAAGGGGCCAATTTCACCATTGGTCGATTGGGTTCTAGGTTGGTCTACTGTAGGTAGATGCTGGATAGGGCCCACTTGGCTATTGTCCAAAAGGTCGAATTGTTTATGCTTACAATAAAAGCTTAATAAGATATACAACAAAATTACACTTTGACATGAACATATAAATATCAAAGAAATAAAAACTGCTTCAAGTGTTTAATACAAAATAAATGGATTCTCTGAGTAACAAATGTCAGACATACTGGTACAATTCTGTTTGAACATGCGTGATTCAGACACATATACACCACACACTGGAATCTGAGGCACTGTGTCAGAGGTTTACTAAAATAACAAGTATAAGAACATATGTTACAAGTTTTTTTATGGCGGTGTGATTTATTGTTAAAAATTCTAGTTTGTTTTACATTGTTCTGTTTCTGTCAATAACTGACTTTAGAGCTAGTAGCACTGCTATAGTATTTTATACTGCTATTGTAATCGTACTGTTACTAAATTTTGTATTGGCACTCCATTGTTTACTGACATTGAAAAACTTTAGTAATTTGTACTGACTAGTAAATCTGGTAAATTCTCTAATAAAATTGTTAATTTATAACATTGCTTTGTTATTTGTTGGTTTCACACTGATTTCTTTTGCATATAGATTTCAGGCTTGACATATTGTTTCAATCTGCAAGTCATGTAACAAACTTCATATGACACTTTGGCACAAATATAGATGGAGGTAACAGCAATAATGTTTGGTTAAATAATATTTGTTCTTGCAACAAAACAAACAAATATATTGATCATTTTCAAAGAATACACAACAATAACAAAGACTATCACATTAATGTGGCCCTAGTATTGAAATATGACAGACTGACAAAACTATTTCCCCAATGAAGGGATAAACCTCTCACCTGACAAGAAACAGGTGCCCTCTCCTTAACACAGATCTAAAACACTGTCATCAACCTGGGAACATCCAGCTACAACAATCTGTGTATATATGAGGATTTCTAAGATGCCTAAGATTATCAGACAATAAAGGTATAGTTTTTTGATGACGTAACAATTGAATGGCGTTATCCCGTCACTGCGTCATTCTAGTGTGCCCCCTCGTAATCGAACCATTTTACATTATGTCACAATGTAAGCGACGTCACGATGCATGTCAGTTGTCATCGCCTCATATGGCCTCCTACAGTAAACTACTCCGTTGCATCCCGTTTCTTGGTTTGCAGTTGCTTCACGCAGCTAACATCACTGGTGGAAACATTACGTTTATGTTTTACGACAGTTAAAATGTGTCAATTCGACTCACAAGTTTTCAGCGACACGGTAACGCTCGCAATGTTTACATTCCCACAATGCAATCGTGGAATTTCACTAGACTACTCAGCTTCGTCTGGATGAACTGATCTAAACTTACGCTGGTAGTAGAAATGCGACGTTCATATTGCCCCATATGGTTTACGTTAATGACAGATGTAATTAAAATAATTCAGAGAAGATATTTAATCCGAATGTAAACCGTCATCAAACTGTTATCATTTGTTTTTTCCTGGTAACGTTCGTCTTAAGGTAGGGGGGGCATACACATCAATAGAACAGCGAGCCAGTTAGCCCTGTGCGAGGATTCTTAATTTAGGTCACCCACACCATCGTTTGTGTTCTGCCTTAAATTAATTATCGTCATTATCCTTAGAAAGTATTAAATTTGGCATCTTAGAAAAGAAATACAGTTCGCTCTACCACTATGTATAGTGTAATAAAGCACACTTTCGCCCTGAACTATTATAACGTTAAAGCACTCGGATGCAAGCGTCCTCGTACTTTAACTATAATAGTTCAGGGGGAAAGTGTGTTTTATTACACTATACATGGTGGTAGAGCGAACTCTATTTCTTAAATAAAGAGAGACATAATGAGGTAAAACCAGTCACAACTATCATATCAATAAAGTTGTTAATACATATGTCTGCTTGGATATTTTATCACCGATTGCTGTTATATTCGAATTCTTGGGTTAACCAAAGACATCTAAAACAAATATGGAATTAAAATATCGAACACATATATGTGTATAAAAAACAATATTTGATTACCAGTGTATAAAAAAAGATTTCATCGAAAAGATTGATGAAACTTGAAAGTGTTAAAAATGGAAAAACAGACAGTTAAAACCAACTTCAATATTCATGGATCATCCTGGGTTATTTTAAAATTCACTAGAGTATTGATGAATGTATCTACAAATCTCATTCTTTCATAAAGAGTCTCATATACCTCACTGGTAAATGAACATCTGTAGCAAGTCGGTGTGAGCAGTAATCAGTGCAAACGTACATCGCCATGCATTTCATACTCAGACACGCATTCACGTTCTGTCCACACTTAATGATGCACCATACCATATGGGTATTCATACATACATTATGAAATGGTTTAAACTTTGTTGCATGGATAGCCACATATTATGCACTTCTGTATTATGCAGAAGATGGAGGGTGATGGGGAGGCTGTTACTCCACCTTGGCCTTGCCTCCACCTCGGTATGCTATCAACAAGACGAGGCGGGTGACGTTGATAATTACCCCGGGGATGTTGGGCGCCTGAAACACATCGCAACATGTCAGACACGGTACATGAAGCCACACTATGATGATACACCCAGCTACATCATAATGAGACACCCAGCTACACCATAATGAGACTCTCAGCTACACCATGATGACACACTCAGCTACATCATGAGACACCCAGCTACACCATGATGAGACACCCAGCTACACCATGATTACAAACCCAGCTACACCATGAGACACCCAGCTACACCATGATGAGACACTCAGCTGCACCATGATGAGACACCCAGCTACACCATGATGAGACACCCAGCTACAATATGACGAGACACTCAGCTACACCATGATGAGACACCCAAGCCACCATGAGACACCCAGCTACACCATGAGACACCCAGCTACACCATGATGAGACACCCAGCTACACCATGATGAGACACCCAACTACACCATGAGACACCCAGCTACACCATGAGACACCCAGCTACACCATGATGAGACACCCAGCTACACCATGACGAAACACCCACCTACACCACCATGAGACACCCAGCTACACCATGATGAGACACAGAGCTACACCATGATGAGACGCCCAGCTACACCATGATGAGACACCCAGCTACATCATAATGAGACGCTCAGCTACACCATGATGAGACACTCAGCTACTTCATAATGAGACACCCAGCTACACCATGAGACAACCAGCTACACCATGACGAGACACCCAGCTACACCATGATGAGACACCCAGCTACACCATGATGAGACACCTAGCTACAACATGAGACACCCAGCTACACCATGATGAGACACCTAGCTACACCATGATGCAACACCCAGCTACACCATGATTAGACACCCAGCTATACCATGAGACACCCAGCTACACCATGACGAGACAACCAGCTACACCATGATGAGACACCCAGCTACACCATGACGAGACACCCAGCTATACCATGATGAGACACCCAGCCACACCATGATGAGACAACCAGCTACACCATGATTAGACACCTAGCTACACCATGACTAGACACCCAGCTACACCATGACGAGACACCCAGCTATACCATGATGAGACACCCAGCTACACCATGATGAGACAACCAGCTACACCATGACGAGACACCCAGCTACACCATGACGAGACACCCAGCTATACCATGATGAGACACCCAGCTAAACCATGATGAGACACCCAGCTACACCATGATGAGACGCTCAGCTACACCATGATGAGACAACCAGCTACACCATGATGAGACACCCAGCTACACCATGATGAGACGCCTCAGCTACACCATGACAAGAGCTACCCATGATATAGCTACACCATGATGAGACACCCAGCTACACCATGAGCTACACCATGATGAGACACCCAGCTACACCATGAGACGCTCAGCTACACCATGATGAGACGCCAGCTACCATGATGAGACAACCAGCTACACCATGATGAGACAACCAGCTACACCATGATGAGACGCTCAGCTACACCATGATGAGACGCTCAGCTACACCATGATGAGACGCTCAGCTACACCATGATGAGACAACCAGCTACACCATGATGAGACAACCAGCTACACCATGATGAGACGCTCAGCTACACCATGATGAGATGCTCAGCTACACCATGATGAGACGCTCAGCTACACCATGATGAGATGCTCAGCTACACCATGATGAGACGCTCAGCTACACCATGATGAGACACCCATCTGGCTTCATCATCATGAGACATCAGGCTATCATCATGAGACATCAGGCTATCATCATGAGACATCAGGCTATCATCATGAGACATCAGGCTATCATCATGAGACATCAGGCTATCATCATGCTGACTTTAGGTGATGTGTCTGGTTCAGACTTGACTATTTACATATACTTACTCCACTTAATTTCAACCTTTCTTTGGACTACAAACATCTCCCTGTCCCTTGCAAGTACTCACATAGATGTTGAAGTCATTCAGCAGATACCCATAGAGGAGCCAGACGAAGGAGCACATGAGGCCCCCCATCAGCACTGAGACAGACACACCTTCTGAGCTCTTTCTCCTCACAACTTCCACCTGAAACAACACATTATTCATCATACATACATACATACATACATAATAACATTTGTATAGCGCCGATATCCAGCTCAGCTCAGCTGCTCAAAGGCGCTTTGCTTTTCCCTTGTTCACTGGATGTCAATCTCAACAGCACATCGTATTGTCAATCTCAACTCCCTGGGGAGCATAAAACTCTTGCAGCCACTAGGTGCACCGAGTTATTGTGGCATTCCCATCCTTACGAGGTACCCATTCACAGCTTGGTGGACTGGGACACATAGTCACAGTACTTTGTCCAAGTTTACTGCACGTTGCTGTACCCGCAACTTGGTGTTTGCACATATTCATGTGGCCACCATCTGGTCATATACCAACGGATTCGTGGGTTCTTTTAAGTGCACAGGGTTGTGTACTGTACACTAGGGGTTGTGACAACACTGAAAGAGTCTGCACACAAAGTTGACTCCAAGGTTTTTACACCCCGTCACAGGTGGGCTCGATCCCGTCACCTCAAGCTTGCTAGATCACTAGCCTGGCGCTTTAGCCAGTTCGCCCACCATGCCCCCTCATCAAGCAGACATCGCAGACCGTTCAAGTCAAGTCTTCGTTTTCTGTAGACGGTCATGTTTTCAAGTTATTAGATCATCTGCCTGGAGACCACCCCTATGGACTAGTGGATCTGAGAACATCTGCCTAGAGACCGCTTCTGTGATCTACAGATAGATCTCCTGCCTGGAGACTAGGTCTAGTGGATAGAACATCTGTCTGGAGATGATCATCTACCTGCAGACCACCTAGATAGTTTAAACATGGACCATCTCCATGCAGAACACTTCCATTGTCTACTTTAGTTGATGAAAATGTTTGTTCACCATTGGCTGCATCATAGCAAGAGACTTTGAAAGATGATTGTTGTCACCCTGCCTGGTGCTTGGCATTAAGGGGATGAATAAGGGCTGGCTGGCTGGGAGCCAGTATAATGTACCCCAGTTGGGTAATTCTTCTACAAACTGTTGTAAATGTAGTTTATATCCCAGTAGTCTGTCATACAGACCCAGAAACAAATATACCCAATGCAGCCCAAGTAAGTCTATAATGTGTGGCAAGTCTACATTACCGCAGTTTCTGAAAATGAAGAAAGTCTCTGGGCTACTTTTTAATGTATTTATAATTTTAATTTAAGAACTTCTATTTTCTGTAAAATATGTTCATTTCAGAAACTAGCCATTAGTCTAATATCCCAGCTAAATTCAGTCAATCAAAAATATCAGTGAAGACCATAACCTTTCCCCTAAAAACAAAGATTATTTGTATTGTGTACAACCTGCTGAATACCCTTCTACCTATAACGCCTGTTAAACCCTCATCAGGTTCTAGTGGATACAACATCGACTCGGAGAGCTGATGGTCAATGGTTCAATACCGTCATGTAATACAACATGGCGTCTGATGCTTGGAATTAAGGGGACGAAACAGGGACTGGACAGCTATGATTCCATGTTAAACAGAGGCCTGGTATCTCAGTGGGAGAACACCCCACTGGAGAACATCCCACCCCACCCCTGGAGAACTGTAGTCCTCACTAAAGTACTGTCGGAAATAGAAATAAACTGTTTTTTCGCATTGATATCTACAATTTATGTAGTTGATATGTGTAAGTGTGAAATATCTGTTAAACTAAGTTTGGCCTAACTACAGTCTAAATGACTTTACTGAGGAGAGATTAGTGCAATGCGGGGTTTTTCTAAGCCAAAGGGACTTATTTGGAACAGACCATGTCTTTACGCAAATTAGTGTGCGATGATATTATATTACAAAGGACAATTTTTATATGTCCATTTTGAAATTAAACTTAGCTTTATCATAAACGATAGCTGACGTAAAAAATAAAAACTATAAAACTGAAACTATGAAGGATGCAGCTACTATGGAGTCTCACTATCACTATAAGAAGAAACAGGTAGGAGGGGTCGTCTCAAAAGCAAATACAGGATGGGTGTCGCAGACGGTGGTTGGGGTCAGCATTGGGGATAGAGATACAAGCTGAGATAAGAAATTCCTTTAGGGGAATTAAACTGGGAAGCAAACGGCATGTCATGCGATGGAGTCTCACTATCACTATAAGAAGAAACAGGTAGGAGGGGTCGTCTCAAAAGCAAATACAGGATGGGTGTCGCAGACGGTGGTTGGGGTCAGCATTGGGGATAGAGATACAAGCTGAGATAAGAAATTCCTTTAGGGGAATTAAACTGGGAAGCAAACGGCATGTCATGCGATGGAGTCTCACTATCACTATAAGAAGAAACAGGTAGGAGGGGTCGTCTCAAAAGCAAATCCAGGATGGGTGTCGCAGACGGTGGTTGGGGTCAGCATTGGGGATAGAGATACAAGCTGAGATAAGAAATTCCTTTAGGGGAATTAAACTGGGAAGCAAACGGCATGTCATGCGATGGAGTCTCACTATCACTATAAGAAGAAACAGGTAGGAGGGGTCGTCTCAAAAGCAAATCCAGGATGGGTGTCGCAGATGGTGGTTGGGGTCAGCATTGGGGATAGAGATACAAGATGAGATAAGAAATTCCTTTAGGGGAATTAAACTGGGAAGCAAACGGCATGTCATGCGATGGAGTCTCACTATCACTATACAAAGAAACAGGTAGGAGGGGTCATCTCAAAAGCAAATCCAAGACGGGTGTCGCAGACGGTGGTTGGGGTCGGGATGGGGGATAGAGATACAAGCTGAGATAAGAAATTCCTTTAGGGGAATTATACTGGGAAGCAAACGGCATGTGATAACAATTTACAAATAATATCCAGTCCTGTCGATCTTTGGGTGGTCATGCCACCTATATATTTTGAGACATTTAATACGATGGCTGATTTAAGCTTTTCCATGGGTATCATACCCTTTTACATATGTCAACATAAACGTTACGAAAGAAAGACACGTTAGATATTAATCAATAGATGAGACATATTCAACACACATGAAAAAGCATAAAATATCTTTGACTGACTGACTGACTGAGTTTGGTTTTACGCTGCTTTTAGCAATATTCCAGCAACATCACGGCGGGGAACACCAGAAATGGGCTTCACACATTGTACCCATGTGGGGATTCTAACCCGGGTCTTCGGCGTGACGAGCCAACGCTTTAACCACTTGGCTACCCCACCGCCCAAATATCTTTGAGATGACCCCTTGTGCTTGTAGGTAGGACGTGCATTTCATGCCAGGTGAGTCGACGGTCCGTCGTCATACCTAGCTGTGCGACCTAATTGCCATCTATAGTCCGATCTATTGTTTTGAGCAGGTATTCGTATTTTCTAAGTTTTGCCCGATTTTATGAGTAAACATGCTTTTCTGGATATCGTATTACGCATCCCACTGAACGCCAGTTAGGCCGATGTGGGTTATTTCAATATATGCCTTTTGTAAATTTGTCAATTTTAGGGATACAGAGTAACAGCCTAAAAACAGTTTTTTTCTATTTCCGACAGTACTTCAATACAAGCAGCTTCACACACACTTATTTGTATGTATGTTGCTACATAAGGCAGCAACCATTAGAGCAACATCACGTCAGTTCCCTAGAATCATTGACTCATTCTCCCAACTCACTATGTCCCACGCTGGTACAATCACCAGCACATTGGTCCACACGAACAGCATGCTGCCCAGCCAGGCCACCATCTCGTCATGTCGCTGTACAATGTAGACAAGATATACCACGTGGGACAGGAACAGGGCAAACATTCCTGTTACCTTGGATACAGCATCACTCTGGAATATAAACGAATCAAATGTCAGTTAGCATGAACGTGTTTAGCACAACAGTTAAGATTCTTCATTCATACCTCTGATGATAGTTTTAGCCGATCATTCTCAAGGTATATGGATCTTCAAATCTGTACATAATTCAGATAGAACATTCCTATGCTTTTCTAAACATGTGTCCTGTGTAAAAGCAAGAATAACTTTTTTCTTCCAGTTCCACGACCCCCTTACTACATTCAACTACCCCCTGACCTCATTCAACTACCCCCTAACCTTATTCAACTACTCCCTAACCTTATTCAACTACTCTCTAACCTCATTCAACTACCCCTTAACCTTGTTCAACTACCTGCTAACCTCATTCAACTACTCCCTAACCTTATTCAACTACTCCCTAACCTTATTCAACTACTCCCTAACCTTATTCAACTACTCCCTAACCTCATTCAACTACCCCTTAACCTTGTTCAACTACCCCTAACCTTATTCAACTACACCCTAACCTTATTCAACTACTCCCTAACCTTATTCAACTACTCCCTAACCTCATTCAACTACCCCTTAACCTTGTTCAACTACCTGCTAACCTCCTTAACTACTCCCTAACCTTATTCAACTACTCCTTAACCTTATTCAACTACCAACTACTCCCAAACCTTATTCAACTACTCCCTAACCTTATTCAACTACCCCTTAACCTCATTCAACTACCCCTTAACCTTGTTCAACTACCCGCTAACCTCATACAACTCTCCTTTACCCTTGTTCAACTACCCCTTATTCTCATTCAACTACCCCTTAACCTTGTTCAACTACTCCCTAACCTCATTCAACTACCCTCTAACCTCATTCAACTTCCCGCTAACCTCATTCAACTACCCCTTAACCTTGTTCAACTACCCTTTAACCTTGTTCAACTACCCCTTAACCTCATTCAACTACCCCTTAACCTCATTCAACCTCATTCAACTACCCTTAACCTCATTCAACTACCCTAACCTCATTCAACTACCCTTAACTCTCTCAACTAACTACCTTAAACCTTGTTCAACTACCCTTTAACCTTGTTCAACTACCTTTAACCTCATTCAACTACCCTTAACCTCATTCAACTACCCTTAACCTTGTTCAACTACTCCCTAACCTCATTCAACTACCCCCTAACCTCATTCAACTTCCTGCTAACCTCATTCAACTACCCCTTACCCTTGTTCAACTACCCTTTAATCTTGTTCAACTACCCCTTAACCTCATTCAACTACTCCCTGACCTCATTCAACTACTCCCTAACCTCATTCAACTACCCCTTAACCTCATTCAACTACCCTTAACCTTGTTCAACTATCCCTTAACCTTGTTCAACTACCCCTTAACCTTGTTCAACTACCCCTTAACCTTGTTCAACTACCCCTTAACCTTGTTCATCTACCCGCTAACCTCATTCAACTACCCTTAACCTTGTTCAACTACCCCTTAACCTCGTTCAACTACCCCTTAACCTCATTCAACTACCCCTTAACCTCATTCAACTACCCCTTAACCTTTGTTCAACTACCCGCTAACCTCATACAACTCTCCTTTAACCTTGTTCAACTACCCCTTATTCTCATGTTCAACTACCCCTTAACCTTGTTCAACTACTCCCTAACCTCATTCAACTACCCCCTAACCTCAACTTCAACTATCCCGCTAACCTCATTCAACTACCCCTTACCCTTGTTCAACTACCCTTTAACCTTGTTCAACTACCCCTTAACCTCATTCAACTATTCCCTGACCTCATTCAACTACTCCCTAACCTCATTCAACTACCCCTTAACCTCATTCAACTACCCTTAACCTTGTTCAACTACCCCCTTAACCTTGTTCAACTACCCTTAACCTTGTTCAACTACCCCTTAACCTTGTTCATCTGCCCGCTAACCTCATTCAACTACCCTTAACCTTGTTCAACTACCCCTTAACCTCGTTCAACTACCCCTTAACCTCGTTCAACTACCCCTTAACCTCATTCAACTACCCCTTAACCTCATTCAACTACCCCTTAACCTCGTTCAACTACCCTGTAACCTTGTTCAACTACCCTCTAACCTTGTTCAACTACCCTGTAACCTTATTCAACTACCCCTTAACCTCATTCAACTTCCCCTTAACCTTGTTCAACTACCTGCTAACCTCATTAAGCTACCCCTTAACCTCATTAAACCACCCCTAACCTCATTCAACTACCCTCTAATCTTGTTCATCTACCCTCTAATCTTGTTCAACTACCTACTCACCTCATTCAACTACCCTCTAACCTTGTTCAACCACCCCTAACCTCATTCAACTACCCTCTAATCTTGTTCAACTACCCTCTAACCTTGTTCAACTACCTACTAACCTCATTCAACTACCCTCTAACCTTGTTCAACCACCCTAACCTCATTCAACTACCCTCTAATCTTGTTCAACTACCCTCTAACCTTGTTCAACTACCTACTAACCTCATTCAACTACCCCTTAACCTTGTTCAACTACCCCTTAACCTCATTCAACTACCCCTTAACCTTGTTCAACTACCCCTTAACCTCATTCAACTACCCCTAACCTCATTCAACTACCCCTTAACCTCATTCAACTACCCCTTAACCTTGTTCAACTACCCCTTAACCTTGTTCAACTAACCCCTAACCTTGTTCAACTACCCCCTAACCTCATTCAACTACCCTCTAACCTTGTTCAACTACCTACTAACCTCATTCAACTACCCTGTAATCTTGTTCAACTACCCTCTAACCTTGTTCAACTACCCCTTAACCTTGTTCAACTAACCCCTAACCTTGTTCAACTACCCCCTGACCTCATTCAACTACCCTCTAACCTTGTTCAACTACCCCTTAACCTCATTCAACTACCCCCTGACCTCATTCAACTACCCCCTAACCTAGTCACCCTTAATGAGCTGGTCAGCCTTGAACTGGACTGATGCATGTCATTCTATCCCGACTGCATTGATTAATGTTCGTGAAATCCCAGTCTAGTTTACTTATTCCAGGCGTGTCCACTGACAGGACTCAAAAGGTCTTAAATTGGATGCCAGAAGAAATTAAGTGGTACAACCTAGGTTGGCAGCCTCACTGTGCAGAAGTACTAGTTAATACTAGTTCGACAACAAACATGGACAATCAAACATCACAAAATGTTTGCTAATGTCATAATGTGTTTATTGCAAACTTTTGGCTAAAAATAATAACATTCCATGTAAGGCTGTGTAATGATTTATGTATTTGATTTATGAGACAGTAACCTCTGAATCTAACATATACACATTTTCACTCTACAGCAGAGAAACAACAATTTGATTGTGTAAAAGATCTGTACAACAATTTACAACAAACATGTGGCAAGAGACCACTGTCATAGGAAGGCAGTACCTTGACTTGTGCCACCAAGATGTATACAAATATGTAGATGCCCCACAATGCCGTGCCTAAAATGTTGAGCATCTTCAGCATGCCATTGTCGATGAGCACGCCATAGTAGAGTCCGATCATGCTACTGCAACACAATACATCACAGGGGATACAGCTGGGGGCACAACACAACTGTCACGGGAAATACATCCCAGTGGTCACAAATCTTGATACATATGTTGAAACAACAATACTAGATTATCAGAAGGAGTGTTTAGTTGTCAACCTCCATTATCTCTGACCATTTGGCCACCAAAGAAAGCCTTTGCTTCACCAGGGACCTAACCCACCTGCTAAATAGGTCCGACTGAATAGACCTTTTCTTCCATGCACCCTTTAATCAGCCTGTCTGTCATGTCTCTGACATTGCTCCGCCAACACTCAACTTGTTTTATTAAACTGTGTATTTCATGGTCCTGTAATATGTTTAAAGAGTGTAAAAAAATAAAATGCTGAATATGATTTGCATGTTAGAAAAAAAAGACATATAAGAATATAGCAAACTATGCACTGTATGTAGGTGGAGTACGAAATGAATGGATTCTCATGTTGAGACCGATTGACTTACTTCATAAGGCAGATGAGGAAGAAGAAGAATGGTATATTCTTAGTCTCCTGAGTCTTGTACATAGATACACATGGTGGTCTGAAACCAAGAGAATGGTCAGTCAGAACATGTCCAGTAAACGTGTTTGGGACCAGTTCAAAGTTATACTGGAAGTTATATCTTAATCCCAGTGTTTCCGCTGACTTCATTATTTATCGGACACTGTGTCTGGTGACCTAAACTTTTACCGGTCATGAATGAAATTTGCCGGTCATATCCTATTACCATACTGTAAGTACTCATTTTAAAGTTATTTTTAGCCTGGATATTTCCAAAGCATAACAGTTTTTGTGACCATGAAAGCACAGCCAAGACTGTCATTTCGCTTACCCATGATGTTTTTATTTTCATACATGATTATTCACCGGACACGGTATACTGCTGGCTTTCAATTTACCGGTCCCCAACAAATTTTACCGGCGATTTTCAGGTATATACCGGATAACGGAAACACTGTTAATCCCCTATGTTTTTGGGTGGGTGGAGTGGTAGAGGCATAAAATAGATCCACTTATTTTTTCACATCATTTACTAAAATAAGAACAAAACTTCCATCGCATTTCACAGATCCTAAAGTTACCACCAGATTCTTATCTAAACTGTGAACATTTCAATTTCATTTGTCATTTTTCATAACAGTATGTCTTTGAGCCATACAAGGATTCATTGCATTCTAAGAATTAAGTTTTTGGGGGGTATGTCTCAAAACTTGAGGTAATATGTTTTTCATCCTACACTGAGCTTTTGAACTGTTCTCTTAATGGTTCACCTACCGAACACTTGAACTCACGGCTTTCTTCATAATCATAATCGTGTATTACATATTTTATTGAAATCAATGGACTCTGTAACTATAATAATGAATACTACTGATTTCAAAACCCTGGAAATCAATACTTTGTCAGTGTGCTTATATCTTGTTATACATACCCACTCATATCATCCTGAACATTGTTGAGACATTGGGTCAACAAGATATATCAATATTTTAATACTGAAGTCCTTGATAAGATAATCAATACAAGGCCAGCATCCTCAACATCTGGTGGACATCTCCTTGATCTATACAGCACAATGTCTAGGGCTCCATCAATACTAAAGCACTTTCTCTGTCCTGTCCAACATTCTGTTGTCACCAGGACAGTTACTGAGCGTCTACACAAATAGCACATGTTGTGGAAACCATGTTGTCAAGGTGGACAGATTGGCTGCTGGGCATGCATGTGTGAATAGTTCCAGTAGATAATGATTCCATGTAGCTCTGCACATTTCTCTGCTACTGATTGATAAAGCATCATGTAGAGATTACTGTATAAGTGATTGAGTAACACAATGTAATACAAGATTGTTGTGTGTGCACACATCAGTATTAATGTATCATGTTTAAATATATTTAAACTGGGATGAATTGTTTGCAATACACTGATAAGACCTTTTGTTTCAACAGCATTGCTATGTCATGGTCCTCTGTGATAAAGTACACATGGACCAGATGGTAAAGAAGTGAATGAAAACATGTGTCAATCTAAGGACTTAAATCTTATCATCCACAAATTATTACTTAAAAGATAACATTGAAAGAAAAAAAAGTAAATGGCAACATTTATCATTCTCTGCAAATGAATTCTTATTGTCCATTATTTATTACGTAAAACACTGTTTCAGAATAAAAAGTGAATGGATATATCCCCTTCTACATGAAACAGTCAGTTTTTAAGTCCCACAAAAGTATCTAAGACAAATTCTTTCAACAGAAAGAGGACAATTCTATTGTTAAAATCAAAATAGTCAATTTATTTATTGGAAGCATTCACCTTATTAAATAAATCTCATACTGTTAATTTCCAAGTTTTACAGTTTTATGATGTTTCTGTAAAATCAAATATTCCAATCAAAATTTACATTTAACCTTTCAGCAAGTAGAAATCCTTACAACATTCAGTCATTCATATTGACGTCATTCAGTTCTCCATGTCAGGCAATCAATATCATCGCTGATCAGCTGCCCTGTTGCAGAAATGGAACCCTTTCTGTGATCTTAAGTGAGATTCAATGTTCTCTCCTGAGGTACTGTGCATGTCACACTCACATCACATATTTGTATATACACTACAGCAATACAGCATTATTGATTAGGAGCACGGGACACATCACTTGATAGCCTATCAACACTGTCCCTCACACCGTCAGCCAGATAAAGGTGGCCTTGCACAATGTGTTATACTATCAATTAATCCTGGAACAATCGGCCTTATTGATTATTTGTGATAATGACAATAAAGAAAGGACTATCACATACATCTGTCTATAATGGCACCAGCAGTCAATATGTCAATGTACAACAATATCAAAACAATACATCACTTTCATATTGAACATAGGTGTCTTGGTATTGTCCTAAATATCTACAAGTACATGCACTGTTATTTCTCCAATGCTAAGCTTACATAGTAAGGTAACAGTAGGCAACTCTCTCATGTACCTGTGATAATTGACGACATTGATCTTACATTTTCAAAAAGTTTTATTAAGGTTTCTACAGGAAATGGATCAATTGATCAATAATCCATTACTGAATGTATCAAGGTGGTGTTTCATGGCAAGAAGAACCAGCAGTGTCAGTGGTGAAATCACATTATTGATATTGCTGGGATGGAGGTCTGGGAGGATGTTTTATAATGCAAGTCCCACTCTATGTTTATTGTTACAGTGGAATGAATGCTGAAAATGTTCAATATGTTTCGTTAAGGGTGACTAGGCTTTGCCTGACCAGCTGTCCTGGCAAGTTGATTCACATCCTCAGTTTTAACTTGGCTAACAAGGAATACCTTGATAAGACTATCTGCATTTCACACAAGACAGTCTTGTCCACTTCTTCACCCAAGCTGCCAAATGTCCAGACAGTGGAACATGCACTACCTTTAAATGACTGTGGACCATGCACTACCTTTAAATGACTGTGGAACATGCACTACCTTTAAATGACTGTGGAGCATGCACTACCTTTAAATGACTGTGAAACATGCACTACCTTTAAATGACTGTGGAACATGCACTACCTTTAAATGACTGTGGAACATGCACTTCCTTTAAATGACTGTGGAACATGCACTACCTTTAAATGACTGTGGAACATGCACTACCTTTAAATGACTGTGGAACATGCACTACCTTTAAATGACTGTGGAACATGCACTACCTTTAAATGACTGTGGAACATGCACTACCTTTAAATGACTGTGGAACATACACTACCTGTAAATGACTGTGGAACATGCACTACCTTTAAATGACTGTGAAACATGCACTACCTTTAAATGACTGTGGAACATGCACTACCTTTAAATGACTGTGGAACATGCACTACCTTTAAATGACTGTGGAACATGCACTACCTTTAAATGACTGTGGAACATGACTGTGGAAATGCACTGTGACTGAGGAACACATGCACTACCTTTAAATGATGCACTACCTTTAAATGACTGTGGAACATGCACTACCCTTAAATGACTGGGGAACATGCACTACCTTTAAATGACTGTGGAACATGCACTACCTTTAAATGACTGGGGAACACATACTACCTTCAAATGACCGTGAACATGCACTACCTTCAAATGGTTATGATATACACACTACCTTTCAGTGATTGTGAATATTGCAGTACATCTACATGACTGTGGAACACAGGTATACTTATTTAAATGACTACTTTTAATGAGGATCTGTGTTACACGGGATTGTTTATGTAAATATAAGATTTGTGTTGTTTCACACAAAAGGGATGATGTTCAGATTTTGCAGTGTATTTGCCAGCCAAACACTTCCTCAATTTTAACTGAACTTGTTTCTTGCTAGCCTGTTATTTCATTTATCTGTTTGATAAGACACTAAGTATGCCCTGTGCTTATTACTGTAAACTACTTGTCATCTCATAACAACAGTTTCTGTTGCACTTTGTGAACACAGGTTATTCCTGTGCCAGGGTGATGTATACTTAACTATATAACCCACATTAACCAATAGGTACATTTTCAGTCAATTATGTAAGGAGCTCAAGAGATGATCTATGTATTAAAAGGTTAATCTGCCATGTTATTATCTAAGATAAAAACATGTTTTCGACCTTCACATTTCACAATCAGTAATATATTTCGAGTTATTAAATCAACTTTTTAATGTTTAGTTTCATTTTGCACATAAGAACTTTCATAAGGATAAAGTAAGCAGTATACCTCTCTCTGAATTGACAGCTGCAGCAACACACCAGACACATAATCAGCATTCTTGTCGTGATTTTACAATATACAGGGTATTGGTTTAAACAAGTGTGCAAGAACAATCCATCAGCTCTGTACATTTCATCAGTGAGGATCTCACCACTCCAAGCTGTATCTTCACAGGTATCTAAACACTTACCAAACATTAACAAAGGAAATGTTACCAGAGACAAGAGGCCATATATTTTTCCGTATAAATAACAATTTTGAAATCTAAGGACCAAGTTCACTTGCCAAACTTTTCTACAAAGGGCACCTAAATTCTGGCTTCCATTGGTACTCATCCTAATATTATTTATATTTCTAAAATATTTCTTTCGTCCATATCACAGATCAAGTTGACTTTCTGGAGTACAAGTCTCCATGAAGAATTATGATACCCAAACAGCATAGCATGCAGAAACAGGCACCTAGAGTACCTTTTCTCAGATAATAGCCACTGCTCCTCTTTCCACTACAGAGATGTGTATGAACTCTACTGTGGTGAACAATGCACAGATGTGCAACATCTGACTGATTGTGACACAGATATCTGTTACCTATTATTCAAAATGAAACTCATTTGAGCCAACACACAAGGTTATGCCAATTGGAAATAACACAAACAGCATATAAGCAGAAGACTTAGTCATCAGTTATAAACCACAATAAACGAGACCCTGAGTTGAACTTAGTATAAATATATTGGATACATAAAGAAACCCATCAAAAGCCCATGTGAATGATAACGTGTGAGCAAATACTCAATGCCTACATTAAATATGAACCCCAACGTATTCGTAAATTGTAAATATGATTATCTACGTGATGTAGAGTTGTCGGTGTCAGACTTCCATTCTTGTTGATGGTGCCTAAGTGGGTTACATCACTGGCTTTGCATGCTGGTGATTTGGTGACACACTCTAAGAGTGTGGATTCAAATCCAGGATGGGACTCAATCTTTAAAATTCAAAAACTTAAGATTTTGTAAAATAGAAAGTGTATACCCAAGAAAATGCTGAAAGTATTGTAAAGAGGCCTGTTGTACAGCATCTTAACACATCAGGCAATTTAATCTGTGTTGCAAAATCAAAGACTGGTTTATAGATTTAGTATTTATCAAATCCAGCATCCTGGACCAATTTGTTTACTGAAAGAAGAGATGACAAACAAGAGTTGAATTTATGCCCTTTTACACATGTAAATACATGGCATGGAAGAGATACCTGTATACAGCATCACAGAGCAATTTTATCAGCTTTGTGCTGACCTCATCCTTAACTAGGCCAATTGTATTTGCCAAGTGATACATTCCTCTTGAAAACTACAACTATACTGGCCTGTTTTCAAGAGGAATAACAGCAATTGTGGATGTGCTTTATTTGGTGAAACATCCAGACCAATCATAACCCAAATGAAAGGGTATCATTAGAATTCAGTGTATCTAAACTTGACTCTAAATCATCCTTACCAGACAATATCTAATAGACAATCCCGACCACAGCATATTGTGGGACAAAGCCCAAGCTTTAAAAACCAACCTGAAAGACTTCAAAATCTGGAAACTCAAAGAAGCTATCTCACCTGATCCAATCAACTATAAAACCATTTCCTCACAATCCATACTCTGTTCTTCACTTGCTTGATAATGGTGCTGGAATACAAACCAAAATGTCGCTCCTATTTAAATAAAGTTGTTCACCCGTGTATTGTTCTCCTTCCTTAGTGTTCCAACTTTTACATACTTTTCATACACTGAGTCAAAATGGCTGAAAACAACCTAAAACAAACATTGATGACTATATGTACAACAATATACTATGTGCACCAAATATATATATAGTGTCATCAAAAATGAAACATAGTCCTTGCAAAGTTCAGCTTGACGATCTCTATGTGCTTTGCACTACATCTAAATATCCACATGGCTGATACTGAATATTGATTGTGATTGATATCAGATACTTGTATTGTTTTATCATGGATGATTAACAAAGTCCATGGTTTGATACATTTCTAGACAGATTTAGTCTAACCACAGTGTCATTGTCATGTATGAACAAATATACCAAGACAATGACTGGAGAATTTAATCATTGCTTTCCCATTGGATGTCATAACTGTAGCTGAGTGTGCATAACTAAATATAACAAATTACCACACTTTCAAACAGGTTCACTCTTAAATCTACAGACATAAATGTTTACATCCCTTAAGAAGGCCAGTAACTAGGACTCTTATATAAACATTATTGTCAGGCTGGTAGAACCTTCAGAGAGGTTTTTGGGTCAATATAAAACCCATACCCTATAGTAAACAGTATTACCCCATGCATAATGCCTTGGGTAACGGTTAACAGGAGATTACTTAGGCATAAACTTCATAAAAAGTTTCAAACTTACATTCCTGACATCATCATGAGAATGGTGAAGATGATTGTCGACCACTCCACTATATGAAAAAAATCCATTTTGTTGTAAGTTGTAGAAAGCAAGGCGCGACTTGGGTTACAACAGCTACGTTGTCAACTCTACAACTTCTTGTTTGACAGATGTGGGACGGATAGAGACTATTTATAGCGGACTGGGACATCGTCTACACAGATCAACGCAAAGGCCGGTGGGCGTATCAAAGGAGAACCAGTCACCAGCAGCTGATATTCATATACCATTTCAGTACTGGATGTAGGGGTGCACTTGAAATATTATTTTTACATTGAAAGAAAACCCCGTGCACGAGTGTTGCTTGTTACTTGTTCTTAGAATATTCAAGACGATGTTGTTCTTTTATGTTCCATTTAAATATTTGAGTCTTACCATTAAAAACATCTCCATGAAAACAACCCACCTATCCCCTGCAATGGAATGGAATAGTTCAACCGGTAGATGGCGTAGTTTCCAGAAGGCTATATAACGAGCACAGTTGCGGTACTCCAGAGTAAGATATGGCTTTGTAAATTGTCTGAACACAAGGCGATAAGTAGCAAAGTGGGAAAGGTAGATACAACTTTTCTTCGCCTAGCTGTGCGTGAGACAGTCATGCTTGTCATTTCAACACACATTAATTTTACTAGCAACTTTAAAACTTGTCTAACGGCTATTATTGCAAGACGTCACCCGTTTTCGTTAGGATGACAGGCGAAAATTCGCTTCAAAGACCTTTAAGTTGTGGAATAAAACGAGAAGTTGAGATATATATGTACTGTAGAGGTGCAAATAAAACAATATACATACTACTTAAGCTGTCCTTGATAGACGTCTGCTGTAGATACCATACATTGTACGAGATATATTCACTTCTGTATACTGCATTTCCAACAAACGTAGGAATATGATTAAAAAAAGATGATTGAGATTAACTCAGGTTAATTCATGTGAAATATAAGTTGAAACAGGTCTTGGTAAACACACACACACATATATATTATAATATAAATATAGATTTATCTATGAAAGAAAAAATCCACAAAATAATCACACCACACAATTTTCCCTCATATGCATTTCAGCTTTATCTTCATGGAGTGATTACAGATTATACTGTGACTAACTTAAAGATGATATCACAATGTAACATTCACAAACACTGACACAGCATTGCCATGATGTCACATTAGTAGCTTACAATGACAATGGCAAATACAATATTAAAATACATGTTTCTATTCAATGATAGATAAAAATATTTAATAAATAAGTTTTCCTAAGCTTTATGCTGCATTGTATCAGCTGTATTAATTTTGAAGGAAGGAAATATCTTGAATTTTATTTCCATTCCTGTTGTGCATTTATCAATGTGAGCAATTAAGGGTATGCAACCTGTCTTGGAGCCCTGTTGTTTATGGATGGGCATTCTGTTTGTCTAATATATTCCTCACGACACCCTTGGCATATTATAACATAAATAATATTTTTAGCAGAGCAGTCCAGGTTAGAGTGTACATGGAACAGTTCATTCCTGTTTTTGAATTTTAAACATGGATGTGAGTGCGTGCATGCTTACGTGCTCTGGTGTGTGTGACTGGCTCTTTGTGTCTGTGTGAATGTTTTTTCACAAAGTATTCAATATTACCCTCAGTAAAATATGTGTTGGGTTGTCAGTCAGTACAGTCTCTTGAAAATAAGATTATTTATTCTGTCATCCTGCTTTATCAGAAGACTTATGAAACATCTAAAGCATGTAGTTTAGAATTGGACTTAGAGTTGTTAAGAGATGTAAAATAATTGGACTGTCTGTCACATCTCTGCTTCATAGTAATGTCAATGTGTCTACAGATGGGGTCCATGTCGATACCCTCGGAGAAGCAGGGGCAGCTAGGGGACCTGACCAAGAAGACTCTGCCAGAACTCAGGGAGCTGCTTGACAGACAGGACAAGCTGCTGAAGAAAGAGTAGGTTTGCTCAATCCTAGCAAGATAGAATAATCACATAGTTGCTTGCAAAACAGACCCTTGATTACATCATACTTTTATATATATTTAGGATTACACTTTCTCAGTAAAAGTAAAGATTCTTCTACTTTCTTTTTGTTGAGTCCAATCCAGGATTTTAATTAAACCACACCCTGATGAAACTCAACCCTCCAAAAGTGAGAAAAATATAATTCCAAATATACATGTTGCATTTGACCACTTTCTAACAGGTATTGTGTATTCATAGCTTTGGGATGATTCATATCCCTGTTATGAATGACCATGTAATGACCATTTATGTACCTCAATCATTACATTAGGACAATCAAGCTGAAAGCCAGAACTGTAGCCAGGGATTGTTATAGGTTGTCAAACTAAGTGCCTTTGTGAATAGAAAATGACATTTAGAAAGTGGTTAAATGTAACATATGTTACACATTCTCAGTAAAGTACAGATTCTAGTACTTTTGTTGGGTTGAGTCCCATAGTGGATTCGAACCCACACCCTCAAATCAGGCACCTAATTGCGAGCACATTTTTAAGTGCCTTTGACAGGCAAACAGGGAAGAATATTGTGATAGTATTTCAAACTGGACTGTTTTAATGTTCTTTTACTTAGTAAATTCTGCGAAATTAAGAAATATTAGATTTAAATTGAAATTTTTACAGTCATGTGGCTGACCTTTAGCTGAATATTGGCCTCTGAGCAGGTCCAGATAAATCCCTAGTGACAATACTACTCAACACGTTACAGGGATTTTCCAGGTATTTCTTTGTTAACAGATCTGTCCTGTTCATAATGTTTGTATGGTATTGATGGTCATGATGTCATAGTTACATGTGATTATGATGATCAGCTGTGACAGCTGGGTGGGTAATGCTGACTGTCTTTGTATTGGGTTAAGCATGACTAGCATGCATGCTCTGTTTCAGATGAGAATATAACAGATGATGCATAGTTATAAGTTTTATGTGTGTTTTGAATTTCAGTACCTTTACACAGGCCTGCTATGAAGGTTACCGAGTGTAAAAATGTCAAGTCTTGTTGAAATGTTTCTGATGGTACCAATTTGAAGGCAGTCATACAATAAAACATTAACTGTGATAGACATTGCTTTGCTGTTGAAGTGAGTTAGAGTTTAACTGAAAGCATGTCTGTATTCGCATATATGTAGACATAACTACAATCAGAAATATGTGTTCCAAATATATATAGCATATTTGTACCATGCATATATCCATAGTGGGGTAGCCTAGTGGTTAAAGCGTTGGCTTGTCACGCTAAAGACCCGGGTTCGATTTCCCACATGGGTACAATATGTGAAGCCCATTTCTGGTGTCCCCTGAGGTGATATTGCTGGAATATTGCTAAAAGCGGCGTAAAACCATCACTCACTCACTCACTCATATATCCATACCTGAGCATGCTCAAAGCACACAATCACAATATGACTATTATTACCTCAGATAACCCAAGCTGCCTGTGAAGCGCTAGAAGGTTATGGTCACATGACTTATCCCACTGGGTACCCATTTTCTGCAGGATGAACAGAGGCAATTTTGATCAAACTCAATTGTTTAAGATGAGACCGCATGTATCACATGTGTTTTGTTGAGGGGCAGGACTGAAGTCTTAGAATCTCTCAGGAGTCAAGCTGCCAAACACAGTCACCCATCCAAGGCCTCTCCGCGCTCAACGTTGCTTACCTTCAACTGATTCGTGACCTGAGCTCTAGACACAGGACCACACAAATGAAATTTAAACATTATAAACAAAGCAAACTTGTACCACAAAAAACTCCAAATATGTAAGTTGTATCAGTTCTAACAATTCAATCTTAACTACATTACCACCTAGGTTTTCCTTTGGAGACTTTCATCTATGATTTGAAAGTAAAATGATTTATCAGACCATAACAAATCTTATGCATTACTGTTGCCAAATGATGGCACAAGTGTTCTTCATCAGCACAGTACAACAATGTGTCCAGTTAGTCCCGTCCAGTTGAATGACACCTATATCAAGTATACATCTACAAGAACTCCCTGTGCTGGGGATCAGGTGTTATGTGTCATTACCAACGAGCAATCATTGAAAAAAAAGGTTTGCATCATTTTTTTAGATTTTCCTGTTCAGGTTGTTATTGCAGATAAATATAAAGAAAAAACATGGTTCTCTGTTATTTTTTGTTTTACTTAGAAACTGCGCAAATTGCATTCCCAATCCAAATTTCACATCCAATGTAACATGATGCAACTTGCAACAGTGAAGTGATGACTAATATATCATGAACATAAACTTCCTGGAGTCTTCAAGAAATATTCAGTCATGACATTTCAGTAAGGGAAGCGATTTTTCAAAGAATTAAACACGTTTGCAGACACTGACAACTTCTAAGATATGATCCAGCGTGAAGTGTTTCAAACACTAAAACAGTAGTTCCAAAATCGTTTGTGTTCGATTATGAGAAAATGTGATCGGTTGCTTGGTTGTTTGGTTACTGCGACCAATCTTCAATTAATCGGAACACCACTAGCTTGTGGCAAGGAATGTAACAAGTGACTTTATTGGGTAGTGTGGTGAGGCATGCTGACTGGGTGGATTGTGTGTCATCAGACCCTGGGGGCTCATGTCAACCACAGGGTTACTTACATAGACAATGGTTCATGAGACGTTTGGTTGCTACATGGCTGGAAATCTGCTCATTGAGACATAAAACTACAGACATGCAAAGAATCATTCTCTTCCCACAGAGGTTACTTGTCATATCTTCCTATGAACCTCTGTTCTATTACGTCCCTTTCATGGTGCGAGTGTTCAGGATTCGTGATTGGTTGCAATCAGATTTAGTTAAATAATAATAAATAATAAAATGCAGATTTCTTCATGCGCCTTTTCCACGTCAGCAGATATGCTCAAGGCGCAACAATGACAGATTAAAAGAGTCTCCCACATTTATACAGCAATATGTACACGTCCAAAATAGAGTTCCTAATAATACATTGAAAACAGGTATGTTTTGAGTCCTGACTTGAATGTGGCAATACTATCAGAAACTTTCAGATTGTATGGGAGTGAATTCCACAAGGTTGGGGCTGCATATGAAAAAGTCCGGTTTCCAAAAGTTTTAAGCTTGAAGTTTGGCACGAACAGAAACTCTTGATTGGATGATCGAAGGCAGCGCTTGTTTGAGTAAGGAGTAAGCAGGTCAGAGAGATATGGGGGAGCAAGTCCGTGACGGGCCATGTAGGTCAAGCAGAGGATTTTGTAGTCGCTTCTTGCCTTGATGGGGAGCCAGTGCAACTGTTTAAGAACAGGTGTGATGTGGCCATGTTTGGGAATGCGACTGATAATAAGTGCGGCCGTGTTCTGCACCTTCTGTAACTTATCCAATAGCCAATAGTTGTTCAACTTAATCAACGACGTTGTTTCAAATGTGATCATTCGCAAGGCCTCAGTAATTTACGTATGCTTCGGGAAAACTAGAACCTCTTCCCCTGCTCAATGCGCAAAGATTTCTTCTATACAGAACTCAAGTCATGTAATGTCGGATCAATGGCGTCTCCATCGCTCTCATTGACAACGGACATTCTAGCCATTAAATGTCTTGTGTGTCACATCAACACAAGTCCCCGGCAGAGGAGGGATACTTGTGGCCCCATTTTTGCTTGCATTAGTCAAGCTGGATCTAATCTGATGTAACGTGTTCTGATGGGATAGAAAGAAGGGAGTTAATTTATGTTGCGATTTTTTGCCGCTAGGGGATTTTACGAGAACTGGGAAATATGGCAGTATCAGAACAGAGGTTCATAGGAAGATATGACAAGTAACCTCTGTGGGAAGAGAATGGCAAAGAATATATTTATTGGTTTTGAATGTTATGGGATTATTATTCCACTATTGTACAGAGCTGTAAATTATAGACAGTATGCAATAGTATGTTTCATACTGAATTAGTTTCACCACAGAGGATACATGTCATCCTTGCAACTGGTGGAAATATGATTGCCATTTTAATTAGGCCAAGCTGTTATCATCATTGTGCTGTCATTGTGTAGGGTATGCACTGTTTGTATAGATTGTAAATAATCTCACATACCGAACACTGAGGAATGGTCGGGAATACTTCATTAAACTGGTAGTGTTCTCTGTATGCAGAGCTATCTCTTTATTCTGAGGTAATTTGAAATTCATAAAGACTTGCTAAAATTCTGTTGGATATTCGGATTGTCAAGGCGATATTTCATATCACCAACGTGGTTGTTTCCCATTTCCACGTGTTTGCACTTTTTTATGTGCACCTATGAAAATCAGCTAGGGTCAACAACTTTGTCATGTTCAAATGAATATGCTTGCTGAAAATCCCTTTAGAACACATTTTAGCTTTATCTGAGTATTTTCTGTTGTAAGTACAAGACATTCAATTGTTTCGTTATCTTTGTTAAGATTTTGCTGATTATTTAATTATGCAGATCCTGAAGGTCAAAAAGGGCCCTTCACCTTCCTCGTCCCTTTTACTGATATCTTAACAGAATATTTGATAAACCAACACTGTTATCATGGTGGATATTTTATAACCAGAGTTGGCATAGTGAATGTTTGAAAATATCCTGTCAACAAAGTGGATACTTGATAAACATTGTTATCCCCTGCAACGCTGTTGCGGGGGGTATTAAAATGGACTCTGTCCGTCCATCCTTGCACATTTGTGTTTTCCGGAGCAGAACTCTAAAATCGTTCAATATTTCTTCACCAAACTTGGCACATACATAGATCTGGTGGTGTACTGGTGCCTTTTGGTAGTTTTGGAATTCTGAATATAATATTTTTGGCATTTCCATGGCAACAAGTTTGACTAAAACTGAAATTGGTGGTAGAGCTCTTTTCCGGAGCTGAACTCTAAAACCGTTTAATGTTTCTTCACCAAACTTGGCACATACATACATCTAGTGGTGTACTGGTGCTTTTTGGTAGTTTTGGATTTCTGAATAAAATATTTTTGGCATATCCATGGCAACAAGTTTGACTTAGACTGAAATTGGTGGTAGTGCTCCTTTCTGGAGCAGAACTTTAAGAACCTTTCAATACTCTCCTTCCACTTTTCTATATACACATCTAAACATTTGACATAATCATAACTCGTAGACATAATCATGAAGAGTATTTTGCCATTGCGGGGGATATTGATGACTTTGTCTTCTTGTTGACATTGTGATTATGGGATAAACAAACACTGTTGACATGGTGACAATTTGATAAATATTGTCAACAAAGTGAATACATTGTTGACATTGTGATTGTGTGTTAACCACTGTTGCCATGGGGACCATTTTATTAACACTGTTGACATAGTGTATATTGATAAACAAACACTGTCAATTTAGTGTTTATTTGATAAGCAAACAAATTCAAAGTTATATAAAATGCAAACAAATGTCTGGGTTCCAATGTTTATTTTGCTGTAGATTCATGCATAAGAGGCGACTAATGGGATCGGGTGGTCATGCTCGCTGACTTGGTTGACACATGTAATCGGTTCCCAATTGGACAGATCAATGCTCATGCTGTTGATCACTGGATTGTCTGGTCCAGACTTGATTATTTACAGACCTCTTCCATATAACTCGAATATTGTTGAGTATGGCGTAAAACTAAACTCACTCACTCACTGTAGATTCGTGTGTTCATGTGAAAAAGGTTTGGTTCCAGTGATTTTTTCTCACAAATATTATGTTTGATCTACAGGAAATTTCTTCAAACTTTACCTGACAAGGGAGTCAAAGTGAAAATGTTTGCCGAAACTTTGAGAACACTCATTACTCAGAGGGAAGAAGTGGATCAGGCAGCTTCAAAGTTAGAAGGTGTGAAAATATCAGATCTTGTACAGAAACAAACCACAAACACACATAGCGACAAGAAAGTGCAAACTTTTGGGACGAATCAAGTGCATCAAAAGGGAGACATCTCCAAAACTGAAGCTGATTTGTGTGAAGTGTTGGTCACAAGGAAGAACATTGAATTGACGGGAGATAATTCCAGTGCTATGGATGTTAGTGAGAGACTGAGTGAGGTGTTGGAGAGAGTGACTATATCTACTGATCAGCCTGTATCTGGCAGAGAGGATGTATACGTCAACAGTTATGAACGTGTCATCAAAAAGGCAAATGAACAAACTCCACACAAGAAAACTTTCAAACCAAACAGGTAAATCTGTATTCAGATAATGAATTATACCTCAGATGAAAAATTATGTAAATTGTCTTTGTTCAGGTAAAGTTATGTAAATTCTTTGTTTAGGTTCTCATTTATTCCTCCTATGTAATGATACTGGTTCAGATGTTGAGTCATGTCTCTGATGTACAGTTCAGTAAATTATCCTTTTGTCTGTTGAAAAGTTATCTGAATGATGGACCTGATTTTTGTATAAGGCCTTTAAACATTACCTGATACACGAGACATGTTAGATATTATTGTGAATAATTTTGTCAGACATGACTGTATTTGTATTATCTTCAAGTTTAATATTTTGAAAGGGATTGTTCAGGCATATATTTCAGATTCTGTTTGTATATGCTGTAAGCATGTCATGTGGTATTGATGTACTTGTCATTGTTTCATACTGTGAAGTACACATCATACAGACAAAATAATTTGTTAAAAAAGATATTTTGTGTCAATATTTGAAGAGCTAATTTGGTCACCCTTACCTTCAGCACTTTGAAAATATCAAAGGTTGAAGATTTACCAGAAGTGTACAAGTTCAGATCAAAACAGGGCAACGTAAAGGACAGTCCTACACCAGGAGGGTTAGCTAGGACTGAGAGGAAGACGGAGAGTGCAATGGACTCCTCAAATCCCAAGCCCAAGGAAGAGTCTGCAGTGGTACTGCCCGACTACAAGCATGACAAGAGTGTGCTGATATCCGTGGAGGAGTCCCTGCAACTCGTCACACAGCAGAGGGAGCAGCATGGGGTAGGGCGGCTCACAGGGGGTTGAAGCATGGGATTGGTGGGCACACAGGGTAGGTAGGTGGGGTCACACAGGGTAGGTAGGTGGGGTCACACAGGGTAGGTAGGTGGGGGCACACAAGGGGTAAAGGCTACACACACAGGGTAGGATGATAGGGGTGGGGGAAACATTGCATTATGGGGACATCCACAGAATAGGAGTGATGCACATAGGGGTGGAATGGGATACACAGGATATGGAGACAGACACCCATGGGGATTGTGGGACACACCTGCACAGGTTATTGGGACACATGTACAGGTTACCACTTTGTTAAGTCTGATACAATTCACCTATACATGTCTGCAACTGATGCTCATGTGATGAGGCATCTACTGATATTTATGTTAGAGCAGAGACCATATATGGTCTCTGGTTAGAGGCATTCTACTGATATTATGTTAGAGGCATTCTACTGATATTTATGTTAGAGGCATTCTACTGATATTTATGTTAGAGGCATTCTACTGATATTTATGTTAGAGGCATTCTACTGATATTTATGTTAGAGGCATTCTACTAATGGTTATATTGGAGCAGATACCATATATGGTCTCTGATTGGAGGCAGTCTACTGTTTATGTACAGAGGCATACAACTGATGTTTATGAATAATGTTCCTGTCCTCCAGGAGCTGATGATGAGGCAGGCAACGGAGAGGCTGGCAGGCCGACTCCACATCCGCCTGGATGACTACAACCCAGAGGGAACCAACATGAAGTATCCTTTCTATCAGTGCCCAGTCCTTTGTCCTGGTAGGATTAGACCCCCAGCAACATATTTGGGTTATAAGAGGGCAAGGTGTTGCTTAACGGATTGGCTGACCAGACTCATATGGTTCACTGCATGTTTTCATAACAGACAGCAGATATTCTAGACTTAACTTTGCACTTAACTTAAGAATAAACTTCTATATTTTGAATGAAAGTAATATATTTCAGTTGTCAAGTATATTTTAGCAAATAGCATTTCCTCAACACTGCCAGTTACCGTGTACCAGCCACTGACACAGACAGTGATGATGAACCAGAAATCGATGGGTACAATGAGGACTGAAAGATGGACAGATCTGAAAGTGTAAACAACATTTGCACCTGGACAAGCTGGTCATCATGCAACAGTCACAATGCGTACTTTGTATTGAGAGGCTTGTTAGTAACAATGTTGTGTCGGGAGGGACGTTATTGACAAACGTCTCTGCATCATCCAGAGTTTTTGCAACCCCCTGGGCACATGAAACGTCATTTGGAGGTCGTGTCAGGTGAATTTTCGACTCAGCAAATCTGTATGGAGGTTTGAGAGTGAAGGAAGCATATATAATCTGTATATATATTGAACTATAAACAAATGTTCGGCATGTATGTAAGTACGGCCTCACAACTATGTTGTTGTGGATATTTTAAATGCTTTGTTTCTGAACATGATGGCATGTACACTCAAGAGGGAATGCCATCAAAGGAGTTGCTGTGTCCACTGTGGCTTTTCATTTTTTATTACTTTGGGATTTATGGTAGTTAAGTATTGAAGCCGAAATACTTTAGAAAGCTGACAATTTGATAGGCTCAAGAATCCACATCGTTCATTTATACGACTGAAAAACAGCAAAGTATGAGCCAGATCTTCGTATAACTATAGGTAATATTGTCTTGGCATATAGGATGCAGTGATATCTTCACCTCGGGTTGTCCTGACTGGATCGTTGAGGAAGGTGTCATCAGATCTACATGTGGAGAACCACATGGAAACAGACTTGTATTTATGTGTGATGAGGATGTCATTGTATTACCAGGAGTTTCATGGGTGACACAACCCAAAATACAGAACTGGTTGCTTATTGTCACTTGATGATGCTCACTGTGATTCTGGTCCTGCTTCATCTTCTCATAAGCATCGCCATAGTGATCAGAAACCCATCCTAAAAGCAGGGACCATTATAAGATTCCAACTAAGTCATAAGCATGTGTTTGTCAGTTGCTTTGTAATAGTAAAGATTCCATGGTTCACAGGCACAAAGCTATAAAAGCACTGCAGTCCCATGATCTATAGGCTTGTGATTAATGTAGCACTCAGATTGATTTGTAAAGTGTTTGAGACAAAAGGTGAACATATCTTTCCCCAGGATACCACAGTCCGAGGGACAAGTGCTACTATATTTTGAACACAAATAAAGCAGTATGTTTTTATGTTGGTCACGTTGTTTTGTTGTTGATTTGACACTTTACAATCCTGTGGTATGGCATGATTTTACTCTACAACCGTGTAGGTGGTTAAATTTCTTTCAACTACTGGACATTTGATGACAAGACCAAGCACCTGATGTACAGCTGTCTTTACACATATGCACCCATGAAGACCCGGGTTAGAATTGGTCTTCAGCAACACATTCTCGCTGCTAATGCGACTAATGAGATTGGGTGGTCAGACTCGCTGACTTGGTTGATCATGTCATCATATCCCAATGCTCATGGTGTTGATCACTGGATTGTCTGGTCCAGATTCGATTATTTACAGACCTCCGCCATATAGCTGGAATATTCGATTATTTACAGACCTCTGCCATATAGCTGGAATATTCGATTATTTACAGACCTCCGCCATATAGCTGGAATATTCGATTATTTACAGACCTCTGCCATATAGCTGGAATATTCAATTATTTACAGACCTCCGCCATATAGCTGGAATATTCGATTATTTACAGACCTCTGCCATATAGCTGGAATATTGCTGAGTGCAGCTTTAAACATCAAACAAACTTTGTACACATGTGGCATGTAGTAGTTAAACTATTCTTCCTACTGAGATGTTTACTGATGGAGATTCCCCGTGAGTAAGTATGGGAAAGTATGTTTGCTGCTTCTACAAGTATTAAATCACAGGTGGTGTGGAGGATGCATGGAGGGGAATGGGCTGCAGGAACTGATAGCTGAAACCGATGGTAAATTGTTCAAGAAGGGTATGAGTATGATTAATCCCACTGCAGGCGAATAGTCTGGTTTTAACCCTGTTACATTAACGTAATGTTCACAACTGAAAATTCTGGTTTCCCCACCGTGATATTGCTGGAATATTGCTAAAAGCAGCTTCAAACCATACTCACTCACTCACAACTGAAAAAGTGTTTGAAACAGACGTAAAATATTTACCAATCCAAATGCTGACACCAATCAACATTCTTGTGTGATTGGTCAGTTTCCTGTTGTATCATACAAATTGTTATGGTATGAACTTTACTTTCACTTATAAACACAGAAACAGTAACTATCTTATGGGATTCCCGACCCTTTACATCTGATAATCTAACAGGGAAAAAGATAAAGGACAACAGATTCAATATGGTTTCATATTTTATATAAAAATATTATGTTGATGTTTGAACCATTACATTGATAAAGTGCTATTTAAAATATTGCAAGAAGTTTAAATCTAGTGGGCAAACATTGTCACTGGCACTCTTAACTAGAATGTGCTTTTCATGTATGCGCTCTGCTGGTGCTTAACTGCTTCGTGTAGTTGAGTAGTACATATTTTGCGGTAATATTCTTTTCGGGAATTGTAAATGTTGAAATACAAACATGCCCAAAAAGGTATATGACTGATTCAGGAAAAATGTCTCATACTGGGCATTCGTGTTACAATTACTGTTCAATTCTTTCTTTCACCGATTTAAACATTTAGCAGTATGGAACAAACATAAGGAAAAGGACAACAATGAAATAAAGAAAAACAATACAAAATTAACCAGTAACGTGTAGCAACATAGACTGAATCTATTAACTTAATGATATATTTTCAAATACAAATATGTTGCAATACACCTGAACCATTTTCTTAAAAAGTGGTGAGAGTATTTTTGAATTTACCGTAATCGCTGTGCTTTTGGTTTGTGTGCGTGTTTTAGAACATTCACTGTTATTCAGTTTCAATTACATCAATTAGATAGCACATTGCCTAGTTGTTGGTGTTGAAGTTTCGCCAGTGTAATTCTGAATTGCTGTCCTCGGAGAAGGCAGCTTCTACTTCCACGTCCATCTCCCCACATTGCTCTTGCCAGGGACTTCCGGGGGGTGTTATCGGGGGGTCGTACCTCGACTCCTCTACTATGAAATGCAGTGACACCTGGTCGTCCATCAGATCCCCTCGTGACGTGTCTGAATTTGGCGCGGAATCATGGCATTGCTCATTGATCAAGCGGGTGCTGAAAATAATAACGTAAATATTCTCTATAGTGTTAAGATTGTTTTTTCCTTTTGGTCTCTATGGTCTATGGCCATACTAAAGAATAAGAGATCTTTACAGCGTTTGGGGTCAATTCCAACAGTCTTTTAACTAGCCAAAAATCACAATGTGTATGGACTAAGAAACACAACTCAATTGGCTGGCCCCTTCAGAAACATCTATATCAAGCTTACCCCCAGAAAACCAGCAGGGGTCCAGCTACTCAAGATCGAATATGTAACACTTTAAATAGAAATAGGCACACAAATTACAAACAGACACGCTTTATGATTAACTTTGTTTGGTTCCTAAGAAAATATTGCGGTTGATATCACAAGAGTTTCAACAACGGTCACTTAATAGGGGTGTGTGTGTGTGTGTTAATGAGATTCCACCACAGGTCGGACAATGCCCAGGCATAAATCCATCATGAAGAGAAATTAATGTGAGGTATATATGTTTCGTATTTCTTAAAAATGCGTTCACAAACTACAGAAGGTGTCACCTTCCATCCGACGAAGCTGGCGAGTGGTCACCGTCCAGCTTGTTGGAGGACGTGTTATCAGACATGGCTTGAAAGTCTGGCCATGGTGACTTCTGCTGGACTTCATCCGATGAGCTGCCATAAACTGTCTCAGTTGAGGCGGTACGGAGGAGGCCAATTGCATCGCCATCCATCCTGTTAACACATCTTGTAATTCCCACATCCCTGTCCAGACTGCGTGACAGCGTAGCAAGATTAGATTCGGTTTTCTTTGCAGGGGAGGACGGGGCAGACGACATAAATTCTCCTCTCTTCCGTTTACGGCCGCATCCAGCATCTCTCAACTTTTCACAGAGCTGGTCAGGAACTTTCATACTACAATTTAGAAATATTGGGTTTGTAGTGGTGACCTTGTTCCTAAGGGTTACCCTTTTGTCAACGTTGGTACGGGGAACGCCGTTGCAGTTGCAGTTCTTCTGTAACTGGCTTGTTATGTACGCTCTGTCGGATGACTTGTGAAGCCACACACGGGAATCTTTCTTGAAGCGCCTTCCACTCTTGCCAATGACAGAGAAGACTTGGTCGTATGTGAGCTCGCCATCGTCACTGTATTTCTGCTGTGATCGTCTGTTCCTGTTCTTGTGCAGCCAGTACCGAGAGTCCTTTTTGAATTCTTTCTGCGGTGGCGCAGGGCTATGAGCAACTCGTTTATAAAGCTGATCACATCTCTGGCAGAATTCCTCGAATGCTTCAGACATGGCCACTTCACAGTCCTCATCAATATGGATGTCTGGAATAGTTCCGGCCATCAGGGCAGCTCTGGGTGGTGGAGTAGACGGAGAAGGTACACCTATGTCATCACAACCCCAGAACTGGGCTGAACACTACCACAATGGGGTGACGTCACAGACGAAAAACATGCTGTCATCATGACGTAAGAAGTATTGTGACGTCACACTTTCGCGTGATCATTTATGGTGCACGTTGTCACCAGCCGGTACTCCGCTTACTGTTGTTAACTAGCGCGTATGGACAACAGGGGCCATATTTTGCGGCCAGGAATCCATTCGAATGATTTACAAGACAACATGGTACATATCTGTCATATAATGTAGAGACCACACTCGCAGAAGTATTTTCTTGACTAGTTGTTATAGTAAGCTGAACTTTATAAGTTCCGTTCCAAACTTTTATTTACATGTTCAGGGAGTAAATAGTATGGGAGTAGAGCCGATCAGCTTGGAAGGGATGGGGAGGGTGCCCAGAGATGCAGCTCAATGAAACTTAGTACACTGTGGTGCTGATAGAGCTACAAATCATAACCAGCCTAGACTAATCTTGGACCCGAAGCCTTGATATCATAGCATCCTGGCACCACCAAGAAACATAACTGCTTGCAGTGCTTTGGCCACCGTGTATCCTTTAAGTTGATGTCAGAGAATGTAAGGAGAAGCCTCGGTGTATTCAGAAAGGCTTTGTCGCTTTTTTGTCTTTGATCATTTTTCAATTTGAGTTTTCTCTTCAAATGTCTGTCGCACATTTCGTACACAGCAGCGAAGTGTTATCACACATAGGTACAATAATACATTGAAGACACTCGTCATGCCATTCAATCACCTTCATCCGACAACATATCAGCGACATTTGTCCTGACATACGGAAATCTATTTTAATCGGGGAAAAAAACAACAAGCTTCGGATAAATTACAAATTAAATATGAAACGATATCAAACAGCATATCGGCTGAATTATCTGCTTGTCAGTAAACACCTGATATTATCGTCTAGAAAATCTTGTATTTGAGTTTGGATGGGTTTATATTTGAAAATGGATTTATATTTGTCGTTTTTCCGGAGTTGTGGGTGTAAGTTAACGATGTTCATTTGGTCCAGAATTTCGGAATATGGCTACCCAAAGATTGACTTACTAATCTATTCATCCCGAGGTCAACAGCTGGTAGTCATTGACAAGCACATATGTAATCTGAGCACGGATGAAAGCGAATTATTTTTTGGTTTACATATTGTGCAGGAGTCCGTTTTACTGATTAGTGAAATTGTACGTCTTTCTTAACCCACACTCTCTCTCTAAATTCAAGTATATATCGAGGGTGTGCCTATTAATTTAAAAAGGAGACGTGCGATTTTATTATTTCACTCTTAACTTTGGATATTTGCTCATGTAGGAAGCTGGTGTATGTTACAACATTTTAAGCACTTTAGTGTTGCTTTGTCACAGGAATACCGAATTTTGAAATAAATTAACACCCCTCCGACTTCATCATTGTCATGTTCCGTGGTCTGTTAAAGAATCAGACAATTCTCACAAATTATAATAGTAATACGTCAGATAACACATACCTTTACACTTTCCATTCGCCATTGTAATCGCCTAACTATAGTCCGTTTGGCTCAAAATCGGACCGTCCGTTCCTGGCTCAAATAAACTGTATCGGATAGCGTTAAACAACTGGCATACATTCCTCACAGAGTTGGTCTGATGTTTTTATTATGATCAGTGTTTCAATGAGTACTATATGGTTAGAAGTTTTCGAGTTAGATTGCAATTCATCGGTCCGATTTTGAGCCAAACGGACTATGGTAATTGTACTGACATTCTCATGAGTCTAGTTATTTAACAGGACTCCCTTCTTTGCTAATTTGTTTTGCCAGCTATGCAGCAAATAATTATAAGGATAGTGCTGCTGCTTTAAGCACTCTCTCTGTAACCAGATCAGTATAGCTCTCTGTTGTTCCGTGAACCCTCTATAAAGGGAAACAGCCTGCTGTATTTGCAGATGAGTGAACTTTGCGCTCCAGAAGCTCTTTCAACAAACCACAGACAAAGCTACAGAGACTGAAGTAATGTATATGTTGATTTAGGAGAGGAAGTGCAGTAAAGTGGAATAATACAATATTTAATATGTTTGTGTGAATGCTGATAACATGGACGATAGCTGCCTGGCGTCATACCATCACGTTATTCAACCAAGAGGAATGCATTGCCTGTGTCTAGCAACTAATCCTGAAAGAGGCCGTTGTTGAAATATGGTGTATAGCTGTGTATGGGAATATAGTCAGTCCAACAGGCATCCTCTTAATTTCAATAATCGTTAATCTGAGATTCCTTAACCCTGGGGGCCGCTTCCGTGGTGTAGTGGTTAGAACGTCCGCCCGGAGAGCGGAAGGTCGCGGGTTCGATCCCCGACCGCGTCATACCAAAAGACGTTAAAGTATGGTACTTGTTGGTCTCTGCCTGGCGCACGGCATTAATGGGTACAACAAGGACTGGTCGGCTCGAATATATACTTTAATTTTACACTAGGAGTCAGTATACTGTGTCTGAGGCTGGGGTATTCATGCTTCACTGCGGCATGGTATCTCAGTGGGCTAGCACTATAAAACCAGCTTAAGTCTGGGCTAGTACAAGCAGCCGTACATACACATACACACGCATGCACGTCGTCATATGAGCGAAATATTCTCAAGCACGACGTTAAACCCAATTTCACCTCACCTCACCTCCATGGTAGCTACTCCATCCCGCCTCCGTGGTGTAGTGGTTATAGTTTCCCGACCGCGTATACCAAAAGACGTACTTCGGCATGGTATCTCAGTGAGCTAGCACTATAAAACCAGCTTAAGTCTGGGCTAGTACAAGCAGCCGCACATACACACACACACGTTAAAGCACGACGTTAAACCCATTTTTAAAGTCAGCTATCGTTTGTAATGAAGCTAAGTCTAGTTTCAAAATAGGCATTTAAAAGTGTCCTTTGAAATACAACATCATCGCACACTAATTTGCATAAAGCCATGGTCTGTTCTAAATAAGTCTCTTCGAACTCAGAAAAAAACCTGCATTGCTCATATCAGCACTAATCTCTCTCCAGTAAAGTCCTTTTGTTACGTTTCCTATCTCCCTACCACTGAGACTGTAGTTATGCTGAACTTAGTTAAACAGATATTTCACACTTTCATACATTAACTACATAAAATTGTACATATAAATGTGAATTTTTTTTATATTTCCGACAGTGCTTTAGTGCCTACATGGGCTATGAGGCGTCACACAGACATTGTAAATTCTTGAATGATGGTTTCTTCAGGATAAAGTTATCTTTTATAAGTTAGTGAGATGTTTTATAGCTGTTCATGTGATAAGAAACAAAACCACAAATGTTTCTTAAGTGTCGGAAAACCCATCATAATACCAGGATACAAATAACGTCAAATAATACTCAAAGCATAAAATTAAAAAAGAAGAAATAGACTTTATTTCCAAAGTAACAATATTGCAAAACTAAAACAACAGTATCCCACCACAGGTGCACATCAAACAGATACTCTTAGACTCCTAGTATCTGTATAATATACTCTGATTACATGCCTGATGGTGCGAGACCAATATACGTTCAAACAGCATGTGAGATGTACCATACCAAGTATCTAGTGATACACATGTGTAGAGAGTGTGTTCCGCACTATGGTATCTCTGGAACACTTGCTAAATGGATGTAAAACCCCAATGACTCACTCATTCATAAGATATATGATACCCCAACCAGCATAATTGTATTCTTTATAGATAGGGAATCCCTGATACCAGGAACTGATGTAAAGATGGCGGTATTTTGGTCATCATTTTGATTCATGTTGACTTGATGAGGGGTGTTGTTGCTGAGGCAGTAGAGCTGCCATAACTTGTGCTGCAATTGTCTCCACCTCTGCCATTGCTCCAAACCCTGAAACACACAGACCTAAACTGCACAACAGTCTAACAACAACTGGCATTTTCATGATAGCAGATATACATGCATGAAAAAACATTTTGGTTAACATTTTCCAACTAAAAGCCTACACTACAGCTGATCTGTCAACACTAACAGCCTACTCTACAGCTGATCTGTCAACAGTGCATAACCTTCCCAACCACCTTCCCCTCACCCACCAATGCATGCTGACCTTCTGTCTCAGGTTTACATTAGTGATCCGCTGTGATGTTGCTGGAATATTGCTAAAAGCGGCGTAAAACCAAACTCAGTCAGTCACTTACAGCCTACTCTACAGCTGATCTGTCAACATGGTGCACTAACAGCCTACTCTACAGCTCATCTGTCAACACGGTGCACTAACAGCCTACTCTACAGCTGATCTGTCAACATGGTGCACTAACAGCCTACTCTACAGCTGATCTGTCAACACGGTGCACTAACAGCCTACTCTACAGCTGATCTGTCAACACGGTGCACTAACAGCCTACTCTACAGCTGATCTGTCAACATGGTGCACTAACAGGTTACACTACAGCTGATCTGTCAACAGTGCATAACCTTCCCAACCACCTTCCCCACACCCACCAAAGTATGCTGACCTTCTGTCTCAGGTTTACATTAGTTATCAGTTTTATGTAATTATTTAAAAAAAAAGAAGATATTTAATTGTTTAGTAATATTGGTAAAAGGAATACTTCTTCAAGGGTTAAAAATATTAAACAATTGATTGGCTTGATGCCCTGAAATACCTCTGTTGCATGTCTCCCATAAATGTTTCTGGCTTCTCTTTCTGAGAAAATATTTATTTCTTCAACAATTGTCAAATAAGTGGCCCAGTATATGTTCTTTGTCCCCATTTCACCTTCCCAAATTATCAACTCAACCTGTATCTCCACATGCCAGTGTCTTCTTGATGCAGGGGATCTCCCTATAGCCCAGGCCCCTCAGTGTTGAGAGGTGTTGAGCTGTCAGTGGGTGCTCCCACATGTGGGTATTCATTGCAGGAGCAAACAGTAGAGGGCTCTTCATGTCCCATGCCCGGACAATGCATGTCTAACAGTAGAAACACTTCCATCATTATAATACAAGAGATTATTATTGTGTTGCTCAAAGTGGGAACAGATAACAGCAAACCAACACACGTCATGAATCCACCAATACCACCAGATACAAGTATTGTATGATATATAGGATAATATTTTAATTATCAACATATATCATCTGATCATATTTATTATATATGCAATTACTCAATACCAACATCTTATCACATGAGAAATATTCTGCTGACATTATAGATATAAGTTCAAAATTTAAGTTTTTTCAAGTCTTTGTTATTAGTTTGTATAACATGTTTGTACATATTCAACATGACAGCCTGTAAATACGTGAGACACACCAGTTATTGATGTTAGGAGCATGAACCATGCCTTTGTGTACAATGACGCATCAACCAAATCAATGAATCTTATTATCTTATTTATCAAATCAATTCTTGTGACAAACACACATGTTTCTGATGATTGTACATGTGATAAGAAACACAAGAACAATTTTTTTAGTGAGTGCTTGACATTGGTGCTTTCGATTCTGACCCAGTGAAAGAAAACTGTTGCTTATTAAAACATGCCAGGGTGTGTAAACAACTGGATATTGTGCCGCTTGATGGAGTAGACTCTTTGTTTCTCACTTGTTCCTACATAACAAGTAACAATCAACTTACCAACAAATTGTCACAAATGCCATTTGAGATCTTTGCCATGGTGTTTGCATCTAGAGGTGCAATGACCATTAAGTCGGCCCATCTCCTCAGTTCAATGTGGAGAACTGGGTCTCCAATTCTTTTCCAACTCTGGAAACATTGAAACAATACAAGACAGCTGATCCACTGAAACTGTGGCAATATCAAACAGAGTATTATTATTAGATACTTGATTTACACATATGCAAGAAACATAGTAAGTTTGGACTTTGATTATAATGATCCTACAAGTTTCTAGTTAGACCACAGTAAAAACAAAATGTCATCATTTTTGTCAAGTGAGTTTTGTTTTATGCCGCTTTTAGCAATATTCCAGCAATTTCACAGTGGGGGCCACCAGAAAAGGGCTTCATATACTAGTATTGAACCATAGTGGGGGATTGAACCCTGGTCTTTGGTGTGATGAGCGAACGTTTTAACCACTAGGCTACCCCTCCTCCTCTTTTGTCAAGTGAGGATAACCTGTTTTTAAGAGAAATTCTTTCTATTTCTTTCTGGCATCTGTCAATATTTCACCAACTGATAGAATCAGAGATCATTAATTAATATTGACTAGTTATAACTTAATAAGAAAAGCAATCTGTTTGTGTGTAATTATCACCTATATATATTCATATTTCCTTATAAAGTTTAATGCTGCAACCTTGCAACCAACATTCAGCTCCAAAAATGTTCTAATGTTTTTAGGGTCATATACCTCCCATTCCTCAGCATCTGTATGAACTTTAACAGTCAGTTCTCCTGGGTTGAAGAAATGTTGAGCATTTTGTGTTGTCACTAACTTGACTTCAATCTGGAGAGAGCAAAAAATCACGCTTATTTAGTGTAACAACAGGTTCTAATACCATGGAATTTGCAACAATTCATATATTGTAAAAACAACAGAACAACCATCTGATTTTACCAGAGACAACAGTAATAATATCATGGATAAATCTGGCTTAAATTACAAACGATGAAACAAATACCTTCGCATCTGAATTTGTTATGTGTTCTATCAGTTTTGGTATTTTGATAGACGCTACGCTGCCCGTACAGGCAACCAAAACGTTGCTTTCTCCCATCCAGATCAAATCACATTGACGAGGGAATCCCACTTCTGATGAGAAGTGAAATGTGTACCGTGTTTGGGATTTCCCCGGATTGGCTCATTTGTCATAGGGGGGATTTTATACTTATATCAACAGAATATAGGTATCATAATCCACAAAACATAAAGGAAATAAGGGATATACTTTACTGTGTAATTCCTATAGCTTTCCTCTTTTACTTATTCTTTGAATAAATCAAATATGCGTCATATACTTTGTATTTACAACCTGTTTCCTCCACATAATTAATAGTACACGCCACAGCTTTAGCCTCTAACCGACGTCGCTGTTCGCTTATGTCATGATCAGAAGTTTGTCCAAGATCATAATGTTCAACATTACTTTTATTAAGATAAATGAAAATACAATTTACATGAATTCTGACTTGGAATAGATATTGACGACGTATTGTGCAATTTATACATGAAACACTTTATGAGGGTTTAAACATGGCGGCAGAAGTAGACGACGTGGATGTAGCAGAAGAGAATATTTTATATGATTTGTCTGTTCAGACTGAATGGCGCCTTGACAACGAACTATTTGTACGTTCAACATTCCATTACATTCATGCAATAGGATTCTAAATCCAATGAAACCGTTTTTTACAATAACATCCTCACAAAATGCCACACTAGCCCATTCGTGTTCTCACAGTGTCCAGATCACCTCTCCCAAACACAACTTCTTGGATTTTGAAACTTCTGTCTATTATATCTAACTTAATTTCGCAGGTTTAAGAATTCAATATGGAGAGAAAAGAATGTCCAGTGACTACGAACTGGCGCTGATTCTGTTGTATTGTTTGTCATTGCCACCTGTTGTAACTATAGGTTTTACTCTTGTTAAGCATCACACTACTTATAATCATTTCAGTCTGCTATCTGATAACAGTTGTTATGATTATCTGAGGGTGTACTAACCTGTGGTGATAATGTTCACAAAGTTGAACTGATCTGATATCAGTACATCCCACATTGTTGGCAGTTTGCCTATCACTCTAATTGTTTCAAGTGCCAAGCTTCAGCAGTCACATGTATCAGCCTTCCTTCCTTCCTCATCCAAGCCAAAGGTCAACCATTACATATTGTAAGAGCATGAACTGACCTCTTAAATGTGATAATAGCTTACTACGACTCTGGCAAGTAGCCACACGTGTTGCCATCACCAAGCATGGGCGTACAGTGGAATTTTAAAATGAGCTTTCATGAGAGTGATTTTTTCATGTCTAGTACAGATATTTGTGAAAATGATGAGCTCAAAGTATGTGAAATCAATTCATTCACTGTCATCTGTTATAACTGGATTGCCAGGAATTCGCTTTTCTAAGGTAAAGCACCAGGTGTTTATTTTTGTTTTATCACTTTTGTTGCTCTAGCTTCTTTTTACTTATCATCTGTATGGTTCTAACTCACCAAATTCAAATGCTGTATATAAATTTTTAGAGCACAGGGATACACATTGTTGTTGCATTCATGAGTGCCTGTCATCATACCTTCAAGGTGTGGGATGTTCCAGAACATTCAGTTCTTTGTTTGCCTGGTCCAGAGTGGTTATTTGCAGATTGTCATGAAATAACTGTAATATCTGGCTGCTGTGTTAAACAACTAGCAAACAAACATAAGCTTGATGAAAACATTATTCAATGCCAATTTACAGTTGATATAATATTATTCAATGCCATTTTAGTACTTTGTACAGGCAACATATCATTATTCCTCACAATTTTAAGTTCATGTAATGTTATTCCACTCCATTTTACAGTTAATATAACATTGTTCAATGCCATTTTACAGTTACTGACCATTGCTGAGTTGGGAATTATTGCTCTCTTCTTGCATATTCGTCAGATTCCAGGGAGAAATCTTTTGAACGGACTGTGTATTTTTGAAGAGACAAGATGTATCATTTTGGCAGTAGCACATTCATTTTCAGGTTCATAATTTCTCGCTAGATGATTTTCCTAGCATGTATTCATTTCATCTGCCACCAGATGAATCTCAAACATCAGTATGTAATATTGTTAGTATATATTATCATTATATCAATATTAGCAATTGCTGGATGTACAAATCTGCAAGTTCTGGTTGTTAAGTCGGTGTGTGCTTTGTGAACAATGATAATTCTATTGGAGTATTTCTATTTATCAAAAGCTTCTTAACTGTTCTTATATTCTTTGATTTCAGAGGTCTTTCCCCCTCCAAATCTCCTGCTTATAATACCGCACATGAAACATACATATATACATGATATGTTCTATATCATATATGCACAATTGTACTGTCTTTTTTTTTCCAGCCCATTTTTTTAGCACCAAGTATATAATTTACCAGTGCTAACCTTTTTGACTTTTTTGACTAATTGACTAAGTAAGATGATGACACAGATGGGATGTGGTATTGAGTTGTGTTACTAACCTTGATGACCTTTTGTTCACTGTTACATTTCCAGACCAGAAGTCCAAGGGACAAAGACAAGGTTTCTATTGTTGGACGGTTAGCATCAGCATCTCTAAGTGAGTTGGATTGTTTACAAGTATTAACTTTCATGCATTAAGGAGATAGTCATCAAGAATTTTCCCATTTGTTGTTTGATAATCGCAGAAAAATTGATAGAACATTAATGGAAAATATTTTTAGTCAGCAGTGACAACAGAAGCTTATGAAACTAATGCCACAGTTAACATGATAACAGACTTGGGATCATGATGTAAGTAGTTTGTGGCAGAGAAAGTCGGTTACCAAATGTTTGTTGATAGGGGCAACTAAGATGGGTCATGTGACCTCAGTGTTTGCAGCATACCAGTATGTGTAACACTTGACCAACTTACAACTGTGATCTGGCTGGTCTTAAAGAGGCACTATGCTTCATGGTCTGCTTCCCTTCAAACATCTCAGTCTACACTTAGTATTTATTGCTACATGTACAAAATGGCTATTTCACTGTATCAGTAGGGTAACCGTTAACTGCTTTATATCTTAGTATTGATGATTGATTGATTCAAGCTGGTGTTGAAATAACTTGCATAAACATTTTACTAGGACTGACGAGAGTCCGTTCATTAGTGGTACTTGATAGATGAGATCTGACTCACACAGGCTAATGTTATATCAGGCCAAGGAGTATTGTGCTTACATGTTGGTTGTTTCTCCTAGATGGTGATTACTCAGACTGAACATGGCTTGTCTGTACACTACAGTTCTGACTAGTAGGGGAGCAGTGGGGTAGCCTAGTGGTTAGAGCGTTCACTCTGAAGACATGGGTTCAATTCCCCATGTGGGTACAATGTGTGAAGCCCATTTCTGGTGTCCCCTGGCATGATGTTGCTGGAATATCGGCAAAAGCGGTTTAAAACTAAACTCACTCACTTACTCTGTGTTGTAGGATGTTGTGGAAAGTAACTTTAAAAAACATGTTTGGTGTGTTGTGACAGTCTATGACTTGTTGGAACTACCAATCTAGTGGCTAACTTTAACTTGATGGTACTCAATGCATTCATTATATCTGACTGAAGATTAAGTGTTGTTTCGCATTGGTTTGGACTAGAGAGTGAATTTACAGACTGACATGACTTTACTATTTAGTATGATAGGATTCTCTGGAGAAATAACTTGAAAAAACATTTCTTGTGGTCTTGGCTAGGGAAGCAGTTTGTTTCATTATTCACATGTTAGTCAGTCTGTGGTATTAACTGTTGCTGATGGATTAACAATGCAGTAAACCTTTAGTACAGACAAACACCACTGTGTCCAACTTTGATTTGTTGAACTTACAGTTATCTTGAAGTAAAAGCATGGTCCCTGCATATTCCTAATTTAGTCATCCTTTGGCGTTGGATAACACGAAGTATCTTCATAGGTCCCTTCAACTTCAACCCAACATTGTTGACCTTACAAACTGAATATACCATGGTAAGGGCGTAGCATTTCTTCAGGCAATAACAACATGGTCTAATACCATGAATAGTGATATGCTGCTTGAAACAGTGGATATCATAACTTTGGTTGTGATGATTCCCAGGATTTTTGGGATAAGGATATTTTTAGTGTTATGTAATCATCAGGATTATAGATTATCAGGATTATCTATCTATATGCTGGAAAATACAGAAATGAAATTATGGAACCGTATGTTTTACTGTGTGTGTATAATCCTTATGTATTGTATATTTATGGCCATTAATAGTATTGTCTGTGTATATTTTTTTTTGTATTACTCAGTGGCTCTATTTTGCATGTTTTCTAGGATCTGTGTGGACGTTTCTACGGACTGTTGGGGTTCCTTTGCAGTAAGTTGTTATAGTATTTATTATGCTGTACATTCTATATCTACATATATCATGTTTATGACACATTGTTACTGTTGTCATGGTTATGTGCATGTATAATACTGTAGTCATTGTAATATGAAGCATAAGTCGCTGTTAACAGCGATGAAAGTATCTCTAAGTATGATTCATGTACACCTATCTTCACAGTTGTTTGTATGGTATAATTGACTTTCTATGGTCACTTTATCAGTGGAAGTTATATTTTTTATAACGTCATCAATGTGATATATGTAATGACATGAGGTGGAAGGAAACGCCTGCAAATAATTATGATAATGGAAGACAGATTCTGTTACATTCTAACTATATTCTACACGACTTTTGATGATGACAATCAGAACTGTCAGCCTATACAGATCTTCATGATACATGTTATGGGAATCAGTTTTGTGTATGATGGATAGATCCAAATATCCCTTGAAAGTGTGATAGTAAAGATTGGTTCGACTGAAATGATGGTACATGGGTTATAAGGGTTATCCAAGCATTATGATTCACTTTGTACAACATGGTGTACGGGGAGCTATCTATACTCTGTATCTACCGGGTATAACAAAACCACAAGTGTAGCCATTTGCCATGGTAACCAGATACTGGGTTACATGCAGCTACAGGAGTTTCTATTTTTACATTCCTCATCTGTTGATGTAGAATCAACAAAAACAAATTGGCATAATGCCCAAATTAATCTGGCAGTCTGCAGCAGAAACTTCTTCTGCCTCATACCAAACAGAAAACTGTGTCTTGAGGACATACTTTATGTGGGACCTCTGTATACTGGAGTGGACATGATATTATGGAATATTATAAACATTTCTCCTGGACACTGATAGTTGAACTCAGTGTCTGAAAGCAGTTTAAGTACCTGGTCAACAGTTTGATTGTTTTTACCCCCAAACCTAGAAAGGTTATACCAACTAAATTCCACCTGTCCATCTGTCTGTCCAAAGACATTTTTGTTCAACTAATAACTGGAAAACTCTTGTTTGGATTGTTTTCACATTTGGGGACCACCTTCTTTGTCTACTGGTAGAGGTGTATTTTGATATTATATTGTTTTCAAGAATTACAGCAATTTACAAATATGAACTTAGAAATGTTTGTTCAATTAATAACTTTTTCAAATTAATGTTTTGAAGTTTGGAAAAGGCCTCTTTGTCTAAAGAATGGGGCTTTGCAAAGTTTGGTTTTGAGTTTCTAGTTTTTGCATCATATTGTAAACTTTGAAAAATATGAAAACTTTAATTGAGGTTGGTAGGGACACTTTCATTGAGCTTGGCAAAAATACTCTCACTGAGCTTGGTTGGATCACTTTCACTGAGGTTGGTAGGAACACTTTTACTGAGGTTGGTAGGAACACTTTTACTGAGGTTGGCAATAACACTTTCATTGAGCTTGGCAGGAACACTTTCATTAAGTTTAGTAGGAACACTTTCATGGAACTTGGCAGGAACACTTTCACTGAGGTCGGTAGGAACACTTTCATTGAGCTTGGCAAGAACTTTCATTGAGCTTGGCATGAACACTTTCATTGAGCTTAGTAGGAACACTTTCATTGAGCTTGGTAGGAACACTTTCACTGAGGTCGGTAGGAACACTTTCATTGAGCTTGGTAGGACCACTTTCACTGAGGTTGGTAGGAACACTTTCATTGAGCTTGGTAGGACCGCTTTCACTGAGGTCGGTAGGAACAATTTCATTGAGCTTGTCAAAAACACTTTGATTGATCTTGGTTGGAACACTTTTACTGAGGTTGGTAAGACCACTTTCATTGAGCTTGGCAAAAACACTTTCATTGAGCTTGGCAGGAACACTTTCACTGAGGTAGGTAGGAACACTTTCATTGAGCTTGGTAGGACCACTTTCACTGAGGTCGGTAGGAACACTTTCATTGAGCTTGGTAGGACCACTTTCACTGAGGTCGGTAGGAACAATTTCATTGAGCTTGTCAAAAACACTTTGATTGATCTTGGTTGGAACACTTTTACTGAGGTTGGTAAGACCACTTTCATTGAGCTTGGCAAAAACACTTTCATTGAGCTTGGTTGGAACACTTTCATTGAGCTTGGCAGGAATACTTTCATAGTGCTTGGTAAGACCACTTTCATTGAGCTTGGTTGGAACACTTTCATTGAGCTTGGTTGGAACACTTTCATTGAGCTTGGAAAGACCACTTTCATTGAGCTTGGTTGGAACACTTTTAGTGAGGTTGGTAGAAACACTTTCATTGAGCTTGGTTGGAACACTTTCATTGAGCTTGGTTGGAACACTTTCATAGTGCTTAATAGCAGCAACACTTTTACTGAGGTTGGCAAGAACACTTTCACTGAGCTTAGTAGGAATACTTTCACTGAGGTTGGTAGGACCACTTACTGAGGTTGGTAGCACCACTTTTACTGAGGTTGGTAGGAACACTTTCATTGAGCTTGGTTGGAACACTTTTACTGAGGTTGGTTGGAACACTTTCATTGAGCTTGGTTGGAACACTTTCATTGAGCTTAGCAGGAACACTTTCATAGTGCTTGGTAAGACCACTTTCATTGAGCTTGGTTGGAACACTTTCATTGAGCTTGGTTGGAACACTTTCATTGAGCTTGGTTGGGACACTTTCATTGAGCTTGGTTGGAACACTTTCATTGAGCTTGGTAAGACCACTTTCATTGAGCTTGGTTGGAACACTTTTAGTGAGGTTGGTAGGAACACTTTCATTGAGCTTGGTAAGACCACTTTCATTGAGCTTGGTTGGAACACTTTCACTGAGGTCGGTAGGAACACTTTCATTGAGCTTGGTAGGACCACTTTCATTAAGTTTAGTAGGAACACTTTCATGGAACTTGGCAGGAACACTTTCACTGAGGTCGGTAGGAACACTTTCATTGAGCTTGGCAAGAACTTTCATTGAGCTTGGCATGAACACTTTCATTAAGTTTAGTAGGAACACTTTCATGGAACTTGGCAGGAACACTTTCACTGAGGTCGGTAGGAACACTTTCATTGAGCTTGGTAGGACCACTTTCACTGAGGTCGATAGGAACACTTTCATTGAGCTTGGTAGGACCACTTTCACTGAGGTCGGTAGGAACACTTTCATTGAACTTGGCAAAAACACTTTGATTGATCTTGGTTGGAACACTTTTACTGAGGTTGGTAAGACCACTTTCATTGAGCTTGGCAAAAACACTTTCATTGAGCTTGGCAGGAATACTTTCATAGTGCTTAATAGCAGCAACACTTTTACTGAGGTTGGCAAGAACACTTTCACTGAGCTTAGTAGGAATACTTTCACTGAGGTTGGTAGGACCACTTACTGAGGTTGGTAGCACCACTTTTACTGAGGTTGGTAGGAACACTTTCATTGAGCTTGGTTGGAACACTTTTACTGAGGTTGGTTGGAACACTTTCATTGAGCTTGGTTGGAACACTTTCATTGAGCTTGGCAGGAACACTTTCATAGTGCTTGGCAAGACCACTTTCATTGAGCTTGGTTGGAACACTTTCATTGAGCTTGGTTGGAACACTTTCATTGAGCTTGGAAAGACCACTTTCATTGAGCTTGGTTGGAACACTTTTAGTGAGGTTGGTAGAAACACTTTCATTGAGCTTGGTAGGAACACTTTCATTGAGCTTGGTTGGAACACTTTCATTGAGCTTGGTAAGACCACTTTCATTGAGCTTGGTTGGAACACTTTTAGTGAGGTTGGTAGGAACACTTTCATTGAGCTTGGTAGGAACACTTTCGAGCTTGGTTGGAACACTTTCATTGAGCTTGGTTGGGACACTTTCATTGAGCTTGGTTGGAACACTTTCATTGAGCTTGGTAAGACCACTTTCATTGAGCTTGGTTGGAACACTTTTAGTGAGGTTGGTAGGAACACTTTCATTGAGCTTGGTAAGACCACTTTCATTGAGCTTGGTTGGAACACTTTCACTGAGGTCGGTAGGAACACTTTCATTGAGCTTGGTAGGACCACTTTCACTGAGGTCGGTAGGAACACTTTCATTGAGCTTGGTAGGACCACTTTCACTGAGGTCGGTAGGAACAATTTCATTGAGCTTGTCAAAAACACTTTGATTGATCTTGGTTGGAACACTTTTACTGAGGTTGGCAGGAACACTTTCATAGTGCTTGGCAAGACCACTTTCATTGAGCTTGGTTGGAACACTTTCATTGAGCTTGGTTGGAACACTTTCATTGAGCTTGGAAAGACCACTTTCATTGAGCTTGGTTGGAACACTTTTAGTGAGGTTGGTAGGAACACTTTCATTGAGCTTGGTAGGAACACTTTCATTGAGCTTGGTTGGAACACTTTCATTGAGCTTGGTAAGACCACTTTCATTGAGCTTTGGTTGGAACACTTTTAGTGAGGTTGGTAGGAACACTTTCATTGAGGTCTCAGAGGAACACTTCTCGAGCTTGGCTGGAACACTCTCATTGAGCTTGGCTGGGACACTTTCATTGAGCTTGGTTGGAACACTTTCATTGAGCTTGGTAAGACCACTTTCATTGAGCTTGGTTGGAACACTTTTAGTGAGGTTGGTAGGAACACTTTCATTGAGGTTGGTAGGAACACTTTCAGCTTGGTTGGAACACTTTCATTGAGCTTGGTTGGGACACTTTCATTGAGCTTGGTTGAACACTTTCATTGAGCTTGGTAAGACCACTTTCATTGAGCTTGGTTGGAACACTTTTAGTGAGGTTGATAGGAACACTTTCATTGAGCTTGGTAAGACCACTTTCATTGAGCTTGGTAGGACCACTTTCACTGAGGTCGTAGGAACACTTCTACTTGAGCTTGGTTGGGACACTTTCACTGAGGTCGGTAGGAACAATTTCATTGAGCTTGTCAAAAAACACTTTGATTGATCTTGGTTGGAACACTTTTACTGAGGTTGGTAAGACCACTTTCATTGAGCTTGGCAAAACACTTTCATTGAGCTTGGCAGGAACACTTTCAAAGTGCTTAATAGCAGCAACACTTTTACTGAGGTTGGCAAGAACACTTTCACTGAGCTTAGTAGGAACACTTTCACTGAGCTTAGTAGGAATACTTTCACTGAGGTTGGTAGGACCATTTACTGAGGTTGGTAGCACCACTTTTACTGAGGTTGGTAGGAACACTTTCATTGAGCTTGGTTGGAACACTTTTACTGAGGTTGGTTGGAACACTTTCATTGAGCTTGGTTGGAACACTTTCATTGAGCTTGGCAGGAACACTTTCATAGTGCTTGGCAAGACCACTTTCATTGAGCTTGGTTGGAACACTTTCATTGAGCTTGGTTGGAACACTTTCATTGAGCTTGGTAAGACCACTTTCATTGAGCTTGGTTGGAACACTTTTAGTGAGGTTGGTAGGAACACTTTCATTGAGCTTTGTAGGAACACTTTCATTGAGCTTGGTTGGAACACTTTCATTGAGCTTGGTAAGACCACTTTCATTGAGCTTGGTTGGAACACTTTTACTGAGGTTGGTAGGAACACTTTCATTGAGCTTGGTAAGACCACTTTCATTGAGCTTGGTTGGAACACTTTTACTGAGGTTGGTTGGGACACTTTCATTGAGCTTGGTTGGAACACTTTTAGTGAGGCTCTGTAGGAACACTTTCATTGAGCTTGGTTGGAACACTTTTAGTGAGGTTGGTAGGAACACTTTCATTGAGCTTGGTTGGAACACTTTCATTGAGCTTGGTTGGAACACTTTCATTGAGCTTGGTAAGACCACTTTCATTGAGCTTGGTTGGGACACTTTTAGTGAAGTTGGTAGGAACACTTTTAGTGAGGTCGGTAGGAACACTTTCATTGAGCTTGGTTGGAACACTTTTAGTGAGGTTGGTAGGAACACTTTCATTGAGCTTGGTTGGAACACTTTCATTGAGCTTGGTAAGACCACTTTCATTGAGCTTGGTTGGGACACTTTCATTGAGCTTGGTTGGAACACTTTCATTGAGCTTGGTAAGACCACTTTCATTGAGCTTGGTTGGAACACTTTTAGTGAGGTTGGTAGGAACACTTTCATTGAGGTTGGTAGGAACACTTTCGAGCTTGGTTGGAACACTTTCATTGAGCTTGGTTGGGACACTTTCATTGAGCTTGGTTGGAACACTTTCATTGAGCTTGGTAAGACCACTTTCATTGAGCTTGGTTGGAACACTTTTAGTGAGGTTGATAGGAACACTTTCATTGAGCTTGGTAAGACCACTTTCATTGAGCTTGGTAGGACCACTTTCACTGAGGTCGGTAGGAACACTTTCATTGAGCTTGGTTGGGACACTTTCACTGAGGTCGGTAGGAACAATTTCATTGAGCTTGTCAAAAACACTTTGATTGATCTTGGTTGGAACACTTTTACTGAGGTTGGTAAGACCACTTTCATTGAGCTTGGCAAAAACACTTTCATTGAGCTTGGCAGGAACACTTTCAAAGTGCTTAATAGCAGCAACACTTTTACTGAGGTTGGCAAGAACACTTTCACTGAGCTTAGTAGGAACACTTTCACTGAGCTTAGTAGGAATACTTTCACTGAGGTTGGTAGGACCATTTACTGAGGTTGGTAGCACCACTTTTACTGAGGTTGGTAGGAACACTTTCATTGAGCTTGGTTGGAACACTTTTACTGAGCTTGGTTGGAACACTTTCATTGAGCTTGGTTGGAACACTTTCATTGAGCTTGGCAGGAACACTTTCATAGTGCTTGGCAAGACCACTTTCATTGAGCTTGGTTGGAACACTTTCATTGAGCTTGGTTGGAACACTTTCATTGAGCTTGGTAAGACCACTTTCATTGAGCTTGGTTGGAACACTTTTAGTGAGGTTGGTAGGAACACTTTCATTGAGCTTTGTAGGAACACTTTCATTGAGCTTGGTTGGAACACTTTCATTGAGCTTGGTAAGACCACTTTCATTGAGCTTGGTTGGAACACTTTTACTGAGGTTGGTAGGAACACTTTCATTGAGCTTGGTAAGACCACTTTCATTGAGCTTGGTTGGAACACTTTTACTGAGGTTGGTTGGGACACTTTCATTGAGCTTGGTTGGAACACTTTTAGTGAGGTCGGTAGGAACACTTTCATTGAGCTTGGTTGGAACACTTTTAGTGAGGTTGGTAGGAACACTTTCATTGAGCTTGGTTGGAACACTTTCATTGAGCTTGGTTGGAACACTTTCATTGAGCTTGGTAAGACCACTTTCATTGAGCTTGGTTGGGACACTTTTAGTGAAGTTGGTAGGAACACTTTTAGTGAGGTCGGTAGGAACACTTTCATTGAGCTTGGTTGGAACACTTTTAGTGAGGTTGGTAGGAACACTTTCATTGAGCTTGGTTGGAACACTTTCATTGAGCTTGGTAAGACCACTTTCATTGAGCTTGGTTGGAACACTTTTAGTGAAGTTGGTAGGAACACTTTCATTGAGCTTGGTTGGAACACTTTCATTGAGCTTGGTTGGAACACTTTTAGTGAGGTTGGTAGGAACACTTTCATTGAGCTTGGTAAGACTACTTTTAGTGAGGTCGGTAGGAACACTTTCATTGAGCTTGGTTGGGACACTTTCATTGAGCTTGGTTGGGACACTTTCATTGAGCTTGGTTGGAACACTTTCATTGAGCTTGGTAGGAACACTTCAATTGTGCTTGGTAGGAACGAAACAACCAAGCATATATAGGAGTTGTCAGGGAGAATAGGAAGAAATCAGATTGGCTTAACATTAGTGAATGAAACTTCTGGGAATTCCCATCCTATTTTAAGTGGGAAATATGTTCTATTTGATGATCTTCCTCTTCCAGGACAGCCACTCCATGTTTGTTGCCAGAAGCTTTGGTGAAGCTAGTCAACAGTCAGATAAACTGGCACATTGCTGTCGGAGGGTAGGTCACCATGGAAACATACAGATCATCATGACCTTTTGCAACTTTGGTTGGGGATAGTTTCAAGATGTAGAATCAAGCGTTTAATAACGACAATTACATTAAATCAATAAAGAATGCTGTTTGGAAACAATCTGCATCAGAACCTAATTATGAGTCAGAAAAATGAAAAATATTATAGTCATTAACCAGTGAAATAAAGTTCAAAGTTAATGATAAAACAACTGTTGAAGATGTAAATTATTATGTATACAATTGTTTGATATCTCTTCTAAAGGCTGGTTTGTAGTGTATTGGTGTCCTTAGTCACATCCCCCATGCTTGTAGTTTATCAGTGGGCATGAGCAGTCGAGTCATTTAAGGCTTTGCTTTATGCTGTGCAGTGTTGTGACCTTTGGGACAAATCCAGAATTCACTCTAATTATGTTTGTTGGCATCACTTTAAACTTTCCTGTCATATCAAGCTGACTCCAAACTCACTTGTTGACTCACTCTATATTATTACTTTATTATATTTTTACCTGGGAGTGTCACTTGATCTCCACTTGTTACATGTGTTGCCTGAATATATCTGTTCCAGGGAAGGAAAGGTGGTTGCCATCCTCCAGGAGCAGTGTGTGGATATCAGGTAGGTTGGGATGTACCAACTTGCTCAAGTCGTCACACAAAGATGAACACTAACAAAAATTGGCATGACACCATGATGAACACTGACAAACATTGACATGACACCATGATGAACACTGACACACATTGACATGACACCATGATGAACTGACAAACATTGACATGACACCATGAACACTGACAAACATTGACATGACACCATGATGAACACTGACATTGACACCATGGTGAACACTGACAACATTGACATGACACCATGATAAACACAGACAAACATTGACATGACACTATGATGGACACTGACATGACACCATGGTGAACACTGACAAACATTGACATGACACTATGATGGACACTGACATGACACCATGATGAACACTGACAAACATTGACATGACACTATGATGGACACTGACATGACACCATGATGAACACTGACAAACATTGACATGACACTATGATGAACACTGACAAACATTGACATGACACTATGATGGACACTGACAAACATTGACATGACACCATGATGACCAAACACTGACATGAATCTGTGACATGACACAATGATGAACACTTGACATGGCTAATGTACATGTGGTTTTCATTCAGTGATTATTCTCATGATGTGAACATGCATTAGTAATATTGTCTTTTGCGAATCAAAACTGAAACTAAAATGATTTTAGTATTGGTATCGTTTTTTGGGGATATAGTATTAGGCTCCATCCGTCCATCCGCTGATTTAGCTCTCTGATATTGTTAGCTTTATGTGATGTTAATGTGACAAAATATGCTTTAAAGGATGAGTCCAAAACAATGTTTCAGCCTCATTAGTAGTCATGACAACAACCTCTGTTGTCAGATCACACCGAGATGGATATGAGTCCACAGTGGGGCGTGGCTCCTTCCAGCGTGACCCGTGCCCCCAGTGGCGCTGTGTGGTATGGAGCCCGGACAACACCATGCTGGCCTGCTCGCGGAGCTGTGGAGCCGTTGATGTGTTTGATATCATGGGGTCACTGCTTTTCACCATCCCTGGGGTGAGAATCTCTAGACACACCTTCACGTGTACCCTTATATCTTTTGTAGGGAGTATTTTTAGAGACAAATTTTCTATTTACTCACTAGGAAAGACAGTAGAATAATTTAAATCAATGAAGATGAATCAACTGAAACAATCTGGCACAATATTCCTCATTTCATCTTGAAATGTAGTTCATTCCAATAAAATTGAGTGAAAACCATGTCTCACATTTACTAGAAGGAGACTGTTGCATGAAGTTTAATCCCGAGTAATCTAAATAACCATCATGAAGGACATGCTGCAGTGAAACATCTGTAAAATGATCGGTGCCTATGTCCTTACAGGAAACGACAGAGAACACCCCCCATGACCTGAGCTGTGCCGTGGCTGCCCTCATCTTCACGGATCACCAACACCCAGACAACAAATGGTAACATATCCAACATTAGACACAGATGATAAAATACCATTATCACACTGTTTTGATGGTGGTGTGTGGAGTTTGTGAGACAGGCATAGAGGACAGGGAAGCCAAGACTCCTCACCTGATCATAGGCTGTGGTGACTCTGGGGACCTATAATCTTACCCAGAATGCCCACTGGTATCGCTTCAAGTGATCGTTAGTTAAAGTTTGATGTTTGCAGGTACTACCTATATCCTGTGTCCAGATGTCAGGTGGAGACAACTCTGTCCATGTAGACTATACTGTTCTCTTCCAGGTCAGCAGAACTACTGGTCATCAACTACCATGGTCGTCTGAAGAGCTACTATGTCAGCCGAGACAAGGGCTATAAATCTCGCCACAGCTTCGTCTTCAGTGGACATTACCCTCTTGGCATCAGCTCAGCCGTCTATCTCTCCGAACATAAGATGTTGTTGGTTGGTGGGTGTGGCCAGGGCGGGGAGCCGTCGTCAGCGGCAACTGAGGCAACCAGTGAGGGAATCACAGCGTGGCGGTTGCTGTCAGACATACCTCATTACAAACTGATCACGGACTATGATACAGGGATGACACAGGTACGAGCAGCGAGTGTAGGTGAAGTAGAGACGGTTTACTCTTTGTTACGCTTAATTGGCTAAACAGTCTAATCCAAATTGTGAAAAATTATTTATACAGTCTCCCCTTAAATAAGCTTTGCCCCTTTTGTTAAAAGTAGCTTGTGATTGTAAGAATCAACCTATCGTTTGTCTGCAGTGTGTGGAATAGAATATTGCTAACCTGTCCAGGTTTTGTTCATTGCTACCATTTTGACAACTTATTTCAGGCCAACAAGGGAATGTCAATACTGAGCATGCTGCGTGTGCCTCAACTGTCCGCCTGGAAGGGAGGGTTTGTGGTGAGACATTGTCTGTCTGTGTCCTGTATCCAGGCTTGGATGCAGTACAGCAAGTGATGTGGATGACGAACGAACTCATTAACTGTGTAGCAGTCATTGTAACATAAAGAACAGTTACTTGTCCGACAACACTAATGATAAAATGAATGAATCACTGCACTATAAATCACAGCAAATATGATCATAGATACCCATTGTTTTTAACACTGATTAACATGAACAGATATGGAGATGTGTCAGTTTCTGCTTTCCAGGATGGCGTGTACAAGATGTGCGTGTCGCCTGCGGGGGACACACTGGTTGCGCTGCACCTGTCGGGCAAGCTGTCCGTGTGGCACCTGCCATCTCTCCGCCACAAGGTCGCCTGGACACTGGAGGACCAGGTCAGATACTGGGGATGTGGAACAGTCCTACTTATGAAAGGAATATCAGTCATGAATACCTTGATTTGACTTCTGAACATTGAATGTCTTTGTGAACAATGAAATAGTTGTGTGTTGTGATGGTTTTGTGAATTGAATATTGACATTTCATTGCAGCCTGGGTATGATGAGGTCTGCCCCAAACTTGCTGAAAATCCTCAAAAGAGGAAAAGAATTAAAGGTATGACACATTTTAATGGCTGTATCTCTCTGCACATGACTATCAATATGTTAAACACATGTCCTGAATGCTTATTGGTGGATGTCTGACTGTGTGAACAGTGACATGGCTAGACTAGTTTACTCTGGCATGGAAACCAAATGTCATGTAACCATGTATTGTAAGAATTAGCTATATTCCTGTACCAAGTCCCTTATTAGGTATTAGTGAAGACACTGAAGCATTTAACAAATGTTATTGGCATTGTGTCAGATTAGTATGATTAACATTGTGGATGTGTCAACCCTGAGACACAGACAATAATCTGACATCTGATGGAAAAACTGTTCAATGTTAGATCCCCCTGCTCACAACTGTACTCTCTGATACAGATCTGATACCTCACAAGAAACTACTTGATGTCAACTTCTGGTCAAATGAGGTAAGAATCTGTCTGTTACCTTTGTGCTACATGAAAGTCAGATATGATGATGTACTTTCAATCCATTCCTCTGAGACCCGTGAAGATACAGGTTAGAATATGTCTTCAGCAACCCATCCCTGTCATAAGAGGCCACTTGAGGGATCGGGTGGTCAGGCTCACTGACGTGGTTGACACATGTCATTGTATCCAGATTACGTAGATCAATGCTCATGATGTTGATCACTGGATTGTCTGGTCCAGACAGATTATTTACATATGGCTGTTATGTTGTTACAGTTATGTTGTTACAGTTATAATTATGTTGTTACAGTTATGTTGCTACAGTTATAGTTATGTTGTTAGTTATGTTGTTACAGTTATGTTGTTGCAGTTATAGTTATGTTACAGTTATGTTGTTGCAGTTATAGTTATGTTGTTACAGTTATGTTGTTGCAGTTATAGTTATGTTGTTACAGTTATGTTGTTACAGTTATGTTGTTGCAGTTATAGTTATGTTGTTACAGTTATGTTGTTGCAGTTATGTTATGCAGTTACATGTTGTTGTTATGTTGTTTACAGTTATGTTGTTGCAGTTATAGTTATGTTGTTACAGTTATGTTGTTGCAGTTATAGTTATGTTGTTACAGTTATGTTGTTTCAGTTATAGTTATGTTTACAGTTATGTTGTTGCAGTTATAGTTATGTTGTTACAGTTATGTTGTTGCAGTTATAGTTATGTTGTTGCAGTTATGTTGTTATGTTATAGTTATGTTGTTACAGTTATGTTGTTGCAGTTATAGTTATGTTGTTACAGTTATGTTGTTGCAGTTATAGTTATGTTGTTACAGTTATGTTGTTTCAGTTATGTTGTTTCAGTTATAGTTATGTTGTTTCAGTTATGTTGCTTCAGTTATAGTTATGTTGTTTCAGTTATGTTGTTGCAGTTATAGTTATGTTGTTTCAGTTATGTTGCTTCAGTTATAGTTATGTTGTTTCAGTTATGTTGTTGCAGTTATAGTTATGTTGTTTCAGTTATGTTGCTGCAGTTATAGTTATGTTGTTTCAGTTATGTTGTTACAGTTATGTTGTTGCAGTTATAGTTATGTTGTTACAGTTATGTTTTTACAGTTATGTTGTTGCAGTTATAGTTATGTTGTTACAGTTATGTTGCTACAGTTATGTTGTTACAGTCATAATTATGTTGTTACAGTTATGTTGCTACAGTTGTGCTGTTACAGTTATGTTGCTACAGTTATGTTGTCACAGTTATGTTGCTACAGTTATGTTGTTACAGTTATAGTTGCTACAGTTATGTTGTTACAGTTATAGTTATGTTGTTACAGTTATGTTGCTACAGTTGTGCTGTTACAGTTATGTTGCTACAGTTATAGTTATGTTGTTACAGTTATGTTGTTGAAGTTATTTTGTTACAGTTATAGTTATGTTGTTACAGTTATGTTGCTACAGTTATGTTGCTACAGTTATAGTTATGTTGTTACAATTATGTTGTTGAAGTTATTTTGTTACAGTTATGTTGTTACAGTTATAATTATGTTGTTACAGTTATGTTGTTGCAGTTATAGTTATGTTGCTACAGTTATTTTGTTACAGTTATGAAACTAGGATAGATACAATCTGATTCTGTTGTTGTGAAGGCGCTGATCTTGGCGAGATGTACTGGCGCTGTCATGGTGTGTGCAGTGAACACCTTACACAACTACCTGGGCAAGTCCCCTGAGTGGTTCGAGCCGTCCCCCCGTGTCAGTGAGAGTTACCAGGGAGGATTCCTCGGCATCGAGGTAAGGAGCCGGAGTGCTCTCTGACTCTCCCAGTCATGTAATTAGTTCAAGTAAAGTTGAGGCCATAGTGAGGGAGGATAACAAAATAAGGAGTGAGACATCCCATTGTCACAATAGAGAATACTACACGAGGTCTCATTACATACGAATTATACAAAACGAGTGTCCTTCCTATGGTATCTGACCGAGCGAAAGCGATCTCAGAAACCATAGGAAGGCCACGAGTTTTGTATAATTCGTATGTTATGAGACCGTATGTGGTATTTTATTTATTACCCACGTCTTACATGCTTTTAATTGACGAAATATTGTATTTTTGTAATTTTTATGGTTTCAAACCGAAACCAGTTTCATAAAGAGGTTGCGGAAGAATGTTGTTCTGTAGTACACTTTTTGCATGACGTCACACTGTAATGATGTCACTACGCCTTGCTCGTCTGCCCCTTGGTAACCGACGTCACGATGCATGTCAGTTGTCATCGCCTCATACAGCCTCCTCCATTAAACTACTCCGTAGCACCCCGTTTCTTAGTTTGCAATTGCTTCACTTGGCTAACATCACTGGTTGAAACTTTGCTTTTATGTTTTTCGACGCATACAATGTCTCAGTTCAACTCACAATTAAACAGTGATACGGCAACGTTCGCTATGTTTATATTCCCACAATGCATATAAGTTGTAGAATGAATGAATTCACGGGTTTGTTATAAATGAAAAAGTAGTTCTGTCACATCATGACCTAATTGAGAGGTCATCGGTTATCCAATCAAATCGTTAGAATCTCAGGTCTAGTCGTTACGACACAGGTGAACGCGATACAACACTTGTGTGACGTACGAGATTAGTATGCAACTACCCATGCGTTGACCACGTGGGCAATAAAAGAAGTTATTCTTCAATATATTGTCATCCTTCCTTAGTGCTCCAATGTTCACTTAACAGTGGTTTAGGCAGGATGGTTTCAACGTATGACATTTTATCAAACCAGTAGTATTTCCAGAACAACTTCGTTTCTGAAAAACAGGGACTTCCTGTCATCCTATCCTAGCTTCAGGATGTCTATAACACTTCATTACTGTGTAGCCATGGAATATTAATGTTACCATGGAAATCCAAGATAAGAAATAACTCTCCTATTCTCCCATGTTTTGGTTGCTGGACAGGTGGTTCTGTGGGTTACCACAGATTCCACAAGAAAAAGGCATTAGCATTTCTCGTTCAAAAGTTCCTTAATGTACATTTGAATGTTACATTTGTGTGAACAGGTGAGCCCAGTCTTAAATGATGTTGCAGAAAGCCATGGATTGAAAGTAATCAAGAATGTCTACAAGCCTGAATATTGATAACGTAATGTTTGTAGCTGTACAAGCCCCTAGTATACCTAAACAAAACTGGTCTGACAGGCCAATGCCTGGCAGATGCCAACCTCCATCCCTGTAATCATGACTGGAGAATATATAAACCTGTCAACCCTGCTCTGTTGTACCTAGTGTGAGCATCGCTTCCCGAGGAAGAAGTTGATCGCTGATGAAGGTGACGAAGGTGATGACAGTGACGATGAAGATTCCACCTGGTATAACAGGTCAACCCGCGTCACAAAGCAGGTGCTGTACTACCTCACCGACAGCGAGAGGTTTCAGCCACCAAGGAAGAAGCCCAAGTCAGTTAACTTCATGATTTTAAGTTTTTGAATGTGGCACGACTTTGGTGTGCCACTAGTTGGTGAACCATTAGCTATGAAGATATTAGTTGTAATCTAACTCATTGGATGTATTTTAATTGAGATGGAAATCATGAAATTAGTTGTCACGAGTACTATCTCATTCATCCCCTCAGGGGATTAAGCCCTGACAAGCATTCATTGTGTGGAATCGGACAGAGGACACCAGATATTTCATCCGAACAGGAAAGTTGTAACAGATCCTCAACCTCTAATGCATCATTTCCATAAAGCCTGTATTTTCAACAGAAGTGCTCTTCACTGATATCAAGATAATATTACCACCAATTTACCACTAAGGTCTTCTTTTTGTCCTGTGGCATCATCACTTGGGCATTTAAATACTTTTTATTAAAATTATTTGAGTGACCTGTTTCTTGTTTCAGGTTGGTCACTCGCATTTACAAACTGATCTGTTTGAAATCTACGACCCCTCGAGGAACTGTATGCTCACAAGGTATAACAACATCAGCCAAGTACCGCAACATGTTCATAACAATATCATTATTGCTGTAACAAAACTCCCTAGTCACAGTGACTACTGAGGTTGATTATATAGGGAATTGTCTGTACAGTCTAGTCGATATTCTAATTAGTAGTAGATGTCTAATATTGGTTTAGAAATGCATATCTTTTCAATGAGTCCACATTTTCCCCTGCCTGTCCAAGCATGGCTGGGTACTTAAAGTGGGATGTATTCAGAGATATAATCTGTAGTCAAAGACTTAACGACAATGTCTTTGTGGACTGTGACCTGAAAAAAACCCTATCTCTTTGTCCTTAACTCACAATCATGCTGACATATGCAGATATAGAACTAAGGTAATGAACACCCTTATGTTGTGATATGAGATGCAGTAGTATGTTATCCCATTTACGTTGATGACTTGATGTATCCTACTCATGTGTCAGTGCTGAGGAACTATTCATGTGTGTCCAGATTGATGCGGAGGAATATGGTGAAGCTCTGGCGCTGGCGAGGACGTATGGGTTGGACTGTGACCTGGTGTATCAGAGGCAGTGGAGGAAGTCCCCGGTGTCCGTCGCTTCCATACAGGATTATCTGGTAAGTGGTGCAGCAGTTTGTGCTCACATAACATGCAAAGTGTTTCTACCTTCACCTAACTCACAGGATGCCATGAACACAGAGGCCTGTACTGACGAATGGTTAGAACTGATCCCCAGTGACCTATGTTGGTCAGAAGAAATAACCAGATGGATGTGAATATCAGGCTCAGTGATTTGTTTGGAAGCATGTCAACATATCCAACAACATATGATCAGTGCTCATAATATGAACAATTGATTGTATAACCCAGACTGTATTATTTACAGGGATCGGTTGTAACCCATGCTTGTCGTACATGGCGACTAACGGGATCGGGTGGTCAGGCTCGTTGGCTTGGTTGACACATCTCATCGGTTCCCAATTACGCAGATTGATGCTCGTGCTATTGATCACTGGATTGTCTTGTCCAGACTCGATTATTTACAGACAGCCACGATATAGCTGGAATATTGCTGAGTGTGGCGTAACACTAAACTCACTCACTCACTACAGGGATAGGTTGTAGTTTGAATTTTGCTGAGTGTATTAACAGTCAACACATACCATTACCATAGAATGTGTTGCTGAAAAACCATGATGCATGTCTGACGACTACTGTCATTTGCCTGACTAATTTCAGTGAACCTCAGATGATTTTGAACTTGATTAATGTTATCCCAGTGGCTATAACTATTCATGTCATGAATCTATTCCTTGACTGAGATGCCTGGTTGAAGGATACTGTCTCATTCCTTGAATTCAAAGAAGAAGAAAAACGTATTCATGTAATAGATGTTATACAATATTTCAGAGTAAAATTAGCAAGAGGTCGTGGGTGTTGCATGAGTGCTTGGAGCGAGTCCCAGACAACATTGATGCCATGTGGGAGCTCCTGCAATATGGGCTGCGCGGCACTGACCTTCCCGCTCTCATCACCATCGGCAACGGGGAGGATGGCGGCAGGTAGTGTCAGTCTAATACCATTTAATTAAGATATTTACAGGTAGCCATAAAGCTTCATGGAATGGAGGATTATATGTCCTCCATTGATGAATCAAGTGTTGAGTGCCAGGGAGTTAATTCTATATCAAATTTGTAATTTCACAAACAATGTTTGACATAATGGTATGATTATCATCCATTATTTCAAGTGACCAACTTTTGGATGAACATTAGTGATTATTCATGAGGAACACATTATGACTACTCATGTTGTTCTGTTAATGTATGGGAGATAACTCTATTGTTAGGTTCATCCTGTGTGACCCCGAGGAAGGCTTGTACGACGACATGAGTTTTGATGAATTTAACCCTGATGATCAGAGACAGAAGGAGGAAATGAGGCTCCAGAGGATGAAGGAGATGCTGGACCAGGTCCACTTTGACAGGTGAATCTTGTTAGTTGTCAGACGCCTTGTTAGTCATACGAGGATCCAAACATCCAAAACTAATGTTTCATAAGGCCACACTTGTTGTAGATGCTTTGTTTGGTTTATATTTTCTTAATCAATATATCAACATAAAGAAGGCAGTTTTAGAAAAGTCATTACCTGTGAACCATTTGTTTTATTTTCAAAGCCTCAGCTATCCTAAAAGCTAAATATGATGGCACAAACCTTTCAAGGATGAGTCTGTTTGACAATGTTAAGTAAGGATAAGTTGTGTTGCATACAGCATGAACCTGGAACAGAAGGAACTGTGCAGGGCCAGGGTGAAACTTCTCCAGTACATCGACAGACTGAGAACATACGAGGTGAGTTGGCTTCATGGTTAGAGTTAAAGGATGTACTTGTTGACTGTGATCCAAATAGGCAATTTGTCAGTTCAGAGACAGTTGTAAAATAGATCAAATCTGGTGAACTCACAAACATACAGTTTTCATGGAGTTGGAGATATCATATATAATGAGTATGTGTGCTTTTAAATATACAACCCAAATGAAATTAAGGACATCCACTGCCTTCCTATACCAGCAGTTACTGTGTCATGGTATGACAGATTAACTTCAGTAATATGAAAACAATCTGGGCTTCTCTTACTTCGTTTGTGTAGTATACATTTTCATAGAATCCTGACCAAATAAAGTGATTGAACTTGACCATTATGTTAACATGTGCCTGTGTTGCAGCATGTCATGGGAGGTAGAAGTGCTGCAGCTGAACGGTTCAACTCCAAGTTCTTCAAAGAATTCAGATCCCAAAATATAGTGGAAACTGCTGTTAATTATGCACAGGTAAATCAAATGTTTTATCATAGCATGTAGGACCAGTGCCTGTGCTTTGCTGCATGGGGCATCTTCATAATTGGAAGGAAACTACTAGAACCGAATAGAGTCACAACTAGCTCCTAGCCAAAGAGATATTCCCAGAGTCCCGTAGTGTTCCCTCTTATACGAAGATATTTACATGGAGAAAGTTGCCTGGTTAACATGTGCCCCTAGCTTATCAGAACTCACAACATTTATAATTCATCTAAGCTACAAGAATTCTGAGAATATTCAGGGAAATGTGAAATATGTTTCTACAACTTGCAGTGTACCATGTACTCTTAATGTTATTTTGTAGCGCCTTGAGCAGGCTTTATGTCTGGATTGTGCGCATTACAAATGCACTTTATTATTATTCCATGTGTTTCAGATGTCCAACTGTGAGGCCCTGGAGGCAATGTTCACCTACCATGGGGCGTCCACCCTCAAACACAGGTACGTCACAACTTGTCCCCAGACAATTACTGCCACTGCTATTGGTTGTTGTAGTAGGACTTTTTATGAGGTTGTCATGTTTCTGATTACAGACTTGTAATCCTGTCGCACTTCCCGGAGACGACGACGCCAGTGGAGTACAAGACCCTGCTGCCAGAGATGGCGTAAGTAGCTCAGGTGTTTACATTGTCAGCAGGTGAAACGTTCGCAGGAAACTGTAGTGTAATGGAATATGTTGAGAGGCAGTGTATAGTATCAGTGTTTGCCCCAAGTGACAACATGGGTCTGGTTCTCTGACCTGGCTGATTCCATGTTATCGGACCCTGATGGAGTAGCATTTGCTCGTTATGTCTACCTAGTATCCGTTCTTTCTTTTTCAAGTGGCATTTTAGGAAGACAAACAGGTTTTATGGATAGACAGCTTCTTCATTGCAATAGATGCGACATAACCTGCAGTCTCCTGGTGTACACATTGTCCAGGTTGTAATATCTGGTGCCCTTACTGGTGACACCAGCGTTCAAAATGTTGTCCGGAATATTGCCCGAAGTTGACTGAAAACCACGCAGACCCACAGTTCTGTTTTCTGCAGGTCCTTATAGCAGACAGCTTTTCCACCCCCAATAACTAAGAGTATTATTTCCATGTTAAAATATAGGGCCTGATCAGGACCCAAAACTTTTTATGGTTTCTGGGTCCTTAGGGTCTGCAGCTTATCAGGGTTAAGGGCAAACACTGGGTGACACATGTAATACATTCATCATTACTAGTTCCCAAGTGACAATGTGCTGTTTCTGATGAAATGTGACAGTTACGTCTCCTGTCTTATTACTACTGTTGACCTTTCAGTATGCTAATACATAAGTGTGAACAGAATCAGTTAAGGTGTGACCGGCCTGGCAAGTGATATCCCTTAAACAATATGACGTCCATGGGCTAACTGAGCTGTATGTGCTTTTACAAGAGTTAGACTTGCCAAGCAGACAGTTAAGACATTGTCAATACCCATGTAGTATCCTGCTATCAGATGGTAGGAAACAATTGATATAAACATGACATGTGATGTAACCTGACTGGGGTGATTGATGCGTGTGCTTTACAGGAACACAGAGGATGCACAGAAGTGGGAGCAGATCAGCTGGCGTGGCGAGCCAGACTGGAGCGAGGGAGATGAGTGCAGGTAAGGACCTCTCCTCAATATCATACACAGATTGTACAGTAGAGCACCTGCTCCTTGTGTCAGGACAGGTATAATATCTGATAGGTCTGTAAGAGTTTTACAGCTGTCAATTCTGTGGTCTACATGTTTCTGACAGTTTCAGCCATGCAGGTGTTTTGCATGGAGTCTTTTATCGATTAGTTTAATACTAGCTGAAGAAACAAACTTCTTGTCATTTCACCATCTTTTGCAGAGCTGCCATTGACCCGTCACCGGTTGACTTGGGAGTATTCCTATATGAAGACAAACCTGAGCTGGAGAAATACAGGTAACATGACATGTCACATGTTTATGTAATGCAGAGAAAGGTAGTTGAATAAATGGGATATTGCTGTCAGCTGTAATTACCCTGTATCCATGGTGATGACCTGGTAACATGATTTGCAGAACTGATGAGCCAAGCAAGTCCCTGCTGTGTGACTGGTACATTGACCGTGCCTGTGAAATAGAGCGCATGTCACGGCTGGTGGACAATGCACTTGACCTTGTCAAACTGGCCATACAGAACAGGGTTGAGGTAAGTGTTCTTCTTCATCATCATCATCATCATCATCATCATCATCATCATTGCTTGGAATTTTGGCATACAGATTCTTGTACCGTTGTCAAGCAAGAGTGAGCAAGCTTGGAAGTTTGGCATGCAATGATACATTATGGAGGTGTTCATCGTAAACTTACCTGAGTGATCTTGTATTTCGCACAACCACATTACTGAGTGACGTGACATGCTACTTGCAGGGACTGTATGACTTGCTTGACGATCTTCTTACTATGGAGATGTTGGTGTACGAGTGTGGCGTGGATGACAACCTCACTTTCAAGGATCTGCAGCAAATGGCCGACTACGACAAACTAGAGCTGATCATGTCCAAGGTAAGGTTAGACATACAGAGATTAAACTGGGGATGAACTGACCATATGGCTGAATTTTACTCAGGAATATTCAACTGCTTCAGAGAGTGATTGAGTAGGTTTTTGTTGTGAATATTAGATGCTGATGTTATCCTCCACTGGTTTCAGGCTGCATCAACATGGCAGAGTTGCTCTTGACTGGCATAATTACCATTATACCTTGAAAGTTTGACAACACAATTGTTTACAGACTCCATGGGAGATCCCAAACTTCTATAGGGGAGGCACCTTGCGATTGTTTGTTTCTGTTTATTGGATTTTGAGAATGAGGGAAGATTTTCATTGGTTATAAATCCCTCTAACCTGTGTTGATAGTTTTTGAGGTCCATCTTATGCTTGTTTCTCATGTTTGCAGTCTTCAGAAGAGATGTATGTGAAGAACCTGCGTCGTTGGATGGTGCCGTTCCTGAAGCAGTGTGAACGTCGTGAAGCTGGCTCGTACAACACTCTGCTGCACGACTACATCATTACCAAGGCCAAGACAGACCTGTCCCTCGTGGTCAAGATCTTCGAAACATCCAAGGCAGGGGTGAGGCAGCTACAGGCACAGAAATGTTTTTGTCTACAAGGAACTTCCATTCTTCACCAATTAGATCTAGAAGTACCTGTCTTGTATTCTGTGTCATTTTGTTGTTTAATGGTGGTCAGAAATTTCATTGAAACGATTCAAGTACGCTCTTCTGAATTCAAATAGATTACTTATTGATGCATCAAGTGTCCAAAGAAAGCCTGCATGCTCTATCTACCACTGTTCATATGTCTGTTGAAATATATTCCAGCCTCCCATACTGATTGTGACTTTTGATCAGACAAATACATATCACTGTGTATATTATGGATAAACCTGTGAAGGTCCGTGTTAGAATAGGTCTTCAGCAACCCATTTGGTAAGAAGCAACTAACGGGATCGTGTGGTTGAACCAACAAATACTATGGATAACTGCCTGATGTGCACTGCAGATGTTTACCAATCAAGTGAAATCCGCTAGCATGTGTAAGGTGTCTAGAATTACAATCTTGTTGAATCAGGGATCTATACCCAGTACAAGTAGTCCCTATGCCTCATTAATGACTTGGCCACTAATTGTGTGATTCTGTTTCAGGTGAGTCAGCCTGTTATTCAGAAGCCCAAGGATCTCATGTCTCTGGCCCTTGAAGCTGTCTATGTTTGTGAGAGGTGAACAAATTATTATCGTCTTTGAATAAACTTATCTGTTTTAGCTTAGTGTTACACAAAATAACTTGATACATTTAGCTACTGCCATGTGTAGCAAACTATTGATTATAGTTTCATGTAAATGTCACACATTGCAATTGTCATCACTTGTGACTAAGTACAGGTGACAAGGAGCATGACTCTCAGCATGGCTTCGTCCTGTGGACTACAGTTAATATTATGTTTAAGAATAAATTCAAATTTCGTATATTTTGTAAATTGTTTCCCACAATTAATATTGTAGAGACGACCAACTGAATCTGGCCTTTGACATCACCCAGTGTCTTCCCCAGAAGGATTCACAGTAAGTAAAGACATTGCAGTGTTTTTGTCTGTCTATCTGTTTGTCTGTGTATCTCTCTGTCTGTCTTTGTAGCTCTCTGTCTGTCATAATATCTGTTTTTCACTTTATAGCAACTGTTGGGAGATTGATATCCTGCTCTATGCTCTCATGTATCTCTGTTTCAGGAGAGATCCTGCCGACATGATCAAACTGCACAAACAAGTTGACAGACTGGAGAACCATCTTCAGTAGGTAGTCCTTATTTCCTGTAGGGAGCATATATTTTATATATAGGGAGCACCTGTTGTATATAAACAGCAGCTGTTATATATAAAGGGAACAACTGTTGTATATGAGGAGAGCACCAGTTATCTCACATGTGACCATTACGCAGATCTGCAGACAATTCATTAACGAAATTGAACAGCAGCCTTGTTACAGCGGTATAACTCATAATCGCCAACGATTTCTGAGAAGAAATATGTACAACAAGTTCAACTTTAATTCTACAATTATGATGATACATTCATGTTTACAGTCTACAAGCTGACAACTTGCAAGTTTTATTGAACCTTTATATAAGGAAGTCGGAATTATCTTCAAGACTAAAGTTACTTTCATGACAGCCAGGAAAATAACCTACCCAGCATTAATATTACAGAGCCAGGTATTTCATCGCTTACCATTAACCCTCAAACACGCGTGGTCACTCGGGTAACTTCGGAAGCTACGGTGAAGACTGGCGATTGTTCTAATATCAACGACGGCACTATATTATACAAAGGTTCCTTTTCCTGCTACACCGGTGACATCACAGCGGGTACTCTACAGAATCAAAATGCCATGTTCTGATTGGACCGGCTGATGGACAACGCCTCTACGCAGAGATCGATCATAGTTTACAGTTCAAGACTTAGGTTGCAAGTGACAACAATATATCAGTGAACGAGCAAGCCTCCTTACAGTCCAGCTAATCTGAACCTTCATGATTGGGCTGCCTTTTTTTGAGGTTAGAGACCTCCCCTGTCAAGTAAGGACGAGGCACGGCAGTCAGGCGATTTTACATAAAGTTCAACGATGGCAGTCACACCTGGTTGTGCACCTACATCGTCAAAGACTTCGCATAGCGAATTTACCTAGACGACCGGGATACAAGTGGATCCAAATCCACAGCCGTCTCAGACTACAGTTGAATTTCATCATCAAGCTACTAACACAACTAGATGGTTAGTAAACCTACCTAAGTTGGACCTAGAACCTTCCATGAAGATCTGCTAATTCTAGGTTTTTGATTTGTAACGGCAGAAATCGTGATAATTGTACCGAGGACCATGGATCAAGATCCAACAGTCATTTCCACAAGCCTTACTCTCTCGCTACCACTCTTACAGTGGCAGAGCCTGTTGGGGTTCACGCACTTCAGCTCAAGACATGACAGGCAGAGGCAGACTACAATTACATCCGTTACAAGTCATCATCAATTCGCATCTAGACGAATCTCTACCGCTCAATTACGGTTCAGGTCAAACCTCATTACTATGGTGGACCAAGAGATCGAATGTTTGAATAGGCGTCCTCGCTAATAGAGCTGGAATCGATAACACTTCTCTTCAGTAGATGTGTCACTACAAGGTTGGGGAGCCCATCTTGCCAACAGGACGACATCAGGGCTATGAGCAATCAAGAGAGCAAATTACACATAAATCTGCTAGAGATGCAAGCAGTGTTAACGCTTTAATGCACTGGAGCAACTTACTACAGTATACCCAGTGGATGATTCACACAGTCAATTCGACAGTGGCGCTTTTATGTGAACAAACTAAGCTCAACCAGGTCCCCGAACCTATCGACTCTATGTTTTCAATTGTTCGATTTAATCGACAATCTCAACATACATGTCAGAGCATATCACATTCCAGGAGCAAAGAATGTGATAGCAGGCGCTCTCTCTCGCCACACATACCATCGCCGGGACAGAATGAATGCTCCATACAGAGATATTCATTCAAATTATCAAAGAAATAGGAACTCCACTAATAGACCTATTTGCCACTCGATTCAACAAACAACTGACACATTCGTATACGCCAGTTCCAGACCCACTAGCATTGGCAACAGGCGCACTAAGCATATCGTGGAAGGACTCAACGGCGTGCGGCTTTTCCGCCACCAGCGTTAATCTCACAAGTTTACTCAAAAATCAGTCAAGCGCCAGAGCCTCCATCTGAATTTGGTCGCGGCCTACTGACCAGCGAGAACGTGGTTTCCAACTCTTATTCAAGAAATCGGACAACCAATACTACATCTTACAGAGTGCTCGAATCTGTTAATACATCCGCCATCGGAAAGCCAGAAATATTCCAACTTCCGCATTATGGATTGTATCAAAGCGTGTCTGAATAACAGGTTATTCAGCCAGAACGGCAAAGCAGTCTAGCTTGCCCTGCGTATCAACTTGCAACTTATCACGATGACAAATGGCACAGTTTTGTCAATTATGCTGCAAAGAAAGGATTTACAGCTAGATATGCTACTCATCCTCAAGTGGCTGACTACTTATGTTATCTACGTCAGACTAAGATTTTAAAAGGCTCAACTTGTCCACCTATCTTGCAGCAATAGCTCTGTCATAACTGAGAATGGGCGTCAAGTTAACCTTAACCCAGTTACTTTAAGCCTTGCTCACGAGGCTTTCCGATTGGAGGATTAAAACAGAAGTTTCAAGCTCCAACTTGGGATCTGAATATAGTGCTCCAACACCTCACAAGTGAGGTTTATGAACAAGCTTTGATGATATACTTGGACCCCATGATACGATGAATCTATCACGATGGCCAGTAAGAGCACTGAAAATATATCTCCACCGAGCCAAACAGGAGGGAAAAATTCAAGAGATTTATTTCCTCTATCAACAAGCTCACATGAGACTGAAGTCTCGCGTGCTACTATCTCCTTTGGATCAGAACTGTCATACTACGTGCCTACAAGACTGCAGGACTTCGACCCTCCAAGAGCTTCTAATCCTCATGATATTAGAGCTAACTTCTACACTTGATCTACAAGGCAAGTGCTATTGAAATACCATAATGGAGGTTATTTCTGGAGATCCGATATGGTGTTTGCCAACCACTATCTGAGAGATATCACCACGAGGAGGACGTCTCAGGTATCCACCAATTCGGTCCCATGGTCCTCGCACAACAGTTGACAGTTCCTCGGAGAAGATAAGTCAATCTTACAGGTTTCTACTTATCTTATAACAGTACTAAATAGCTACATGCTATATATATTTTTGCTTAAGTTCTTTATTATCTTAAGCTCAGTACTATGGTTATTATATCATACAATATATAAGCTAACAACTCTACGGAGTTTGTTATTATATATTTAGCTTAAGTTAATCACATCTTAAGCTCAGTACTATGGTTACATTATAAATGTATTAGCTAACAAACTCTACAGAGTTTTTGCTATTATATATGTAGCTTAAGTTAATTATATCTTAAGCACAGTACTACACTCATATCATAAAAATATATTAGCTAACAAACTCTGGAGTTTTTGCTATTATATATGTAGCTTAAGTTTATTCATATCTTAAGCTCAGTACTATGTTTATATCATATAAGTATATTAGCTAACAAACTCTAAAGAGTTTTTGCTATTATATATTTAGCTTAAGTTTCATCATATCTTAAGCATTATGGTTACATTATAACATGTATGCTTAAGTTTATTCATATCTTAAGCTCAGTACTATGTTTATATCATATAAGTATATTAGCTAACAAACTCTAAAGAGTTTTTGCTATTATATATTTAGCTTAAGTTTCATCATATCTTAAGCATTATGGTTACATTATAAAATGTATTAGCTAACAAACTCTACGGAGTTTTGCTATTATATACATAGCTTAAGTTTAACCATATCTTAAGCTCAGTACTATGTTTATATCATATAAAGTATATTAGCTAACAAACTCTAAAGAGTTTTGCTATTATATATTTAGCTTAAGTTTCATCATATCTTAAGCATTATGGTTACATTATAACATGTATGCTTAAGTTTATTCATATCTTAAGCTCAGTACTATGTTTATATCATATAAGTATATTAGCTAACAAACTCTAAAGAGTTTTTGCTATTATATATTTAGCTTAAGTTTCATCATATCTTAAGCATTATGGTTACATTATAAAATGTATTAGCTAACAAACTCTACGGAGTTTTGCTATTATATACATAGCTTAAGTTTAATCATATCTTAAGCTCAGTACTATGTTTATATCATATAAGTATATTAGCTAACAAACTCTAAAGAGTTTTTTGCTATTATATATTTAGCTTAAGTTTCATCATATCTTAAGCATTATGGTTACATTATAAAATGTATTAGCTAACAAACTCTACGGAGTTTTGCTATTATATATATAGCTTAAGTTTAATCATATCTTAAGCTCAGTACTATGTTTATATCATAAAAGTATATTAGCTAATAAACTCTAAGGAGTTTTTGCTATTTTATATTTAGCTTAAGTTTAATCATATCTTAAGCTCAGTACTATGTTTATATCATAAAAGTATTTTAGCTAATAAACTCTAAGGATTTTATGCTATCATATTAACAAGCTTAAGTCTATTAGTCTTAAGCATTGTATTAATGTTATATATACTTTTATCATAATAAGTAAATTGTAATAACCTTTATATGGCAGCTGATAAGTTAGCAGCAGGAATTCATCAGTTCAGTGCCTTTATGAAGTTCCCATAGGGTTATTACAATCATCACAGTTCAAATCACTAATTATTAAAATCCAAAGTATTATATATTCCCACCTCCTTTTCCGTTCAGATTCTACAAGCAATAAGCATGAGTCAGGATAAGGAAAAATATGTAATTTTAGAGTAAAATTGATATTTTATACTTATCCTGACTCATGAGGTAAGCTCCTCCCATCCTCCCCATCCTCGCTCAGCTCAGCTTGTGGAAGGGAGGTAACTTCGTGGTGAGTTCTAATTAGTGATTTTTATTGAAGGGAACTTCAATAGGGAAATACACGTGTTCCACTATGTTCAAGAAAGAAGAAGACAAGCAATAAGCATGAGTCAGGATAAGTATAAAATATCAATTTTACTCTAAAAATTACATTTTTTCAGAAGAAGCCCTCCTTGGGGTACATATAAACATTAAAATGTCCATTTTAAAACCTACGACAGTTGTATAACTATATTTTGATAAAAATATTTACAAAACAAAAAACACGTTTTTGTCTTGTGAGACCACCCCTACAGGGCCCCTCAGGGCCCCCTACAGTCAAGAGCAGGTAACTCTAGCCGTCAACCTTGCACCTCACTTTTCATGTATTCGTTCACTGAGGAGGACGTCTGTGTGTTTCATTGCGAAGTATAGAATTTCTACCTACCGAAGTGAGTGAGAAAGAGTCAACTACTGTTTTTATGGTTCCTTTTCTTCCGCACAGGCGCTAGATGGAATTTATAGGTTGATTTTTTCATTCATAAATTGTTGTAACTTTGCCATGTGGCAGACAAGATGGTGGACCATGTGGCTTACATTCGTCTCTTGTTTGTGTGGCGCTTTGCCTTCACAAGGCTTGGATGGCTGTATATATATGTTTATCATATGCTAGGCTTGCCTTATCGATTTTGCTTTCAGTGAATTTACAGTAAGTCTGGGTTGGTAATTTCGCTTGTACGTTTGTACATGGATGAGGACAGGGGTCGGGAGCAGGCTAAGGGCAAGAAGCGGGCCAAGACGGTGGAAAAAAACCCTTCTTCCCCTACCCCCTCTACATCTGCACAATCCAATTCTGCATCTGCACCTATAACGTTCACAGATTTGTCCTCAAATTTGCAGCAGCAGATGACTTCAGTTCGGTCACTTATCTCGGACGCAGGGCGCAATGTCCGGCCTCTGGCAGGAGATCGGTATCCATTCGGGGGTTAGTGGGGTCATCTGCCGGAGGCACCCCTACCTCGGGCTTAGGCTCCGAGATGGATTCTGCCTCCGGGAGTGTGCTTAATCCGAGCCTCGGCTCTGGTGACGGCCTCTCCACCGGTGCAGTTGTGTCTGACCCGGAGCCTTGGCCCGTGCAGTCCAGCTCACCGCGCCCGTGCCGGGCCACGCACCGCTGGCATCCAGCTGTGTGTCCAAGCTCGGTGCCTTCCAGCTTCCGGGATATCCTATTTCGCAGGCTCTTCCCGGGGCCTTGGCGACTAGGTTCGGCCTTGAGCCTAGGGTCGGTCGAGCCAGGCACCTCAGCTCTCCTTGATCCGTTGCCGTTGTTCGTGGACCCTTCTTCCGTGACTTCGGAGGTGACTCTCGACACCGAGAGCTCACTCCTGGAGGAGCGGGAGGAGGAAGCCATGGATGAGGACAGGGTTGGGAGGAGTCGGGGAAGCTAGCTTCTAGCTTGGTTCGGCCCTGTGGCAGGTACGCGATCGTATCGCTACTGTTTTGCTGCAGGTGGTCGTCCCTTTGGACAGCCCCGCCCCCGCGGAGTTTCGCCTCCCCGGCAAAGCGTCCGCGCCGTGTCGGGTTGCTGAGACCCATTTGCGCATTTTACCTTTGCTCGTTAGCGAGGTAATCAATCCTCTCCTGTCGGGTAGCCGGTCACGGTTTGATCTCCCTGAGCTAAACTGTCGCTACTTGATGGGAGAGGAGGCTTTGTTTGACCCCCCGGTGATTGACGAGTGCATTTAATATTTATGCCTTGATCGCCCTAGGGGGGTCATTTGGCCACAGCCAGGCGTTGGCTCAGCAGGGCTGGCGATTGCCTCCCTTTACCTTGAGTAACCAGGTGTTGAAGTCAGTATATTGCTCCTTTGAGGAGCAATACCGCAACACCGTGCAGCAGCTTAAGGTTACTGTCCACTTGGCATACCTCTCTGCCCTGCAGAGGCAGCTAGTGGATCATGGGGGCGTGGACGATGCCCCGCCGCCGCCACGCTTTACTGAAGCAGCTCATGGAGGTCCACTCGGTTGAGTGCGGTTATGGGCCTCCGTCGGCTATGGCTGTCAATCGCCTGGTACTCACCGGCTACGCAGCAGGCACTGTTGTTTCTGCCCTTCAGGATGGGTTCAACCCTATACCCAGGGGCTTTGACAGTAGTCTGGGAGGCCGCAGAGGCGGTTAGCCAATTTAAGGACTCCAAGCCCTTACTTAAACAACCCCTCACCGCTCGTGCCCGGCCTTCCGTCTTTGCCAGTGCATATCCTTCCTCTTAGGGGGAGGAGGCGCCTAAGTGGACCTTCACTTAATTTTCAAAGACACTTTGAAGATTTCAGCATGCTAAATTGCATGTTAACATAGTCAGCAAGATATCGCAAAAATCATTCACTGGATCATTTTCATATTTGACACCAAGCTTCATCTAATGAAGGCGCAGGGCCCAGTCAATTTCGGGGACCTTCACATAATTTTCAAGGTCACTGCAAAACTTCTAAGATTTCAACACGTTAACCTGAATTCACTGGATTTTCTTCATAGACTTTTAAGACTTCCCTTGAATGTTTTTCAATAAGCAATTACTTTAGTACCACTTTTGCATATTTCACACATTATGGCATTCATGTCATGGTCAACGTCAGTCTTGAAAATACTTGTGTGTTTGAACAACTAAAAAGCAAGATATCAAGAGAGGTTGACTGGTCATGTTTTTGTTGACATTTAACTTCATCTTAAACTTTCATGACTTTTTAAGTTTGATATGATCATTTGCGGCGGGGGATAATGTCACCTTAGTGACAATGCTTGTTCTATTATTGGTTGTCATTAACATTGTGGGAAATGTATTTTATTGATGGGCTTAATTTGGATGTGAGAGAAAGGCGAGAAAGTTCACCTGAACCTCTGCGACGTTTCAGTTGCTGAGACTCGGCCACTTGCTGCGAATCCCAGGAGACACTCGAGCTGAGAGGGATGGGAAAGTGTGGAAGCTGATTGGTGAAGCTGCTGTCAAGGTAAGTTGTTGCATGTACACCCATATGCTGCAGTTTAAACTTTCTTCCTGGATGTCTTGATTGTTTAAAAAACGTTTGCCCGGGTTCGATTTCCCCACATGGGTACAAAGCGTGAAGCCCATTTCTGTTGTTCCTTGCCATGATATTGCTGGAATATTGCTAAAAGCAGTGAAAACCATACTCACTCACTCTTGTTTAAGCTGGACAGTTTGAGATTTATGTCAAAGACTTGAATTTCATGTTATTTGGAAACCTCAAGACTATGTTCCAGACTATTTGTTGTGTGTTACAGACATGAAACTATAAGTTCATGTTACAGGCTCGAGACTACGAATTTGCCGAAGACTGTTGTAACCAGCTGATGTCTGTTGGGAGCCCAGAGGCGTGGACGCTGTGTGTTGACCTGGCAGAGCAGGAGGACTTCAGCAACATCAAGGCCAAGTAGGCATACAACATGTAGTCTATATGGGGTGTGAAGGCATCTGTGTTCTGATGTATTGAAAGGCTGTGTACTGGCGATTAGGTGCCTGACTCTAGGAGTGTGGGTTCACATCCCAGACTCGATCTAACAAAAGTACTAGAATTTGTACTTACTGATTAAGTGTAATCCCAAATATAACTTATTGCATTTGACCTCTTTCTAAATGGCATTGTGTATTTATGGATAAGCATCTGGCATGGTTAGTTTTCACCTGTAAGAGGATCAGTTTGAAATGATAATTTGGCCTAGGAAGTTTCTGGGTTGAATATGGTCCCCAGCTTGAAGTGGAATGGGCTGTTAGGCTGTGTGACATGGACAATTGCAGCTGATCTTGTCTTGCTGGCATGGATTGTTGCTCATTTAAGTCACTAGTTTAGACAAGGCCACTCATATATTTACAGGCCATCATAATGTCGCCAAGATACTGCTGTAACCAAAATTCACTCAACTTCCTGTAGGAGTAGTTTGTTTGGCATGGTAGATTTGTTGTACAAACTGTCTCATACTTTAAATATCCCATTTCAGAGTAAACCTGCTGTCCTTTGCTATGACGTTTTGTACTGCGGATATGATCGAACCAATTCTTCAGGCAAAGTGTCTGCTAGAAACTCAGGTATGTAACATGGATGTGACTCATGAATATCTTTTGAAGGTGGACAAGTCTGAGAATAGATGCCATAGAACTGATGGCATAGAAAACGGCAATATGTATTAAAAAATTCATTTACATTTTATAGGCAGTGACCTGTGCCTATTGGTTTCTGATGTTACCTGCGGGGTATACTTATTTCATTGAAGTGTGGGAAGTAGTAGTGTCAGACAAATGATAGACTCAACTCTTTCAGCTTCTGATTGAGAGAGTGAGCACAGACATGTCTGAGGAGGCAGTCGCTGTGACTAGCAGCCCGTTCTCTGCCAAGGCCGCCATCAAGCAGACTCAGCACATCCTCTCCTCCACATCAAAGACAACGAAGGCGATGTTGTCAACTGTGACGGACGGCAGCTGGTGGAAGGGAGCGATTCACACCTTAAAACAGCCCACACAGAGGCAGACATCGATGGACTATGATGACGGCAATGTCATCTTCACCAGACAGGGATGTCACCCCTTCTATGAGAGCATCATCGAAGACTGCTACTCCAATGTGGTGAGTTCAGCTTTGTGTGAGTTGTTGTATTCTGTTCCCTATGTCAGTGAAATTGTATCATAGTACATTCAGTCTTAGTGGTTGAAGCGTTGGCTTGTCAGTGTTTGCTTGTACAATGTATGAAGCCCAATTCTGGTGTCCCCCACTGTGATATTGCTTGAATATTGCTAAAAGTGGTGTAAAACCATACTCAATCACTCACATTGTTTGCAGAGCTCCATCAACTATCAGACAGGGGAGACAATCATGTCCCCTGAAGTGGAAATGAGTGAAAAGGTGTTGCGGGCAGCCAAACTGGAGGAGATGCTGACTGAGGGGGAGAAGTCCCAGCCAGCAACAGAAGGTATGTATTGACAGTAGCATAGTGTCTTGATGGTGTTTGTAGAAAGCAGGCTGATGTTGGGAGGTGCAATTTAATCCTTTATCCAGAAGCTTTGATAATTCAAGTATGATCATGAGGGCGAACAAACCACACTTGAGAGTAGTGTTCAATTGATCGTGGTAGTGGATTTCTGGACTAGCAGACTCTATACTTACCTTGATACACCTTGAAACATGAGTGTACTTATCATCAGTGCCGTATCAAACAGGGCAATTGGTGGCAAAGTTTACTGTGCAGTGTTGCCTCCCTTTGTTGCTAGGATCCACTGACTATTGGTTCAAATCCCAAGTTTTCGTTTGCATTGACCCTTGGTTTGTCAGCACCTCATGCTGATCTATATTACTTTGGACTTTCCTTCACCTATATCACTTTGCTGTTACGCAGTCATCATAACTGAAATAGGACTGAAACCCTTATTCAGTTTTATTAAGTTTCTCTGCACTTGAAATCATTGTCAGTTGCAAGTACCATGTGATCTGTTTTGTTTCAGTACTACTTGAGCTCGCCAAGTCTTCCCTGGCCAGGGACAGCTCATTGGGCCTGGCCTATCTTTTAGCACTGACAAAGGTATGTTGATAAGTAGGGAACCAAGATGGCTGTTTCTCAGGCTGGTCTTAATTGTCCCCAGCTGCAATGCGGAACGGGGACTATGTATTCAGCAGTGTCCGTCCATCCGTCCGTACATCCCGATTCTTGTTAACATGATATCTCATGAACTCTTGTACCAAATGTTTTCAAATTTGGTGACAGCCTACATTGGGGGATTATGCAAACACCAGTTGATTTTGGTGACCTTGACCTTATTTTCAAACACTTGTTCAGCCAGTGTTTACCTTGTACTTGACTGCTACATCACTTGTCTCCTGATGATAAAGCAGTTGTCCTGATATTTGTTGCCTCCTTGTGATTATATTCATGCACCCTGTGAAGATCTGGGTCAGAACTGATCTCAAGCAACCTGTGTTTGACTTACAGGACTTGATGGTCAGGCTTGATGACTTAGTTGGTGCATGTCATTGGTTCCCAATCACACAGATGTTATAAATCACTGGATTGTCTTGTTCTGAATCAGTTATTTACAGATAGCCCCCATGTGGCTGGGATATTGCAGAGAGCAGTATCAAAGACAAACCTCCAAAAACAACAAATAATATATTCATGCCCCCAACTCTTTGCTTCCACCATAGGCCTCAGATGCTGAAAAGTGTTTTGAGGAATTCCCCAGCACAGATGTGTCGATCCAACTTGCGCTGTATTACTACGCACTCCAAATCTACACCAGTCTGAAGCCTAGTACTAAGCCCTTGCCGTTTGCCTTGTACCGACAAGACCCCACCAAAGTCATCCGCAAGGTCATCAATCATGTGACCAACAGACCCAACAGTGATTGGCCGGAGGAGGTGGTTGAACTGATCCCGAAGCTGGAGAAGTACCGAGAGATGCTGGAGGATTACAACCAGGCCGTCACCTTGAAGAAGCTGGGCCGAGGTGAGAGGTCACAGCCAAGGCTGCGGCCATACAATTTGTCCTAATCTGATCTTAATACGATATATTACCAGTGTCTGCTGTGGATAGGACTAAATAGAGGTCTTAATGAAGAGCACCTGATAGGGGACTAAAATAAAGAGTGGACTACCCCAAAAATATTAAGCAAATGACTGACTTGAGTATAGTTGACATGTCATGGATGAGGAGTTCTGACAATATTTGTTGTTTCTTTACTGATATAAACTTCAGTTGATGAGTGTTGTCTTGTTTGGATTTTATGTTTGAAATATTTTTCAGGTGTGGACATTGTCAGATTTGCAGACGACTTAGAATACAAACAAGAGACAATCCTTGGACTTGCCATGTGAGTTTCTTTGCTATATTTATGGGTTTGTCTCAAACAAGCTACTAAAACCATCTATTCATTTACGGTATGTTAACCCATTTATTTAATTTCGACCCAACTGGGGTATTTCCTATTTTATGTACCAGGTAATAGTAAATAATACTTGACCAAGTCTCACATTGTTGACACTCATGTTTTATTTGAAATAAAGTATTGATTGAATGAGTTTCTATGTATTTAATTTTGTAACCAGATACTCAAGAAGTTTCAAGCCCTTCTTTTAGCGATGATGCCCCTAGAAATATAAACATTGACGCAAAATATGGGTTAAAGAGTGAAATGTGTAGCCCCAGTTGGTAAGATATTGCCTGCCCTGTATGATTCAGTATGAGGTTGTTGAGACACATTGTACTTACTTGTGATGTACTCCATGCAGGAGTGTGGATGACGATGTCTACAAGATTGCCGTGTCGCTGGCCGAGCGGTACGACCTGTCTGTGTGGGAGGTGTACATGTCACATCTGGAGTTTGTCTTCACGGACAGCGGGTCAGTACAACCTTGATATACTGCTGCTGTCATACAGTTGTCCGAACATCAACAGAACATTGATAGTTTCCTGTATCAGTTTGTACTGGCAGACATAGACACATATTACTAACACTTGTAATACATTATGAAAGGTTTGAAAATCAGGAGATATTTATCAATTTACAATACATGTTACTGCATATTGGAAGAAATCTAAAATCAAAGTTAGATGAGGACATGAATTCCTTGAGACCATCTTGTCTAGCTGTCGAAGTCTATAGCTGACAATTGAGTACAGAGGTTTCCTTTGTAACCATTACGATGATAAGGGACCTTAAGAAAGACCCCCATTAAAAACTATTACAATGTTAGGAAATGTACAACAAGCTACACAGCTCTGTCCCTACATCTCGGACCCTCAAGGGGGTTTGAAGTATTGTAAAATTATTGTCCTCCTGAGAGGGTATGTAAGACCCCAAAAACGTAGTATTCTCGTTGTTTTAATTTTGGCTAACATTTCTTACGGTCGCCAGCAGCAGAAGGGATGGTGTAAATGCAATGGATTGGTGGTTTCGATGTATCCCAGCAGTGCAGATCTTTGCTCATGATATCAGTCTCTGCATTGTCTAGCCTAGAGTCAGTTATTTACATGATGGTTGCATAAAGCTTGAATATCTCAGGACTTGTATTTCAGTGACATCATTTCAAATGTCAATATTATGCATGATGTGGAATAATATGTGCAGGTGAAACCAGAGAGTCATCAGCAGGTGCAAGTTCTTGCTTGAGTCTGCTTGTTGTACTTCCAGCCTCAGGCTCTGCTCCATCTTACTGTCTGTCTTGAAAGGTTCCAATATCTACAAAAGTCTGATGTTTTCAGCCATTATCCTTGGTGATATCCATGGATGATATTTGTTTGTTTTTATGGTATTGTTTCTCTCTGGATTGTTTTTGAGAAGGACTAACAGTTACCATGGCTACTGTGTCCCCAGTCTCACCACGGAGAAGGTGGAGGAACGAGTGACAAGGCTGAAGATTCTTCCAGAACTCACCGCACAACCACTCAAGTTCTGTGAGCGGATGTACAAGTATGTCTTCCCCACCATTGAGGGGATGGACCACGACCGTCTTATGTACTTCTTCCAGCTTCTAGATGGCCATGACACTGGCCAGATACAGGGGCAGACACCTGATGCTCATGTCAAGCTGCTCAAGAAAATCAAGCCTGTTGCACCAGGTGTGTGTTCTGATGGGGAGAAGTGTGTTGTACAGATGTGTGTTTGGGAGAATTCTGTTGTACAGATGTGTGTTTGGGAGAATTCTGTTGTACAGATGTGTGTTTGGGGAATTCTGTTGTACAGATGTGTGTTTGGGAGAATTCTGTTGTACAGATGTGTGTTTGGGAGAATTCTGTTGTACAGATGTGTGTTTGGGAGAATTCTGTTATACAGATGTGTGTTTGGGGAATTCTGTTGTACAGATGTGTGTTTGGGAGAATTCTGTTGTACAGATGTGTGTTTGGGAGAATTCTGTTGTACAGATGTGTGTTTGGGAGAATTCTGTTGTACAGATGTGTGTTTGGGAGAATTCTGTTGTACAGATGTGTGTTTGGGAGAATTCTGTTGTACAGATGTGTGTTTGGGAGAATTCTGTTGTACAGATGTGTGTTTGGGAGAATTCTGTTGTACAGATGTGTGTTTGGGAGAATTCTGTTATACAGATGTGTGTTTGGGAGAATTCTGTTGTACAGATGTGTGTTTGGGAGAATTCTGTTGTACAGATGTGTGTTTGGGGAATTCTGTTGTACAGATGTGTGTTTGGGAGAAATTCTGTTGTACAGATGTGTGTTTGGGAGAATTCTGTTGTACAGATGTGTGTTTGGGAGAATTCTGTTGTACAGATGTGTGTTTGGGAGAATTCTGTTGTACAGATGTGTGTTTGGGAGAATTCTGTTGTACAGATGTGTGTTTGGGAGAATTCTGTTGTACAGATGTGTGTTTGGGAGAATTCTGTTGTACAGATGTGTGTTTGGGGAATTCTGTTATACAGATGTGTGTTTGGGGAATTCTGTTGTACAGATGTGTGTTTGGGAGAATTCTGTTGTACAGATGTGTGTTTTGGGGAGAATTCTGTTGTACAGATGTGTGTGTTTGGGAGAATTCTGTTGTACAGATGTGTGTTTGGGGAATTCTGTTATACAGATGTGTGTTTGGGGAATTCTGTTGTACAGATGTGTGTTTGGGAGAATTCTGTTGTACAGATGTGTGTTTGGGAGAATTCTGTTGTACAGATGTGTGTTTGGGAGAATTCTGTTGTACAGATGTGTGTTTGGGAGAATTCTGTTGTACAGATGTGTGTTTGGGAGAATTCTGTTGTACAGATGTGTGTTTGGGAGAATTCTGTTGTACAGATGTGTGTTTGGGAGAATTCTGTTGTACAGATGTGTGTTTGGGGAATTCTGTTATACAGATGTGTGTTTGGGAGAATTCTGTTGTACAGATGTGTGTTTGGGAGAATTCTGTTGTACAGATGTGTGTTTGGGAGAATTCTGTTGTACAGATGTGTGTTTGGGAGAATTCTGTTATACATTAGTTGTGTGTTTAGGAGAAGTGTGCTCAGGGCAAGTGTGTTGTACAATAGTTGTGTGTTCAGGAGAAGCGTGTTGTATAGATGTTTAGGGAAAGTCGGTTGGTAAATTTGTTTTCAGGGGAATGAAATTGGCCAAAGTATGTGTACACTGTAATAGAAGTGAAACTTGTCAGTATCCATATAAACATGTCGATGTCTGTGTGCAGGCTTAGACTACCACAAGCTGATGGATGGCAAGACTGCACCTCTGGGGGTACTGCAGCCAGTTCTTGATGGCGGAAACATCAATACTCTCGCCAAACTTGCAACCAAGATACCTGATGGGGTGAGACTTTGTGGACTTAAATATTTAAAAGATATGAAAGTAATGATATTGATAGCACTGAGAATGAATTTGAGAAACAGAAAGCGCATGGTTGCTCCCTGATAATGACATTGTTACCTTGCTGGTTGTAGAGCGGTGGGTTCCTGCATTCAAGTGTAGTGTATTCTGCCTGGGCTGTCACTAACTTCTGGAAGTCGGACCAGACCAGGAAACAACCTGATACACCAGTAAGTTGACTCAGTCTAACTTTGTTCTTGTTAGACACTTTTCATTATGCAGTGTTTTGGTTCAATTGCTGTAGATTTATCCCAAGCAAAAGGCAATGATTCAAAATGATGTCTTGGTTTGCAAAAAAACATTGTATTTGTAGTTCCCCTGAACTGAAAGTCCATATGAGCTTTTGGCATTGCACATTGCCAGTTGCTCATCCGTCCATTGTAAACCTTTCAACAGTTCTGCGATCATATGGACTGACATGGTGAAAGACTTCATATAAGTTTCCTCAGCATTAGCTGAATTCCATTCCAACACTGAGTTATACAAAGCTGCTGACTAAGCTCTGTTGGAGAGGTAAGGGATGCTTATGCCTTTCATCAGATGAGAATAATTGAGGAATAGGAAAAGAGTGAGTTGTAAGTTGATCATTAGCAGTACTATGATCTGCTCTAACAGCTAAACCTGTGTCCCGTGTTTCCAGTCAGGTTGGATCCACAGGTACGAGAGCTGTGGAGAATTCCTACAGAAACTCCTCCCCCAGGACATCGTCAACTTCATCGACAGCATCGCTTTCAGCAGTGACAGTCGCAGGCTGGTGTGTAGAAATATATGCATACATTTGTGGACCTTTTGCCATTTTTATTTTAAATTGTTATAAAACAATATTGATGTAAATAATCACCTTATAGTTCTTGTGTCTAGCTAAGTCCTGTTCTTTTTGTGCCCTATTTTTGTGTGAAGGGTATAAATATTCCTTCATGTCTACAGTTGGAAATCAGCTGTCGTCAGGAGATAGTGAAGCGGGCACTGCGGTTCTGTCGCCAACAAGGAGGTGGGGGTGGGAAGAAGAAGAAGCAAGAGGATTCTGGGAAGATGAGCTGGGATGAGGCTGCCAGTCAATTACAGCAGAGGGTCACTCATCTTGAGAATGTCAACAGTGACACCATCCGGTCATTCAGCCAGGCTGAGAAGCCACAGTATCTGAAGTATGCCGAGATGTACGACAAGAGTTGCGGCAACGACAAGATGGTGAGGCTGCAGGAACTATTGATGACTGCATTTGCAGAGAAACAAATCTCACAATTGTCGAGAAACTCAGTTTATAATTGTGATTATAAAATCCTTGAAAATAAGTTAACAATACCTTTTCTCTGTTACTTCAGATACAGCAGCTTCTGGTTACCATAGTTACTGATGGAGAGATCCCAGACCTTGTAGATGATGTGATACAGGTGGCGCCACGAGGAGCTTGGACGGTTCGCACAGCAGTACAGGAGTCTGTCAGACTCGTGGCACAGAAGCTGAGGTACGTTTCACTACAGCATATACTTACTGTAGGTGAAAAATGAGAAATGCTTTATGTACAACTCCACTGATTAACTTTCTAGCAAGTTCCACACAGTTACTGTCCACTTGTAATGTCCTGCATATATCATGATGTAATCTGCCTTGCAAATGATGATGAAATTAGGATCTCTGTTTCACGTATTGCACAATATCTATAACTGCAGTGGCCTCCAACCATAGACTGTTGTCCTTATAGGATAGGTAATTTCAGAGTAATACCTTGTTATTGTTTGTTTTCCAGATGCCCTGACAGTCCTTGTGAGATATTAGGAGACCGTGAGGTGTTGGATGTCTTGGAGAAGCTGGTTGTGAATGTTAAGGAGCACGAAGAGGCAGGGTAGGCACTATGTTCTGGAGGGAATTCTTAATGCCAGTGTTGAGAGTGTTAGAGAAGCTGATTGTGCACGAAGAGGACTGGTGGCTACTATGTTCTGGAGGGGATTCCTTAATGCCAGTGTTGAGGGTGTTAGAGAAGCTGATTGTGCACGAAGAGGCAGTCTAGGTTCTTTGTTCTGGGTTGGAATTGGATACCTTGATGTCATCGTTGAGGGAGTGGGATAAGCTATTGTGAATATAAAGGAGCATAAAGAGGCAGGGTGGTTCTTTGTTCTGGGTGGGTGGCGCAAGGTGTTGGTGAAATTTGTTAGGGATGCACAGTAGGGTGAGGAAACAAGGTGGGTATTTGGTCTGGCTGGGGTGGGGATATTTTGACACCTATGTCAGTGGTGTTAGAATCAATGGTTGTGCATGTTCAGATAGCTAGCTTAATACTGGGTCAAGCCATGCTGCCGAATTCTGTGACTGACCTGGCCAAATCTCCGTAATTTATGACTGGCTTTGTTGTTTCAGGGGTGACCTGGTTGTGTCTGAGGATGTCATGTCTCTTCTCCGTCCATTTTGCTCAGACAGCAGTGTGGCTGTAAAACCCCGCCTTGATGTCCTGCACATCCTTGAGAAGGTTTGTGATTTGTTTTCTGCGTGAAGATAAGCTCGGACAGAATGTGTTACAGCAGAAAAGGGGTTAGATTAGGCGCCAAGCACACCTTTGATGGCCATTAGAGACAATTATATTGGATCTGATGGTCTTGCTCTACCACTGCTCATGTTTCAGTCATTGGTTTCACTGGTTTTGACTCCATTGTTTAGGACTGTCGTCTGAACTGGTAGAAATATTACTCTCTGTAGCATGGCGCATTCCCTCTGAAATGAAGAACATCTTTCGAACTTGTGTTTGAGACTGTTAGTTGTTTCAGTGTCTGATGTTAACATTATTGTATATTTCAGAGTTTCAATCTGTCCCAGCAGGACACAGCTCTGCTAACTTTCTACAGGACAGAAGCTCTGGTGTCGTCCTCGTGGAAGGGGCAAGAGGTAGGAATAGGAATTTTGGATCTGAAAGATGTAGAGATTTTAGCAGAAGTAGGGTAAGAGGAGGGCTGGGAGCAAGCTAGAGGTTGGGGCAGAAGTAGGGTAAGAGGAGGGCTGGGAGCATGCTAGAGGATGGGGCAGAAGTAGGGTAAGAGGAGGGCTGGGAGCATGCTAGAGGTTGGGGCAGAAGTAGGGTAAGAGGAGGGCTGGGAGCAAGCTAGAGGTTGGGGCAGAAGTAGGGTAAGAGGAGGGCTGGGAGCAAGCTAGAGGTTGGGGCAGAAGTAGGGTAAGAGGAGGGCTGGGAGCATGCTAGAGGTTGGGGCAGAAGTGGGGTAAGAGGAGGGCTGGGAGCATGTTAGAGGATGGGGCAGAAGTAGGGTAAGAGGAGGGCTGGGAGCATGCTAGAGGTTGGGGCAGAAGGAGGTGTAAGAGGAGGGCTGGGAGCAAGCTAGAGGATGGGGCAGAAGTAGGGTAAGAGGAGGGCTGGGAGCATGCTAGAGGATGGGGCAGAAGTAGGGTAAGAGGAGGGCTGGGAGCAAGCTAGAGGATGGGGCAGAAGTGGTTCAGGAATGGAGCAGGAGATGTTAGGGGAGCAGAAGACAGGATGAGGGTGGGTGAGAATTGGGAAGATGGAGGGGCAAGGGATTGATAAGAAGATGGGTTTCAGTGAATAAATGATTCCTGTAATTGCATGCTAAATCAAGTGGCAAAGTAAACTGATGGTGTTCATAATGCTGAAAGAGTTGGAGCAGGAGTTAGGTAGGGGGAATGGGGCAGGAGATAGGAATGGGGAGGGAGGGGTGAGTCTGCAGATGTGGCAGAAGGGTGATGTTGATGCTATTCCTGTGTTGCAGTTGTCTGAGGCTGACATCCAGACTGCTGACAGCAGACAGAATCTGTTCTGCCGTCTTCTGGAAACAAGCTCAAACAAAGAGCAGTTCATGTCTCTGTGTCGTCTGCTCAAGCTCTGGCCCCCATTGCCACAAGGAGGAGACAGGTAAGGGAGAATAACCCTATTTGGAGACTTGGAGAATGAACACATTTTTTCTTATCCTGACTCATGATCGTTTGCTTATCTCCCTTTCCCTTGCGAATGGTAGTGGAATACTTGAATCCCTTGAAGTTCCTGAAGCAGACATAAAAATACACTCACCCATGAGTTACCTCCCTATTCCCGCGTAAACAGTCATGTGACCAGCCTTACTTGTCACTCTCTCCCTTTTCTGGACTTTTTTCTGGAGTCCCGTATACGGCATTATATCCTTTTCATTTAGATCCTATTCTTAAAAAATTACGCTGTGTATGGATTTGGCTATAATTACTTTGATTTCTATGTAAAAATATTGTAACAATTATTTGTATTTGTGTCATAATTTCATCGTAATGTAACTTGTTTACATTTCATGAAATCTTGCAGTGTTTGCAGGCACAGGTTATCCGTGGCTGATCCTCACCCCCAATGCCCTTTGTGCATCAAACCATGTTCTTCCAGCTTGCACTGTACTTATTGTGTTGATTTATCAAATCTACAATTTAATCAATATTTGTCTTATATCTATAGACGTGCCATGGATCGGGTGAGGAAGTCATCACAGAAGTCCAACAATCAAGTTACCAGATTGGCCGAACCTACTCATACATCTGCGCACCAAGCAAGTCCACGGGAACCCAGTACTGTTCCAGCTACACGTGTGGACCGTATCAAAACATGTTTGAAGAAGAGAGGATGCTCCGCCATGGCAGCCAAGGCAGTAACCTTAGCGTTAAGCAGATCCACTCGTAACCTGTATGATGATAAGTGGCTGAAGTTTGAGACTTATGCAAGGCGGAAAGGCTTCATTGCTATGAAAGCTACTCATCCTCAAGTGGCGGAATACCTATGTCATCTTATACATACTAGACATCTGAAAGGTTCGACATTATCTAGATACCTCGCTGCCATCAGTACAGTGATCACCATCAATACAGGCATCAAGTTGATGAAAGTACCAGAATTACTTGCTCTGCTGCGATCTTTTAAACTGGAGGACCAGCAAAAGAAATTCAGAGCTCCAGCCTGGGATCTGAATGTAATTCTACGTCATCTCACAAGTGATGCCTACGAACCTCTAGATCAGACTACCTTCGAGCTGCTAACACAGAAGACTCTGTTCCTGCTTGCGCTAGCCACGGCAGCTCGAATATCAGAGATACATGTGCAGGACTTAGATGGGACTTCATTGCCAAGAACCAACTACCGGGACAACCAGATAGACAGTTCCACGTACCAGCGCTATCCACAATCCTCGGACTAGAGGATATGGAGGACCTATCCTTGTGTCCGGTCAGAGCCCTGAAGATATATCTTCAAAAGACTAAAACAAGGAGACAAAAATTCAAACGCCTGTTCATCCCATTATCTACAGAGACGTCAGCAGAAGTCTCAAGAACGACAATATCGTTCTGGATGAGAGCCGTCATATTCAGAGCCTATAAAGCAGCAGGACTAGAACCTCCTAGAGCTTCCAACCCACACGAAGTCAGAGCACTGGCGTCAACATAAGCTCTGCACAGAAATTGCTCTATATCAGCAATTATGGAGGGCTGCTTTTGGAAGTCGGATACGGTGTTTGCCAACCACTACCTCTGAGACATAGCCACCGAAGACATCTCAGGCATTCACCAATTTGGGTTGGAAAATCTCACCCTTTATCACGTTGACTTGTTGATCACATTTACTAAGGAAAAGTGTTAGTTTGCAAGTCCATGCGCACAGTCTAGGACAGACTAGCATGAGTGATTAAAGACCCTGTACGGGTAAAGATCTTACCTGTACATGAAGGGGTCGCAACTCATTTATGATAAAGATCTTATCATAAGCTATGGGTTGTTATAGATATCTAGTAATAAGAAGATACTAGTATATCTGAAGCCACATGAATCAACATGATTCAACTTGTGTGAGATTGAAGTAAGACAAGAAAGTGGTCCCCCCGATTCATAACAGAAGTTGGAAGAATAGGATCCCGGAAATGCCGTTTCGCAGTTCCCATGGGGGGGATACAGGACGTATTTAAGGACAGCTGATGAATCCAGGAAGTGGCCTGACCCACCACCAATCTGAAGGATTCTATAAGCAAAAGATCATGAGTCAGGATAAGAAAAAATATGTAATTTTTCAAGTAAAATTGATATTTTATACTTATCCTGACTCATGAGGTCAAGCCCTCCCAACCTCCCTGCGGGAAACACTTCGGATTTCACAGCAGATCCAAGTGCATGGGTAGAAAAGTAACAAGTAAGGCTGGTCACATGACTGTTTACGTGGGAAAATGGAAGTAACTCGTGGGTGAGTGTATTTTTACGTCCGCTTCGGGAACTTCAAGGGATTCAAGTATTCCACTACCATTCGCAAGGGAAAGGGAGATAAGCAAAAGATCATGAGTCAGGATAAATATAAAATATCAATTGTACTTGAAAACTTACATTTTTGTGGTACAATTTCAAATTTGACTGTCACTGGCTACTCTTCCAGGGATGCAGACTAAACCAGTAATGTTAAATTCAGCGTATTTTTACAAGTACATGATGTGTCTCTGTCATTCCCAGTGTCACTCCCCGTGACAACACGTGGGTGCAGGTGTTTACCGCCATGGTCAGATCCCTGGGCTCGGGGGGAGCAACACTAGTCAACACCATCATTGCAGACTTGTGTGAAGGAAACCCCATTAATCTAGAGGTGAGCAATTCAACTAGTGGTTCAGTTAGACCATCTGTTCATGGAAGGGAGTTATTTTTTTTCAAACCACAGAACTGGTAACGTAACTGTTATTTACACTATGGCTTCTCTGTCTCTGACATTCCACAATGAACTGTGAGCAGCATTTGGCAGAGATGAAATTTCTTTCATAAGTAACATGTTACATTTCCTTGTATGACTACAAACATTTTCGGAGACACGTAGGCCTCCATGCATGTACACATACGGAGACACGTAGGCCTCCATGCATGTACACATACGGAGACACGTAGGCCTCCATGCATGTACACATACGGAGACACGTAGGCCTCTATGCATGTACACATACGGAGACACGTAGGCCTCCTATGCATGTACACATACAGGGGACCGTGTGGGCCTCCCTGCATGTACACATACGGAGACACGTAGGCCTCTATGCATGTACACATACGGGGACACGTAGGCCTCCATGCATGTACACATACGGAGACACGTAGGCCTCCATGCATGTACACATACGGGGACACGTAGGCCTCCATGCATGTACACATACGGAGACACGTAGGCCTTCGTGCATGTACACATACGGGGACACGTAGGCCTCCATGTATGTACACATACGGAGACACGTAGGCCTTCATGCATGTACACATACGGAGACACGTAGGCCTCCATGCATGTACACATACGGAGACACGTAGGCCTCCATGCATGTACACATACGGAGACACGTAGGCCTTCATGCATGTACATCAATGCACTCACAGATAAAATCAAAATAACAAACACTACACTTGTACAGGGAGTGAATCGTATGGTTTTCCATGCAGTGTACCCGTGCAGTGTTTGACATGATGGTGGAACACACACAGGAGACGGAGGCAGTCAAGTTCATTCTCCGCTCCGGTCACATCACGCTCTTCCCTGCTGCCATGGAAACACTTGCTGGTCAATCAGAGGTAAGCCTATCTTCTATAGTTGCTACTGCATCTGAGGGTTAAATCTGCTACATGTTGACAGCGAGGGAAGTATTTATAGTGAATATTAGCATTGTTTATTACACCTTATAGACCTCTTATGGATGTGTAGCCATATGGCTAACTGACATGTGTATGATGAAATGAGTGGTGGTGAGTTGTGATGTCTTGTTCACGAGTATTGCACATATTTAGCAACGTGCATTGGGGGTGTGTCTGTGGACTAATGCCATTGTTTAAGTGCTGGCCCATATTCAATGCCCCATAGTTAACCTGCATTCCCTGCTCATGGTATTCTGACTCCGAGTCAGCCAGTTCTTGTATTATCTTGTAACTGGAGAGCAGAAGGTAGGGTTCAACAAGTATCATCTTGTAACGTGTATTGGTATCACACTGTCAGCCACTGTACACACTAGCCCATGGAACCAATACTATCATCTTCTTGTTGCAGGCTGTTAAGGATGAGGATTTGCTCAACATCATCTTGCAGCTTCGGCTAGTCACATCCGTTGTCAAGACAACACACTACACTACTCTCATTGAATACCTCCTGGAGAAACAGGGCTCAGATAATCGTCCTGATTGGTTGGAGCCATTGGTGGTAGCCAATCAGCTGTCGGAGGCCGGTTTTAAAGCTGAGGCGGGTTCCGTGTTACTTCAAGCACGATCAAGCCACCCTGGGCTGCACACATTCGGCACAGCTCTCAGCATGATCGGCAAATGGTTTAAACAATCTTGATGATGTCTTTAGTGTGGTGGAAGTTGTGGTGTTTATTTAATATTTTGACTTCCATGGTGCTTTCTACCAAGTGTTAATTGCTTTGGACATGGGTGTTAAATATTTCACCAACCTTTGATTTAATATTTGCTTTGGAAGTTCAAAATATTAAAATACACCTGGAATTGCAAACCTTGTTTGTTATGTTTTTTGCTTCAGCAGGTTTCTCAATAATGAGTAAACAATGTATAACATAGAAGTAGATGTTCCTCCCCAACTGCCCTGTACCAAGCACCCACCTCACGTGTAGCTGACCTGCACTACCTGGACAGGTGTGCTCCTTCTTCCTTTACTTAATGAAACATACTACATACAAACTACTACCAAACATTCGTCTTCCATGTCAATTGACAGTTAATCTAATCATAAGACTTTATCAATTTTTTCTAAAAAAATAAAGTATGATGAACATTTGGTATGAAAATCTAATGATTTGTTGTGAGGTGATGATGATCAGTTGCTTTTTCCAGTACGTTCTGTATCAAGTATATCAAGTAGAACAAGTCAGTACCAGTATTATAGACGGATGCTTTTGAAAAGTTGTATGTAAATGCAAGCTTCATAGTAAATCCCTCACCACAAGTTCAAGAACACCCCATTCTTTCATACTGTGGTTAATCTCTCCGGTAATCAGGAGTTTATAAACTTCTTTTAAGTAATATGAATGATCAAACAAAACCATTTATCATTCTGTTTAAAAAACGAGTTCTACAAAGATTACATTTCGCCAAAATTCATATGAAAACTGTCCATGGTTCATGTTTTGGAATTATCTAGATCTTCTTCATGCCCATAGGTCATACTGTAAGAATGGATGGTATATATGGATATGTACTGTCTAGCAGTACCAGTGAAATTACCCTACCCTAGCAACAGGTTGAAAGCTACGCCCAGTGGGAAGGTTTGTCTACAGTTGTTGGGCATGTTGGAGGAATATGTTGTATTACATGCTTATAGATTATCTGTTAATAATCTAATACAAATCAGGTCTTAGTTCTTGTTACCATGGATACAAGATCTGAGGACCTCTCATTAGGTCACACCAACTGTGTGTATGTTTGTTCTATGTAGACTTCATGTACATAGTCACAGCTTACCTTTGATCCTTATATCCTTTGATCATATGCTTGTTCTATTTAAACACCATTTGCGATCATCTTTAACCGACTAATTATATAAACAATATCAGGGGCGTTTTTTTTTAACTAGTCGGTAACTCTCTACTTAGTTTGTGTAGTGAAAATGTGGCTTTGCCGGCAATTCCCCTTCAAAATGAAATTTGGCTTTGCTGGCAAAATGAATTTTTAAAATGTGGCTTTCCCGGGCGGACAACACTGTGACCAACCACTGAAATGACGTTTAAGAAGTTGACATTAGCCTGCTGGAAAGCCTACCCTTCCTAAGTGTGGTCACTTCCTGAAATCTGGGTTAGCTATGCTTTGAAAGGTCATTCTTACATGACCCGTAATTTGATGTCCTCAAATCTTTGTTGAAAGTTAGCAAAATCTAAGGTCTGGTTTTAACAAGACTGCTGTTAAGATTGTGTAAAACACTACTAAGATAAATCGTGATGAGAGTGATGACCACATAAAGGCTGTGCTGCGGGATGTGTGTCAGGTATATGAGGTGAGATTGCAAGTGTACATAGGATGACAGATGCAGGTTGGTCAGTGGGAAAGGGTATTTCTTGAACGTATTTGTAGTGAGAGCTGAAAGATTTGTACATCCAGAAGACTATCTTAGTGCTAAGACAGCACTGCCTGAGCTTACTGGTAGTTTACTTGGTGGATTGATTGAGTGGTTTGATTGAGTGGTTTGATTCACTAAGACATATTTACATGTGCTACTCAAAACAAGTTACAAAACACCTGACATTTTCATATGGCCTTAGTAACTCTGTTGTGCCAAGAAAAGGTCAACGCCACCCACAAGTAGAAGGGTTCGTGTTTCCTTGAATAGTTAAGAACACCCACAATTAGAAGTCTGTGTCTCTTGCTATACATGAAAACATGAGAAAGTTGGGTGTTGTGTAACTTCTTTTGATTAGTATACCAGAGAGAAGTGACTTGATGTATATGGTGCCAAATGTTCCTACCCAATCAGTTGAAGGTGATATATGTATATATGGTTGCTATAGACTGAGAATGGTTGTAGAGTGTTGAAGAAGTGTTATCCGCCATTATGATCATACAGTCATACCTCATTTTGTTAAGCATGTTGAAGCTGTCAGTCTGTATTTATTTATTAACTTCTGAATCTCTGTTGCTCAGGTGATATTTGTTACACGTGTGAAACTTTAAGTGTTTTGTTGGCGGCTGAAGCAGTGTGTCCCGCTGATGCAGCAGCGTGTGGGTGTACAGGGGACACTAAAAGCTTCATCTGATGAACATATCCACATTTCCTTTGCCTCTGTACTCATCAATGTTTAGCTCAAAACTCAGACAAATTTAGGAAAAACCTTATTCTGATGTCAACAGTTCAAATGATGTTAAAGCAATCCTGCTGCTGTTTGTGGTATCAGAACACCTGGTGTTATGTAGCCCTCTCTAAGCAGACCTTATAAAGCTGGAGAACATTGATCTATTCTCCCACAGTTGATTCTGCACCTCCACAAGTAGTGCTGTGCAGGGGACATAACTCTTGCATTCATTTTACTCCATTTCCCTGTTCACAGACTTCACTTAGCCTGTATGGTACATTCAGGATTTCATCAATCTTTATGTCGGTTTGTTAATTTTATCAGTTTGATATTTATGAACACAGTGCTTTGATATATTGTCCTGAAATTACAGAATCGTGTGTGTATGCGTGGACTAAACCCTGCCATTTGTCATTTCTCCAGGAATAGTGTAGGCTTAAGAAGTTCCAACTATTTATGATGCAGAGGTTGGTGGAGCCACAGCATGGTCAGGGGTCATGCAGTTTGTGTCAGTCACACACACAGACCTCAGTTGTTTATGATATGTGGATAGGTTGGACCCCAGTAAATGAATATTGTTTTATGCCATGGTACGCAATATTCCATCTGTATTCAGGACAAGACACACCAGAGTGTTGGGGTGCAGCCACAGACAGGTCACACACTGTATCTTAATACTTGATGCCTGGTATGACGAGTATGGGTAAGGGGCTGTAGTCATCTTGGAATACACTGGAGCTTTATTGCTTTGTTAGGTAGATACATTGATTATCAAGACAGTAAAGGCTTTTCATTACACAATAAACAAACCTTTCCATAACCATTGTTTTCATTTTTAAAAGGACAGTGGCATTTTTGTGTTGATAAGGAAAGTTAAAAAACTAACAAATGGTTTCAAACTAATATTTTTGATTGATTTAGATAAATAACCTGTGTGAATATTAGATCTTGTTTAATGCAGTTCATGTACACACCTCTATGCAAACTGTTCTAGTAGGTATCAAGATTTGGGCTTCAAGTTTAATATGGGCATTACACAGGCATACTTTTATGAATTTAAATACCTATTCAGTGTATTAATTCAAGTTGTGGATTATCTGATAACAGAAATAATTTAAGAGAAATGTCAAGAAGTGTAACTGTTGATCTGTTTTGGGAGTTGGAAGATTTAGTAACTAGTATATCACATTAGATATATATATATATATATATATATATGTTTATTCTATACTGCTGGTGACTCAAGCCAGTGTACCTAAAGTCTCTGTATCAAAACAGAAGTTACACAAATAAAGTGCTTTAAATATTTGCATGACCTATGTTTCTCCATATATTTTGTTAATGAATATGGAATAAGTCACACTGACAGATCCTGGTTACTGTGTTGTGGTACAAGAGGAATCCTAGTTTCCGGATGCTTTCTGGAGAGTGTGTGAAGCCTGAGGCCATGTAAAATCTTGTACTCCCCTTTTTGTGGATTCCGTTTTCAATTTTAAAGAACTGTCCCAGAGATGAGACCTTCATGAATGGTAGGAGATTGCGCATTGAATTTTTTCCTGGGTTTGGTTCCGAATTACGTGGGCCATACAGGCTGATCACGACCATCCACCCCAAACAGCTAGACGCCGAGTTGCCGTTCGAAGTATCGGCCATCGGCAATTATCTCCATTTTGTCCATCCATTCACCACTGTAATAGATGCAAGCCTTTACTTCACTACCGCCATCACCTCGCCGTTCAGCTATTTGTATCATAACGGTTTACTGTTTGGTAATAACAGTATACGCAATATTTCATAAGTACGAAAAAAACCTTATCGGATCATTTCTATTTCCCGAGAAACCTAGGCAGTAAGTCTATATCATGTGCACACAGAAAATTCCAATTTCCTAAATGGGTTTTTGGGTAACCGCGTTCCCTGTCGTTGTATCGGCACTCTCCGTTTTTGTGGTCTCAAATCTTAATACCCCCAGGGTTCCTGTATCTACTCACATCTAATGTCGCTGTTAAGGATGGAGTTTTGTCGGTTTTGATAAAAAAACATCGTCTTGAAGAGCTTCAGGACTCGCCCCATCCTCAAGTCCTATCACTTCTCAGCAGGCGAGGCGCAAGTCTAATGGCCATGAGAGATGTTATGTCGTAACGAGATGGCCCGATGATTGCCGAATGAGGCGGCGCGTGGAGGCTTCAAAAAGACGTCAGCGTCTCAGCTGTTTTATATGCCGTGGTGAGGCTCAATATTTATGTTTCTGTAGGAATATATATTTGTATGTTGATCTGAGAGAGGGAGACTCAGGTTGGAGTGACGTATCACAGGAATGGCCCAGATTAATTACCTCCTGCCTGGATAAGACTAAGCCGGCATGTTAGTTTATTCCTTCCTGCGTTGATAGAATGTACTTACTGAGTGTACAAACAATCACAAAATTACGAACTATTTCCTTTAAAGTAAGGAATATATACATGTTGCTTACATATCATTAAAATACACGTTCAGCTGAACGAGTGCGGCGTTACGTGGCCTTTAGGTAGTATTCCACATCGCGGCGATGGATTCACAGATGCTGCTGGGAATCACGGACCTTTGGCGTGAAGAGCGAGGGCATTATCCACTGGGCTACCATAGCAGGTCGGACAGTCGTAGACTAGAGTTGCTTCTCTTCGTTTAAGGACAGTTGCTCGAGCGGACACTGATGAATTGCTGAAAAGAGCACCTGGAACAATATTTGAAGGCAATATTTGTAGTTTACGCCAGTGTCTACAGATGGGTTCAGTTGGAATTATACTGAGAGATAATTGTCACTGCCGGACTGACACATCACTGACCTGACGTAATTTATGTATTAATGCGCAAATTCAAGCCAAACTTGCAGTGTTCAGGTACTGTCTGTGAGAGATGAGAACCAGTGTATTGTTACGTCATCCAGGCCGTATTGTTGACGTAAAGTCGGAAGGACGTCACACAAGAATGACGTCACAACTGAAGACGTTTCCACGATTGTTCTTTTCTGAAACGGCGATCGTGAAAATGCGTTTTTATAAGGAGAGCATGAAAACTTATATAAAATAATGGGAAATCGTCCAATACTGACCTCCACAGGACGAATAAAACGATCTCTTCCAGGAGATATCGCTACATAATGAAATTGCATCACAAATTTCTCTTCAGCCGAAGTTGGTTGTACATTTCACACCAAAGTCAGTGCTTATAATGCGTCCAAACTGAAACAGTTGGAAGAAATATATTGCATGATAAATAAAATGCCTTTTAGTGTCCTTTGATAACCAGTTCCATGAACATCTGAAGAATAATGACAATTATTATGGATATACAATTTCTTTTATTCTGTGGAGGCGACGTCTAAAAGAAGTTGTATATCCATAATAATTGTCATTATTCTTCATCAACTCAACTTCTAAAATGCCCATCAAAGAAATGAACATCTGATCTTGATATATGTTCTCGGTACCGATAAACAGAGATCTGACGTCCCATTACGGGTCACGTCAGAATGACCTCTCACCCGACCAATCAGAGTGTTGCTTACCAGATCCTTAAAAGTGACGGTCTGAATGTGTTTTGTAATGATGCAACCTCGCAAATGATATTGAGAACGACAGTTATTGGCTGAACGACTGATTCCGTCAAAATCATCGTCTATCTCTCGCTTAATGGGATGAAATCTGAAACGGAAAAGACTTTCCACAGTCGATGAGAAGTACTGCCGTACATTATAGGCAATCTGCTCGACATTCCACATTTGTCTTGTGTTCAGTTTTCAAATTTTGAATCCATATTTTTCAAATCCTAGCTTGGAAACAGTACCGTATAGCTCGCGAAAACTGCTTTCGGAATGGCTTATGTAGACTTCGTGTTCTGTTGATTGTTCGGTCGAAGTTTGCAACGGTTGTTCTGGCGTGACACGGAACGAGATGTCCTCAGATCTCCGGTTAGTAGTAGCGACAACTAATCGCTGATTTAACCCGAAATCCCACTGGGAGACAAGTAGTTAGGGTGTTATGTTAGGTGTTGTACTCACATACCGGGTATCAAAATCGTGGCGAGGCTAGGATTCGAACCCACGACCACCGCGACTCTGTGTCACAGCTGCATGTTTCTTACCAGTGGTTCCCCGCCTTTCTCCGTCGGCAGCAATAAACACATATGTTACGGAGGGCTATAACGTTCAGCATAGTTGCAGTTATACACGTTGTCTATATTGTCGCCGTCTGTACTGTATCCAGTCGATCTTAACTGGTTGTGGGGTAGCCTAATGGATAAAGCGTCCGCTCGTCACGCTGAAGGGCCGGCTTCGATGTCCCACATGGGTGCAATGTGTGAAGCCCACTACTGATGTCTCCGCCGCGATATTGCTGGAATATTGCTAAAGGCGGCGTAAAACCATACTCACTCATTCAAATAACTGGTTGTCCACGCGCCATTCAAGAACTAGCCGCAATTCGACGCCATAGTGGCCACCCGATTCCCGTATATTCGAAGGATCAGTGACAAGAAAAGAAAGGCAATGTTCAAGGGTCGTTAGTAAGAAGCTGTTGACTTGATGCCGGGACAAGTTCAGAATATCTGACTTGAGTTTGCACCCAGCTGTACACCCGCTACAGGTACTTCAGTTACAAAAATACTCGGAGTGTAGTCTATCTCGTGTAGGTCGCTACAACATGGCGTTCTTTGCTCTTCGTTTTAAACAGGCTGTGAGCCTTTTCTCATATATCTTGCGGTTGTTTGATGGATGTAAAAGCTTCGCTTAAACTGTCTCGACAAATAATTCCTGTTTAACGATAGTGATATATTGATCGCCGATGAGTCTGGGCGATGTGGAACTACTGATGACATCGCAGATAGAAGCGGAGCACATTGGGGGTGACGTCTTAAATTTGGCGTGAGTCACTCGAGCCCACTTTTTAGCATGTTTCAAGAAGCGCAGCATGCCAGGCCCAGTTTAGAATTTCGTTATGTTGCTACAAACCACGTCTCCATGTATGAACAGCTCAAGGTGAGTTGTCAGCTCAGTGGGGTGCTGTGTTTCGAGATACATATCGTATTTTATTAGCCAAACACTATCACTTGTGATGCCATGGTCCAGACACTTTCCTTGTGTGGCGGTCTCCCACGACCACCAACGTCATGCCGTTGATACTGACGTCGACTGTAGATGCCTCTTTCCTGACAAAATGTAACGTACAACTGTGATCAGCGAGCGAGTAAGGCTTTCCTTTGATCAGTATTTCCGTCATAACCACGACGTCCTTGGTGTAAAACCACAGCAGGAAATCGCCCAGCGACTGTTATGAATAAAATAATATGTCGCCTATAACCCCATCCACCCACAAACCTGAATGTATATAAATACTTTAATCTATGTGAAACCAGGCCACACTCCTACTGATACATAGTTCCCCAAAACAGTCACGTGTGAAGTTGAATTATAATAATTTGAAGAAGCCACAAGCCTCATATCTTCAGAGCTGAAAAGCTGACGAGAACAAGCTGCAAGAATAGGGTTTAATGACTTCATGAATTATATGCTCTGTGGTCTCGGTGGGGTCAGTGTCTCAAAGGATGGTGGGATAATTGTCATCTCCACAATGCTGTGACTAATCACATCTTTCTGAAAAGGCAATTATCCAGCGTATCCGTGTAAATTATAGGGACCCCTAACGTCAAGGGAGCAGCAACATGGCAACGTGCATTACAAAGGGAAACTGACCAACGCCGCCGCATCTCGTTTTGCAGAGTTACGGCCCTTGATTGATTGAAACATATTTTATTCAATTAAGAAACGGATTGGGCACAAGTTATCCAACTTAAATAAGCCCTATCCACATAGTTACAAGTGTATATTACAAAAAAGTTCAACAAGAGGCAAACAAAGGGTATAGATATGTACAGACAGAGTTATTTAAATCGTTTAGTGTTATGGATGTAGATATGTACACTTTTAAAAATATTCTGATTTTAGTTCAGAACGGCCCTTAGTTGTCATGACCAGTTCTGAAGCAACATTCCCACCTTCCTCGATTATGCCCCTTGAGCTTCATAACGCAGAGGCCAGTGTTTTCTAGATCTCCAGATCAGAACCCGATAGGGCATCTGCGGGATGAACTCGATAGACGTGTACGTCGACATACTCCGCAGACACTTGCACTACCGGCCAACGCGTTGAAAGGAGGAGAAAGGAGGAGAATCCCCGAGGGCAGAATCGGTAGACTTATTCAACTTGTACCAAACAGGTGTAGAGCAGTGATCACAGGGGCGTGTCACGCTAACAGCGTTAGAAAGACATATAG